AAGTTCAATATCTTCTTTTTGAAGACGAGCCAGTTTTACAAGGTCTATGCCGTCGATTTCGGTGAAAGAACAAATACGTGACAAGGCATCTGCCACAGTGTTGTTCACTCCGGAAACATGGCGAATATCTGATGAAAACTGTGAAACGTAATCTAGTTGTCGCGATTCCCTTGGTAAATACTTATCTGAAGTTGAGTTCAGAGAGTACGTCAGAGGTTTGTGGTCAGTGAAAATGATGAATTCACGACCCTCAACTGAATGTCGAAAATGACGTATAGCACAGTACATAGCTAGAAGTTCCCTTCCGAATGTGCTGTACTTCGTTTCAGCTACTTGAAGGCGCCTCGAGAAAAAGGCGAGTGGTTGCCACTCGTTGTTAACTAGTTGTTGCAGAACTGCGCCGATTGCAGTGTCTGATGCATCAACCGAGATACTCAACGGTGCCGTTGGATCCTGATACATAAGAAGGGTGGCATCTGCAATAGCTTTCTTTACCTGAGTAAAAGCATGTCGAGCAGACGTGTCGAGTTCGATAGCCTTGTTGTTCCCTCGAAGGAGATCGGTTAATGGCTGAATTAGCGAAGCACAATTAGGAATAAAACGTCGGTAATAACTTACCAAGCCGTTAAAAGTGCGAAGGCATTTTACTGTCTTTGGCTCCGGAAAGTTCAGTATTGCTTCGACTTTGGTAGCCAGTGGGCGTATGCCCTGACAGTCAATAGTGTGACCCAGAAAATCGAGTGAGTCAACACCTATCTGACACTTCTGTATATTGATGGTAACACCATGTTGGCGTAACCTTTCAAATGCCAAGTCCAAGTGTCTAAGGTGAGTTTCCTTATCTGGACTGGCAATGAGGCAGTCGTCTAAGTATGCGTATACAACGTCGAGACCGCGAAATACTTCGTTGATGAAGCGTTGGAATGTTTGTGCCGCATTCCGGAGGCCGAATGGCATACGTAGGAATTCAAAAAGTCCGAAAGGCGTGATGATAGCCGTTTTCGGAATATCTTCCGTTGCCATCGGGATTTGGTTATATGCTTTAACCAAGTCGATTTTGGAGAATATAGATGCTCCAGATAGCGATGCCGTCAAGTCGTGTATGTGAGGCAAAGGGTAGCAATCAGGGGTTGTTTTGGCGTTCACTCGCCGGTAATCACCAGTGGGTCGCCAATCGTTGCTATCCTTTTTCGGTACCATATGCAACGGGGATGCCCATGGACTATTCGATGGGCGAATGATGCCAAGGGTGAGCATATGATCGAATTCGTTTCTGGCAATTCTCAGTTTGTCAGGGGCCAGTCGTCGTGCTTCAGATGTCACGGGCTGTCCTGAGGTTATGATGTGGTGCATAACATTGCTGGTTATGCACGGGAGGTCGTTAGATGGGCAATTCAGTTCCGGATATTTATCAACAATCGGTTGAAAAGTTGGATCGAGGATTGCTTTCATCTTAACGATTGACAAGCTGGGGCCTACGTAAGTTATGCCTTTGATAGACAAACTAGTAGTGTTGTCAATTAATCGTTTACGGCGGACGTCTACGAGCAAATCATGATGATTAAGTAGGTCCGTGCCAATGATGGGCATTGTGACGTCAGCGATTAGGAAAATCCACTGAATAGGTTTGCGTAAACCTACGTTCAGATAGACGTATTTCCGACCATAGGTTGCAATTGGTTTTCCATTTGCAGCCTGTAGGTTGAAGTTAGGATCCTTCTGTCGATCTGCTGCTGTAGCAGGAAGGACGCTGACTTCGGCGCCTGTGTCGACTAGATATCTAGTCTGGCTAATTACATCGTGGATGTAAAGTAAGCGGCTAGTGCCACCGGCGACGGTTGCCGCTAACGCGTGCCGGCGGGATAGTTTCCCACAGACTTGGAGGCTTTGCCGAAATCACAAGGTTTTCGACAACATTTCGCTTCCTTGCCATAGGTGTTGTGATACCAACACCAGTCAGGATTTTTGACAGAACGTGTGTTGGACTTAGATCGTCCACGTGCGTTTTGCCGTTGAGGGGATCTAGAACGACGGTTTGAGGAATTGCTAGGCTTGTTTGACCTAAGCATCTGCTGGACGGAGTTGATTAACTCTATCATTGCAGAATCCTTCTTCGAAGTCTGTTCGGTAACAGAGTATACTTCGGTGACTGGCCGTTTCGTTATCTCTAGAATTCTATCTGCAGAGACAGCTAAATCATCTATGAGAACACCCTGAAGTGTCACAAGTACAGTCTGAACTGACTGTGGCAGTTTGGATAAAAATAGTTCTCTAAACAGTCCTTCATCGAACTGACTTTAGCCAATGATCTCTTTCATTCTTGCCAGCATGCTCACGGCTGGCTGGCCCCCTAACTCGATGTTACGAAATAACTCATCCAGACGTTGTCGATCTGTGAGAACGTTTCTCTTGAGGATGGATGCTTTGAGAAACTCGTACGAGTTACTTACCGACATCTGCAGAGTTACGCACTTGCTGAATTCCCGCGGTAGGGCGTGAATAACTGCAAGGAACTGTGAACGTTGATCAGTTACGCCATGTTCACAAAAATCGGACTCAGCAATCTGAAACCACGTTTCAGCATTATCTGGCCAAAATGGTACTAGCTGAATTGTTTTGGCGGTTGAGCGAATCTGAATAACCTTGGGGCTAGGATCACTCATGACGAAAAGTATGCCGATAACAATATAGTACAAGAATAAACACAAAAAGGAACGAACTCACCGGGTTTATCTGCGTGTGAAGATGTAGTTCGCGGTTGGGTATTGAACGTTCGCGAGTTGTACGGATTATACTAACGCAAGATCTTATACCAACAACCACTATAGTGTTCGTTCTTCGAGTACCAAATGGTAAAGCAAAAGACCAGATTTTGTCGTCCAAATACGATATATATTTTGGGACCAAATCGCGGGTAGGAATGAATGCTTAGCTAGCTAGTAATCGTGCACGCACGTGACACGACGGAGCACCAAATGGCGGGGATGCTTGACCGTAAGCCTTCAGCTAAACAAGTCGACTTAAACAGTGATGGTCAGCATCCAATGTTGAGTGATGATTGCTGTGGTTAATAATTTTGGGGAATTATTTACCGCTACATGCCCATCATTCTTTATTGTTCTCCATTATTCTTCCCTGGACTACTCAAGAAAGACTATATAATACTACGAAGAACATTGAAGGCTGCAAGTAGGGTCAGTGCTATCCCTTTGACTCAACTAACCGACACTGCTGTCAGTAGGCATATGAATTCTTGTAAACACTTAGCTAAAGTTATTTTGTCAGATAGTGAACATCCTCTTTGTTCACATTTGTTTCCTTGTATCTCTTCGGGTAAGACCAGAAGAAATTTCATAAACACTTATGCTCGTACTACAAAATATAAAAATTCGACCGTACCATATTTGGCACGAGTATTGTGTGAAGAGACGAATATCAGAAAAGAACTTTTACAACTTTTGAATTATTAACTAAACTATAAAATGTAGTGATACATATTGTTGCATGTGTGATTTGTTATATTATTTATTTATTATTCACTGTGACCTAGAAATGGTGTGATTTTGTTGGGGTTTTTATTTTTTCCTATTAATTATCAATATTTTTAACATTTCTTACATTTATATAATTATAAAAAGAGCTAAACCAATGCAATATGTAAAATGAAACGCTGAAAATTCCATGCTGTAAATTGTTATTGTTGTGGAATAAAGTGATTATTAATAAGGTTCTGTTAGCATTTACAGGTGATTTCCAAGTGCTGATAGAATCCTTTTGTCAAAAAGGACTCTTCACACGAAAATAGGCTGAATTAATATCCTGAGACGTGAAGTCTCAATTTAATGATACCATGCCGAAAGGTGCAGCATCTAAATAAATTAGACTATTTGTGTAGATGACATTACCTTTCAACTATCCCGTCTTTCTCATTATAGCGATATTTTGCTACATTTCGCCTGAATTACTGATCGTTGCAACCGATATGCTAGGGGGTGTCGCAGTCAGATTACATGACGCGGACACCAAAATAACTGGCCAGAAAATGGGAATTCCCATCAATCCAGATAACATATAACACAATTTTATTAAAAATTATTGACAAAATAAAATTTCCAAGTGAAATTTTAACAGCTGTTCTAGGACGTGACATTTGACGTCTACCGTAAAAAGCGATACTGGATAAATTCCTGGAACCGACTGCCAGAAGAACTGGCGTCAGTGCCCTTAATAGAGTCATTCAAGAAGGGTTTAGACGAGTATAGAAATTTATCAGAAAAGGATTAACACAGGCTTCAAGCCGTCTACTCTCTATCGATAAATATGAAACTTCTGTGTTTGAGTGTTTGAATCCACCGAAAATAGAGTACTGACTTAGGTCGTTTGTAGTGGTTACTTTGATTCATGTCATCAGGATGCCTGACAATAAAGATCTTTCACTTGGATTACTACCTCTCTCCACCGATAGATTTGCTAGATATGAATTATTCAAGTTTCTCAGGAAGATTTTCAAGCCGTATGCCAGTTATTCGAGTGTATGGTACAGCTTCTACAGGTAAATGAAACAATGTATCCTATAACCCCTTCAAGGTCAGAAAATCTGTTGTAATGTACATGGAGTTTTGCCGTATTTTTACGTTGACCTGCCAACTTATGAGTTGGGTGGCGGTGACTTTGTTCGGTCGTTTGTCTTCAGTCTTGAAAAATCTATTCGTACCAAGCTGAACAACTATAATATGAAAGATATGTACATTTTCGATGCTTCAGTGGTGTCTGGTCTGTAAGTTATGTTATTTTACTTTCACCAGTATAGTTCTATATATGGATATCATGATACAGAAAGACCCTTTATCAAGTTGTACCTTGTGGATCCTGCTATAGTGACTGTCTGTTCTGAAATATTACAAAGTGGTGCTGTGTTAAATCGTGTATTTCAAACTTATGAAACGCATATCCCATACTTGCTACAGGTATGTTAATCTTTTATGTATATTACTTCAGATATAGTTTTGTGTGGATTATAATCTGTACGGCATGAATTTGCTATATGCAGGATATTTTAAATTTCGTAGTAAGTTTTTCAAATCTACTGTTTAACTGTTTCTAGCATCTGATTATATAAATTTCCCATCATTGCTGAAAAATTCAGAAAATATGTGGAGTCCTTCAAAACTCAACTCGTAAGTTAGTGTATTTGTGCTTTCTTGTTTAGTTATTCATATGATTTAAATGTTGACGTCTTTGGAGTGTGTTAGTCCCTTAAGAGATTCTCATTAAAAATAAATGTGGAATTTCATCTGTGATATTGTCCTACTTTTGTAGAAATGTTAGTCGGATGGAGTAATGAAGCCATTCCAATCAAACTTAGTTATATGACAACCAATATTTTTTTATCATTCATAATCTCCACAAGCAATAGTATACATTAAGACTACTTAACCTTGATGACCTGTGAAATAAAAGACACTTAGAAAATTTTCCATTGAATAATATGACGATCTTCTTTGCAGATGGGATAATTTTAATACGTTGTAATTCATTTATTTTACAGCACTGTTTTGGTTTAATCCATATGTACCATGCAATACTCAGCGAGTAATTATGTTTTACAATAACTGGTGACTGTTTGATCCCATGAAATAGTACCTTTCATAAACTATAGTTTAGCTTCATAACAGGAGTGTTTTTCGAAAGTAGGTATACTGTTCAGAATTGATGAAGTTGGTTAAGTTTTCATGACCTGTTTATTGAAGTTCAGTTATCGGGAACAGACTTTCCTTATGCCAGGCTAATAGTCACCTTTTGTGGATGAGAGCTTATCGATTCTTCCCAATTGCTCAGTGTGTGTGAGATTGGTCGGGAGGGACTTAAAACCTTGATTGAACGTCTCGAAACCGCATCCTTCTGTCTGTCTGTATTCGACATAGAACTTTGCACCGATGTGCGGCAGCTCAAGTCGCCACACCCCATGTAGGACACAAAGCAAGAGAAGAAAGTAGAAGAAATGGATAATATAGACAGTAAACAGAGGTGAGAGACAAAGGAGTAGTAGTAACAAAGAACAATATAGTTTCATTGGAAATCATAAGTCACAAGGTATGGATGCACCTGCGCCATTGAGAACGATTTTGAGCCATATCACCAATTGTTTCCAACCATTGGTTTTTACCGTCCCGAGGACTCCAACCAGGAAGTCTACACCTTCCTACGCGGCTTAAACTAACTGTTGGGGATTTCATTGACTGGTGCCATGTTTTGGTTTGACTGCCACTAGCTCTTTTCCAGCCTGACCCTATGTCAGCTAACATTGCCCATTGTCGAGGAAGGCGATGACTAGGCACATCCTTAAAGACGATGAACCACATCTCATTTGATAGTTTAATCTCATTGTTCACGTTTGATACTACATAAATATACAAAAGCTTTTTGACAATAATACTAAAGTTAGGAATACTAAATGAGTTTTTTCTTCTTCTAGAGAAATAATTATTCTGTTTATTATTTTTCATCATTAGAGAACATTTATTACAACCAAAATGTGCTCCTAAATACACTAGTATGGAATTGGAAGTTGATATATCTGCATGGGATATTCTAAATCGTCGAGAGCTTGGAAGTATGTCTTGAGTTATTTACTTTTTTTCTTTTGAAACTTTATGAGATTGTTATTGATTTTTAAAAGTTTATTTCACACATTTATTTTTAGCTTTCCCTCTTATTTTTCACTACTGATATTTTTTGCTTTCATTTCTTTATCCATAAGATGCTTATTTTAAAGTGTAGCATTTTAGACCCATGCAAAATTTGTTGATTAGCTCGTCTGTTTGGACTATCGGTCGTAGAAGAAGTGGAAATGTGTTTACTTCATAGATTGTTCTGCAAACTGGAACTGAAGCATAAATAACTGTGAAGGGAAATATGACTTAACAATCACCTACCTTTATCTGCGGTAGATAATTAGCCACATCTCACTTATTGTAGGTAGTAATGCTACCTGGCTGTCAGGATCTGGGTAGGTCGAAAAGGACCAGGGGCGGGTTGGTTGGTTCCTACCCATGACTTAATGAAAAGAGATAATTTAAGTTGAAAAGTAAGTCACAACTGACCAGTGAAGTTAAAGTTGAAATGCATCTGACTGTGCAACGGGTCATAACTAAAAGTGAAACGGTAACGTAGGATTCGAGACAGTGGCCCTCTAAATTACTGCTCAAACTGTATACGATCAGTATTATTGCACAGTGAACTTTGTAAACTGAAAGTAATGAGTAACTACTCAGTTGTATTAAATAGTGTTCCTTTCAGAACACATAAAATCTGTCACTCTACTGAGTGATCACATTTTTCGGTTGCTAATCTCTTAAACTTCCATACACTACTACCGTTCATTACTTGATTAAACCTGGTATGTTGCAACACAGGAGTACAAAAACAAAGAGGAGCAATAGTCATGGAAGATTAATAATAGTTAACCTAGTTGCTTTATTGGCTGTTGTATACGGATAAATCGTACCTCATCGCCCACGCACAGATCTAACTTTATGCTTTTATGGTTCCACGGGTCATGTTGTCTAATAAATACATATTTAGATTATGAGTTTTTGTAGGGGTTTCGATTATTTTCAATGTAGATTTCGTCCTGGTGTCTTGGTTGAGGGTAGCGCTGTTTTACAAACTAACAGACCACTGAATACCGGACCAAGTAGTTGCTAAAAGGTCAAAGGAGCATAGTGTCGTAACCTAAAGTAGACCGTTGAGTGATATCGCGCTCTAGACCATTGTTCGAGTGGAACCCGTATGAGAAACGATGAGTCTGGCACCCAAGAGTGACACGAAGGAGACTGCGTAAGCAGGAGATGAGAGCTTACGGACACTCAAAGGAACTAGCTAAAGACGATTACAAAAAACAGGATGAGATAGATGGGCTGTTGAAAAGCCCTACGTTCCACTCAGCATCGAGGGAATAATGAATAATAGGGTGGTGAGAGGGCATGATTTTTCTTTTATCCCTTTGCATATCAGGTGTGAAACATAGGGCTTCAAGCATTCAGATTTGAAGTTTCAGTAACGATGGTGTTGCTACCGAGCCCACCATCTAAGTCCCCCTCTTAATGGGGTTCACTACCGGCTACCAGACTAGGCGAGGATTAGGAGTGTGTCAGCTGGAGATCGAACTCGGACTTTTGGCGTAACTAACTGTCATTCCGTTATTGGATCACCGACGCAAAACCTAATTAACAACTGTAGGTGTTTTAAAGTACTAATCATTTGTACTGGGTAAAAAAAGGTGTAAGGTGATCGTTTAATGATGCTTTTAATTTGCACCACCTAACTTGACCAGAAGTATGCTTTGTGCACTCTTATTTAGTCTATCATCGTATGCCCAATGATATCTACAGAAGTATGAATTATTTACAATACTCTAAGCACCTATTGACACAAATCACTGACTGACTGGTTTCAATATTAGAACTTTGCATAGATGTGCACCAGTTCGAGTTGCCACACTCCATCCATGTAGCACACAAAGCAAGAGAAGGGATTAGGTAAAGAGAGATTCAAAAGAGAGAAAGATAATAAACAGAGGCGTGAGTGAGGCAAAAAGAATAGTAATATGGAAGAACAACAGAATTTTATTGGATATGATGAATCACAAAGAGTAAATGCATCTGCGCCAGCCATTGGCTTTTTGCCATCCCGAGGACCCCAACCAGGTAGGCAGGAAGTCTACAACTCCCTACGTGGCTCTCTGGCTAGCTTAAACTAACTGTTGTGGATTTCATTGACTGATGAAGCCATGTTTTGGTTTGACCACCACATGCTAGCTCTTTTCCAACCTGGTCCTCTGTCAGTCAGTGAATATTGCCCGTCGAGAACGGCGATCGATGGCTAGGCATGTACAACACATGTCCTAGTCACTTTAATCGGTGAAACTTGACAACCTCATCGACTAATTTTGCCTTCTTACCTAACAGTCGACCGATTCCTAAACTCAATTTTACTTACCGTATTATACCACCACCTAACAATGGAGATAGAATGCAGCCACCTATGATCAAAAAAAGCTAGCGGGACTTTTCATGTCTTCAACTTTCAGTGGTCATGTCCCACTCGCAGCCATAAAGGAAGATGGAGAGAAGTGACTGCTGAGCAGTACACACTCCCTTTTGTTCGACAGCCAGCTGGAAATCACGTCTACTAAGCCAGAGGTGGAGTAAGGTGGCAAATCAAGGGATCAATAAGTTAGTTATTTCACTTAACCTTATTCACAAATGTATCCACCTCTTACTTATGCATACTAACTTACTTTTGAGTATTGTATTATAAGCATTAAAAGTCATATTACATCATCCATTTTCTCACTGATTTACTGGGTTTTTTTCACATCCACTTTCTCTACATAGTTAATCCTTCTATAAATCCTGGTCTTGAAGCTATGTGGACTGAAGAAGAAATGCGTCGAATCTCAAAATTTGATAAGTCTGAAAATTTTCCAAAAATGCCAACTGCAAATGAATTATTACCATGTGATGAACGTAAGTGATGATTGCATTGTTCACGGAATGATTAGTATTCATCGACTTACTGTTTCTTTTCATACCATACCATTTGAAGTTCATATCTGAAGTCTTAATCTTACCCTCATATCAGGAAAATATTGTTCTGTCAGTAAGTGATTGGCATCTTTCCCTTCGTTTAAATAAATGACATAGACCTTGTAAAATTGACTCGTCTTGAAAAAGAGGAGACCGAACTTGTAAATGAGTTGTCGACATTTACTCTGGAATTACACGAGAAACTGTCGGGTCTAAGTAAGGCTACCATCCTGTGTGACATTTCTACAAGTATTCCTCGTCCTATCATACTTAAAAGTTATCGGCTTATCTCACTGAGGAATCCGAAATACCGTTATGCTCAATACAAGTCGATTTGAATAAAGCAAGAACTACAGTTTTAACAGAATAAAATGGTACCATCATTTATTTCTTTGGCTTCTCATCAGCTGCTTACGGGCCAAAGTCACTATTAAATATATCTACAGAAACTATTTTAACACACTTACCCGCAGAGAGTTCATTTTGAAACAAAAATCAATAAATGTATGCATATATATATATATATTAAACACTACTCCGAACAGTAATGATCATGCACAATCGAAACTTTCTGCGTTACGTAATTAGATGAAAGAGAGGATGAAAATATCCCGTTACCTGGCAACAGGACAAGGAAAGACTGATAACCGCTTCTTTCTGAACGCATAAATCAGGTTTCAGGCGCTTGATGGAGATGACTTCAGCAAACTTGAGGAGAATTGAACTCTTTTGCTTATTGATAATTTTGAACGATCTTGCAATGTCCACTTCATGACCCGTGTCAAGGAGATGCCTGGCGATGGCACTGTTTAAAGTATTTGTTCCCTTTAGACATAGGCTTTTTGATACATGTTCAGAAAATCGTAGATATGCCCTTCTTCTTTCTGTCCTTCCAATGTAACTGCTCCCGCAGATACATGTAAATTTGTATATACAGTTAGAGTTAACATGAGAAGGATATCTATCGATTTTTGATTGCACCAAAGGAGAGCAAGTTATTCGATAGACGGGAACCAGCTTAGCTAGCTGCAGGATAGGCTTTGGCTAGTGACGTACTCAGTCTTTTGTTGACCATTGCTGCAATATTTTCACCTTTATAATCAAGTCGGATGTTGATTGGCTTTTTCTCCGCTGTGATTTGTTTGACATTTGAGACTTCAGATCTTCCGTACTTGTTTTAATGAATCTTTGAGGTTAACCATTGCTCTTCAACATCTTTTCAAGAAGTCGATTTCTTTGGCGTGGTATAGATAAGGAAGTACTGTATTGGGCTCGTACGCGTTAAGTTTACCAAAAGTGCAAAGTAATAAAACATACTAATATCGCTTTTGGCACTTTTCATACCCTAGATGCTCGCTCTGACCACGTTCACATAGATCTGGTTGGACCCTTTCCATAATCTCATAGATATACTCGTTTTTTAATCTTCGTTGAGGTAGTACCCCTCAGGGACGTGTATCTGCTGAAACAGTCGCATACATTTTCGTGGAAAGATGGATTGCAAATTTTGGGTTCCCATCCCCTATTACAACCGATCGCGGGTGGCTATTCGAAGGCTGCCTATTCTTAGGTTTGACTCTAAACAGCTTACCATCCCCAAGCATTTGGTATGATAGAACGTTTTCACCAACAGTTGGAGTCTGGATTATCAGCCGCAAACGCTGCATATTGACCTGAATCACCACCCTTAGTCCTCCTCAGCATGCGAGACGTATTGAAAACTGATGCTGGCTGTACTACTGCTGAACTGGTATATGGAACAACACTACAATTGTCATTTGGGTTTATTTCACCCTCCAGTTCTCCACTAGCTGTAGATCTCGCCTCGTACGTCAGCAGGCTCACAGACGCAATGCGTTCAGTTAAGCCTGCTTCCATCCGACCCGTAGTCCATGGACGTTTTTGCCCTCGCTATTTCTATAATTGTCTTCACATGTATTTCTTCGTCATCACTACGTACGTCCCCCGCTAGAACCCCCATATAATGGACCATATAAAGTCATTAAATGCATGGACAAATTCTTTCGTTCTAGACAAAAATGGCCGTGAAGACTGTGTTAGTTAGCGTTGATCAATTTGAAACTGACCTACTTAGAGAGGCAATTCTATGAGGCCTGAACCAGTCGTTTATGAATGATACACAGCCGACTGAATGTCCGCTAATACTCGAAAAGGGGTAGCCAGCACCATGAAAGTGACCAAAGCCTTTAACGACACACTAAAAAGCACATTCTGGACAAACTGTTAGATTACTAGAGCACCCTACTTCTTTTTTGAAGAAAAAGTGATCTATTATGCTTATGGTACTTTGTTTTATATATATATATGTATATATATATATATTATTTTTCACTGTATCCTGCATCATAAATTAAATGTGATGAATGTAAGTGTTGATTATTTAGTCCAGAGAATGATTAGTATTCATCCGCTTGTTGTTCCATGTGAAGTTCTTGTTTAAAAAGTCTTAATCTTCAGCTTGTTTTCTCCCCCACCCCCCACCCACCACATTTCAAGAAAACATCGAAGTTAGTCTATCAGCCAGTGAATCGAAGTATCTTTCTCAATGGACTGTTCTTCTTCAACAATACACAATTTCACAAAGTCAACAAGATGATAATTTAACAGATATAGGTAGGTTGCCTTTTGATGCTGTTATTATTCATGAGGTATGTTCTTGTAATGAGTTATCTATGCCCGTTTATTTAGCAAGGAGTCTGAGTGAGAACAGTGTGTTTCATTAGTTAGAGAAACATTGGACAGTTAGCTGTTTCTGTCGTCGTCCTAGTTTGGGACTCTTCAGTGGTATTCACCAGTCGGGGATTCGAAGCCAGGACTTTTAGGGTAAAAGTTGAGCTCAAAGACCATTCAGCCGTTGGGACCCGATCCAATGGAGAGCCGACCAATGAATTGCAACTTCTGCCAATTCATGACATAGCGTGGCCACTTCTCAATGTCTTCTTCAATGAGTTACTGCTCTCACCTTCAACATACTGTACCCTACTGGTCACAACTTCCTACTAGAACCCCAGGTGACTACCTACCTGAATAGGACCAGTCGCTAGTGAGCAGCAGATCAGTTATCAAGTATTGGTTTGGAGGAATTCATCATGAGGTTCACTGGTAGAAGGCTCGGCAACCACACGTATTTGGGGAGAGGTTCAGGTTCAATTCCTGTCCAATACACTCGTTCCTAAATCGCGTTTAGGCACTGGTAAGACTGGTGAGGAGGAAAGGTTGGTATATGGTGAGGTTAGCAATACTTACTTACTTTACTTCGGCTATCTCCTACGGGAGGATGAGCCGGCTTCATGAACATCTCGAATCATCGCTGCCCAGGCGCGGCGATGAGTTTGTAAGAGAGTTCATGAAGTTTCATGGGAATTTGGTACGAGTGATGTCCCCAGAATCGCTCGGCCATTTGTTTGAGAGTGCAGCTCTAGACTTTACACAACCGAGTGTGACCTACAAGGCAGTAGGAGTGGAGTAGGGAGTCCACTATCCATTGGCAGCCGGTGACCGGAGTTCGGTTCATACGCCTTTTTGAACGAGGCCAGACATCCAGGACATCCAACAAGCCCTTTGTCCATACGTCTGCCGGTGAGCTCCAGTGAGCTTCATACGCCAGTCGTTGGAGGTTTGGAATCAGGGTTTAGCCATCTCCCCTAGACTGTCATCCAATGGACAGTCAACCCGGTGAAGAGCGCCGGGCATCCGCCTTCACCCTCTCACTTTGGTGAAAAACACCTCCGCCACGTGAAGGCAGTGAGTAGGACTTCCTTAGGAGAGGCTATGTAAGACGCCCGGTCATATGGGAGCATTTCAAGAGGTGTGCGGAGGGGTGGCCAATCCGCAGCGCAAGGCACCCACTCCCGACCATCCTGAGGCTTTGGAGGTTAGCAGTCCCACTGATTAACTGACTGACTGACTGCATGACTGAGTTTCAACATACATAGAACTTTCCACCGAAGTGCAGCGGTTCAAGTTACCACACTCAATGTTGGACACGAAGGTAGACAAAAGAGACAGAAAAAGATATTCAAAAAAACTATAAACAGTTGAAATGTGCGTGGGAAGAACATGGACAATTAGATGGATACGGGAAACGCCAATGAGTAAACACATCTGTGCCATCATTGAGAACAATTTTGAGCTGTATCACCAATTCTCGCCAACCACTGGTTCTCAGTATCCTGAAGACTCCAACCAGACAGTCTACACCTCCCTACGTGGCTTAAACCAGATGTCAAGTCTTCACGGATTGATGCAGATGACATAGTCCTGTTAAGGGAGGATGCTGACAAAATGCAGAGTTTTCTGAACACTTTGAGCAGCAATCTTCGTATGTTTGGCATGCAATTATCCCCTGTAAAATGTAAGATGCTGCTACAGGACTGGACTACGTCAACTCCTAGCTTAGTGATAGGGAGTGAAGTGATAGAACATGTTGACCACTTCACCTATTTGGTAAGTTGTATCAGCACCAACGGATTGATTGGTGACGAAATCTCAGCACGGATTCAAAATGCTCGAGCTGCTTTCGCTAACTTACACCGTCTCTGGCGTAGGCGTGACATCCGGCTACCAATCAAGGGACGTGTGTACTGCTCAGCAGTTCGCTCCATCCTTCTCTATGGCTCTGAAACATGGCCAATACTAGTTGAAGACATGAAAAGGTTGTCTGTTTTTGATCATAGATGTTTACGATCTCTTTCTCGCGTTAGGTGGCATAATAAGGAAAGTAATGTTGACGTTAGGCGTAGAGTGTTGGGCAAAGAGGGAAAATCAATAGAAGAGGCTATAAAGTTACATAGATTGACATGGATAGGTCACGTGTTGCGCATGCCTAACCATCGTCTCCCCCGACGGACGGGCATTACTAGCTAATATAGGTGCAGGTTGGAAAAGAGTAAGTGGTGGCCAAACAAAAACATGGCATCAATCCATGAAATCCCTGACAGTTAAACTGAGTCAGGTAGGGAGGGAGATGCAGACTTCCGGGTTGGGGTCCTCGGGACTCTAAGAATCATCAATGGCTGGATACAATAGGTGACATGGCTCAAAATCGTTGTCAATGGCTTACGCAGATGTATTCAGTCTCTGTAATCTTTCATATTCCTTTCTACCATTACTCAATCTGTTTCACTCTTATACTTGTTAAAACTCTATTGATTCTCTTCAGTCATCTTCTTGTCTACCACCTTTGTGTGCTATTTGGAACGTGGCAACTCGAACTGCTACACTTCGGTGCCAAGTTCTATGTTGAATCCAGACAGACAGATTGATGCAATAGTTTGGTTTGACCAACCTAATTCTATGTCAGCTAATACTGTCTGTCTACCCTAGGAGAGGGAAGAGTAACACATGACGTAGCCATCTCAATCGATGTAGCTTTACAACTGCGCCGATTGACTTCCCCTCCTTACCTAGCACTCACTGGATGCCTAACCTCAATATTACTCACCATGTTATACCACCACTTAACACGGGAGATAGGACGCAGACACCTCTGATCAAAGACAGCTAGCCAGCCCATTTCATATCTTTCACTGTCAATGGCCATGTCTCATTCACAGAGACAAAGAAAGTTGGTTGGAGCGAACTGCTACTGTGCAGCAGTACACACGTCATTTGATCATTAGCCAATTCGAGCCTTTTGTATCCGTGTTGAGATTTTGTCACTAATCGGCCTGTTGGGGATGATGCAACTTCCCTCGCAAATAATAAGTGAGGGGGTCAACACGCTCAACCACTTCACTCTCTATCTTTAAGCTATGGTTCGGTATAGTGCATTCCTACAGCGTTGACATCTTACGTCTGACAGGAGACAATCGCAATCTAAACATACGAAGATTTCTGCTCCTTACGGTGTTCAGAAGCATCTCCACGTAGCGGTAAATATCATCTGCATAATCTAAGTCAAGAAGACCGTACCTTAGTAACAAAGAATAACACTACTACTACTACAGAAACTTCAGAGCCCATTGCTTGAAGCCCTGTGTTCCACAAGGAAGACAAAGGAATGGAAGGGAGACAGATAATAATAATTTGCTTTATTCCAAAACAGTACTTGTGATACAGAATGGAATTCTCAGCATTTTTACTACAGTATTGCATCCAGTTAGTACATTATCAATCAATAGAATTCTACATAGATAAAGGAAATCTCAGTTCATTATGACAACAACATATTGGCATGTCGGTAGCAAAGCCAAAGTTGAACAGTGTTTGAAGGTGTTAGAAAAGTAGGTGCTGTCATATTTACTGGCGTAAGCGGTAACAAAAAGGTCGAGATATACAGAGTGTGAAAGAACGAAGAAGAATGCTTTAATTAAAAAAAAGAGAAAAGGAAAAGAAAGAAAGAAAACGTTGTACCTATAAATGATATGAGTTGGAAAGACGAGATCCAGTTGTTCTACTGACTATTTAATAAGTTATAGGTATCACGCCCAATGCTTTCTTTATCGCACAGAACACGAGCTAAGTAGGGTATGGTTGAGTTTTGTACTTGCTAGTGCGAGCATATAGTTTTCTATATAGGCTTCTGGTTTTGCCTGATGAGATACAAGGGGAGAGTTGTGGGTGAAGAGGATGGTGTGAGTTAGGTAAAATGGATGTGGCCCATTTTTCACATGAGTCCATATGCCTGTCAACCAGAATATTAACAAGCTGGTTAAGTGGCACATTGCTTACCCTGCTGACAACCTTTAACATCCTGCATAATATGTTATAGTCTTTATTCAGTAGCCCGGGAAAAACTAAGGGGGAACAATAGAGACATTTGACAATAATACAGTCTATGAAGTCATTTTTGAATGAGAAGCAAACATTATTTGAAATAGACCATTTGGAGTGAATAAAAGTTGCAACGCCGCCACCATATTTCTTTATTACAACATTTACGGTCTTGTCTAAATAGGATGAAGAGTCCCATAGTGAGATGAGGTTGTCATCATACAGTTCATGTAACCACATTTTTTGTAATATGATTATGGCAGTATTATGATAAGTGTCAGTGGACATCAGAGATTGTGTAGGTACACTATCTTGTTAGACAGAGAGCGGCAGTTTGTGTTCATTATGACAGGGACCGTAGTTAGGTGTATTGGTGTACGCTTTTGAGAGCTCTCTGCCAACCATTACGATGCTTCCTCCTTGATTTCTTGGGAAATATGAAAGTCATTAGGTGGTAAATGATGTTTAATAAAGTTACGAGAGTAAATGATCCTGTTAGAATTCATATTTAGGTGATAAATAAGTGTGAGTAAACGGTAGATTGGATGCAATATGTAGATATTATAATAGCTGGCCCAAAAAATTCGAACAGACCGCCGACAGTAATATTTACTGATGACGTTTCGAGTACAATTTATTACTGTTCATAATCATATCAAGGTAATCACACGATCACTTCCTAAATTCATTTATATAATTCCGTTGTTTTTCACTTGATTTGATTGGTAGTAATATTTTCCATATTTCGGGTATGAGTGATGAATCATTCCTATTGCATGTGTTGGGTGTAGATTCGATGAACCAGACAGGATTCAGTAATCAACCTCTCTCTCCACCTACCTAGATTACTTTTTAGAATTGTAACCCTCTCCCACCCTATTGTGTGGTTGTGTGTTTACAAAATACCCTGCAATGACATCTACAGTTATACCATATAAAGAGGGGACATCTGAGACCCTACGTAGGATTCTAAATAAAGCAGGAATTAGGGTGGCATTTAAACCTACAAACTCTGTAGGTTAAAGGACCCGGTGGACCCAATTAGACAAAATATTATAATTTACAAAATACCCTGCAATGACTGTGAGTTAGGTCAACTACATAGGTCAAACCAGTAGATGGGGCTGGGGTAGTCAGATTGTCAGAACATAAGAATTTAGCAAAGGTAAATAAATAATAAATAAATAAATAATAGTATATTCTCATTTTGTACATGAGGGACGCCAGTTTACAGGCATCATCAATATGATAAATTACATATACGATTAGTAAACATATTTAATAATGGTAATTTAATAAAATACATTTTTTCCTAGCTGTGTAGGACACACCAGTTGTACAGGCATGGATAAGTATTATTTAAATTACATAAATTTGGTTCATGGTAAAATTATAAGGTTGCAGTCATTTTGACCCAGAGAAGATAAGTAATTTAGAAAAAGGCTCAGCAATTGCAATGCATGCATTAACACACGACCACACAATAGGGTGGGAGAGGGTTACAATTCTAAAAAGTAATCTATGTAGGTGGAGAGAGAGGTTGATTACTGAATCTTTGTTCATCGAATCTACACCCAACACATGCAATAGGAATGATTCATCACTCATACTACCAATCAAATCAAGTGAAAAACAACGGAATTATATAAATGAATTTAGGAAGTGAAGTCGTGTGATTACCTTGATATGATTATGAACAGTAATAAATTGTGCTCGAAACGTCATCAGTAAATATTACTGTATAACACTGTGAGACTTTATCAAAATAAAATTTACCCATAATGGAATTACACTCTACCACAGTGTCCAAGTTTTATTCTTATATCAATGAAACCGCCGACAGACAGACAGACAGACGGGATAAGTTGTTAACTCTTGTCTTAATGTGCTTGACGTCTGCTGCATTATACAAATATATATATATATATATATATATATATATATATATATAATCTACCTTTCATTTTTCTAAATTTTATTTCTAGAATCATCTATTCCAAACGATGACTACGTTTCTAAATGGCTTGAATGCAGTTTTACCGAGGATGATGATGAGACTATTGGCGAAGAAGAAGAAGACAAGGAAGACGAAGAGAAAGACATCGAAGGCTACAAAGGCAATCTGACTATTGAAGCCAATGATGCTGATGATGCTGAGGATGAGACGATTTCTGTTCAACTAACTCAAGAATCACTTGTGTTGAAAACTTTTGTAGAAAATACAGCCACTACTACTGCGACTATTGCTACCCCTCGTCCTGCACCACCAACGACAACTGAAAATAAATCCTCGGCTAGTTTCACTACAATCAGTTCAACTGGTCTACAAGAATTATATCGTCTAGCCAGTGCTACAGAAGAATATGATGCATGGGTACCAAACAGTGAACAATTGGATCAGTTGCATAATCACTTAGAATGTACATCAAAACTGCATGCATTGCAGCCGCCATCATCATCGTCATCAGTGAATTTAACTAAACTTGAGTATTCACAACAGTTGTTGGTAAATACTCATAATAATAGTATTAATGCTGGCTGGACAAGTAGTCCTATTGATCTGCTTGAAGTTAAACCATCTGATAATGTAAGAATGTAGAATTTTGTATCACTTCCTATTATAATTATTACTACTACTATTATTTTCAATATAGATTACATCACGAAAATCAGCGAGTACTGGACTATAGGTGGTGGTTTCGTCCTGGTTTGCGACTCTTCAGCAATGCATACCTACGACCCTACCCGAAGGAGATCGGAACTGGAACTTTCAGCTTATGAGACTAAGCTTTATTGTCTATTCAACCAATTTGGGTTGAAATTCTTTTTTTATTCCTTCACGTTCCCAGTGGAACATAGGGCTTCAAGCTATAGGCTTGAAGTTTCTGTAGCAGTGGTGTTTATTTTTACAGGGTGGGGTTGCTAGCCTCGTGCCCAACCTTTCCTCTTCACCAGCTTTTATTTCTGGTTTAGCGAGGTAAAGGAGTGTGTCGGCCGGGGATCGAACCCCGGACCATGTGCATGGTCGGCGGGAGTCCTAAACACTGCGTCACCGACGCCCAGGCTTGGAATTCAGGAACCCATAAATTCTAACCTTGTCAATTCGTGTGAGATGTAGCGCCTCCCTCAACCAGTGCCTTCAATGAGCCTCCATATCACCTTGACATGATAGACCCTATTGGTGACAACTTCTCAGTACAGACACTTTCAGGACATTCATCCAGTAGCCATCAATAGCCTGGAGATTGCTACTTAGGTTATGAGATTTCGTATAGATTTGGGTTAAATTTCAAAGTGAAGAATTAATCAAGAATCAGCATCAGTTAGAGAGATCATTGAATTAATTATTGTTATGATTAAAATATTCATTGCTTGTGTCCTGAGTAGAGAGTATATGGGACTACAGTGGTGGCACATGCCCATTGTAATCGATTCTGTACTATCTGTTTTCAACTAACTCCACGGCTACCCACAATGCTTCCGTCTCCTCCTCTTACACTATCTTCTCCATGTGTCACCTTCTAATTCCGGTTCCTTGTTAGTGCCTTGGCTGGCATATGATGTCATCCAACAGTCTCTCCTTTAGCGTATGTCTAATTCAATTCCATCTCTTTATATCTGGTCATCTGATCTTGAATGTGTCGAGCTAAGGAGGCGACTGTGCTGACGGAAGTCGTCTACAGCCTGTTGGGAATGTCTAGTGCATATTAGTTCGCTAGCCTATCCTAAACCGGAAAAAGTAGAGAAGGTTGGGTGTTCGACGCTGGTGACTCTACCCCTTAGTAAATCAATCTAGTTGCGCTTTAGTAACTTCAAAGGACAAAGGATATGATATTAGCGTATAAAAAAATGTATGAATGAAGAATTTTTAGTCTTGGACAATTCTCTTGATTTCATCACACCTTCTTGTAATGATGGTCTTGAGAAAAGTTTGTACTGCAGTGTATATCGCCTTAAAAAAGTATAAGCATTTGTTTTATTTACAGGCTTTAGGATTTCTTTTGTTCTAAACAACACTGGTGTTATGTATGTTGTGTATTCTTCTGATTCCATCCAAGGTATGTGTGCCTTTGTGTGTGGCATGTACGGGATAAAAAGATCTAAGTTCATAAGTTCTAGATTCCATTTTTTTGTTCATGTTTACGACTGTCTTATATGTTCTGATGAATGAACTTTATCAGATAGGGTGTAAATACATCTTAGAAGTCATTGAGAATGAGATAATTAGCCATGAGAATAACATCTCCAGCCATCGATGTTCTATCTTGATATAGTTGTGTTCTTTGAGCTGTATGGTTGGTTTATTTGTGAAGCTTTCATTGCCTTACTAGGCAACATTTATTTATTTTGAACTTTCTCGTCACATGTGATTTACTTTTTATTAGTTGGTAAATTTGGTCTATAGTAATTAGTGTGTTTGTTAATCACTGGCTGATTCACTTGAGTGCCAACCAGGCTTCTAGGAATTCCCTGACTGCATTTTCGGTGTTTCCTCTATTTAAAATTTTGACATTATCCTAATTATCAAATTGGTGTCTGTAATTATCTACATGCATCGGTATGAAAGAATATATGTGTCATGTCTTTTTACAGCCAATTTGTATTATCGGATTCTGATTCTAAAGGGATGCCCACTTTGAGCGATGTAATGTTTATTGCAGTGCATGCATGCAGTTTATTTTGTAAATGGTATTAATTTTATCTTCTTCTTTTTCTGTTGGATGGGTCTTTTGGTCTGCACAATATCGAGTGAAGTGATTTTGCTGACTGGTTGTCTGGCTTGTGTGCCTTATCTCTTTCAAAGGGTTTCAGTATTCTAGCTGTTGTTTCAGAGATATTTTTTATATATGGTAGGATGAATTTTCTTGTGGTCTTTGATGTTGGCTTGTTGTGTTGGTGTTATGACTCGAGTTTTAAAACACTTTGATGAAATTGTGGTGAACGGGGGTATGCATTCTTTATGAAGACAGCTAGTAGTAAGTATTTTTCCTCCGTTCTCTTCTACACAGGAGTAGTGCTATAGTGTGTTTGAAATCTTTTAAACATTGAATTAGCAATTAACAAACACGTTGTTATACACCAAATTTATCAACTAATAAAAAGTAAGTCATCACACGAAAAGAAAGTTCAAATTCCATCTAAGTCAATAAAAAAAAGTATGATCAATAGAGACGTAAATCAAGCAACAACCACAGTCACGACAATGTTTTGCCAGGAGACACAAGTAAATACATCATTCATGGATAATTTAAAAATAAGTTCATTTCATACTAAAACTTGCTGTGAAGGAAGGTGTTGTGTCTAGCACAAGGGGGACGATGAAAGCTTCACAGTTAAACCATCAACCAGTTCAGACAGAGAACACATTTAATTCAAACAAAATACAGAGTTTTTTGAACAGGTTGTGTGAAAATCTGACTGTGTTATACTGGCAGACACCTTCACCACAACCATCACAGCAACGAGGAGACGTGCCTAGAAGAACACTGGAACTCTCTTTTAAAGTGATGTTAAAGGAAAGCTTTATAGCCGTCTTAGAGGGAGGCGGAAGAAGAGGCAAGACAAAGAATTATTCCCTTCGGACTCGTTGAAGCTAATAGAGAGGAAAGAGGGATCGTGAAACAGAAGATGAACTAGTTCAGTGTACGCCTCACTGAACAAAGGAGTGAAGAGTACAAGGAAAGACAAAAGACATATATATATATATATATATATATATATATATATGAAATGTGGGAACTTGAACTGTGTACACACCTTTCCTTCCAAACCTTTTGCAATAATGGCGTGAGCATATCTGTTAGGGAGACCACCGTTGACTGATATCACGTATCAGGCCTGAATGAGAATTGATGAGTTGTGAGTTATTGTAAGAGTGACATGGAGGAGATCGTGTGAGGCAATGATGACAGCTTTTGAGCAATCGTGGAGTGACCGGCTTAAAAGGACTGAAGAGAAAAGAGTGAAATGGCGATATGCTTCTAAAACCCTCTGTTCCACTCAGAACTGAAGGGAACAATATTAATAATAATAATAATAATAATATGTTACAGGGTTTTATCATGAACTGGTATCGGCTAGATAACTATTGGAAAACCAGCTGGGAGCACTGGACAGCTGTTTCATCCTGGTTTGGGACTCTTCAGAAGTACGCACCCACACCGCAGAGTTCGAACCCAGGACCTTACCACTACAAGGTTAACTCGCAAACCATTAAGTCACTGGGAGCCTATCCAATGACCAGTCCATGAATTCCAACTTCTGCCAGTTCACGATATAGCCTGACTGGTGTTAAGATAAGTCATGTCCACTGTAAATTCAATTACTGACCAAACTTCTTATGTATGCAGACATCAGTATTTAACATGTGAATTGTCGCCATTGCTTCTGCGGTTTGAAAAAGTTTGATTCGTACTCTTTTAACAACATTCCCATGTATTCTGTAGATAACTTTGAAGCTTTTTGTTTGTTCCAGAATAGAGCTTCTGGGGGACCTTTTTTCTCCTTTAAAAAACCATGACAGTGGGTAAGTGTTCGATGATACGTTTGGACAGTAAACGCTGGGTACAGCGGACATACCTGGCTCCACAAGTGGAGCAGGTGAATCAGCACATTGATGAAGCCAGCCAACAGTGGTAGCTAATCCTCCACGTTCATGTGAATCATGGCTTTCGTAGAGAAAGTTATTCGAAGTTCAGCCGCTGAATAGGTTGTCTTCAGTGAGTGGGACAAGTAGTTTCTCAGTATTTCTGCCGATGAGTCTCCAATGAATTGTAGGTTCATGTAGAAAAGTTTTTCGGAAGCGGAAAGTGTGGCTGGTATTGGCTTCATAGATTTTGTAATGAAATGGTCTGGGTAGCCATTTTCGAGGAGGATTCTCTTCAGAGTGTTTATCTCCTCTTTCATGGTACCAGAGCTGCAAATGCTGCTGATTCTGTGGCTCACTGTAAACGGATCAGGTTTGATTTTGCATATAGAGGGACACCCAACGGTATCTTTTTTGGTTGGAGGATATTTTATCATGAGCTGACATCAGTTAGATAACTATTGGAAAACCACCAGGGAGTACTGGACAGCTAGCTGTTCCGTCAGCCTAGTTTGGGACTCTTCAACAATACACACCCACCGCCAGGATTTTAACCCACGACTTTCTGGTTACAAGGCCAGCAAGCTTGTAGACCATTAAGCCACTGGGACCCGAACAGATGGCCAATTCATGACATAGCGCGACCACTTCTCAATGTCTTCATCGATGAGTTATTGTCTAACCTTCAAACTGCTCTATCCTACTGGTCACAGCTTCCTACTAGAACCCAAGGTGACTACCTACCTGAATAGGGCCAGTCGCTAGTGAGCATCAGATGAATTTTCAAGTATTGGTTTTTTTTAGGAGTTGATCACGGATTGATATCAGTTAGAGAACCAGCACTGGAGCACTGGACAGCTGTTTCGTCCTAGTTTTTGGGGTCGCGCTAAATCACGAATTGGTAGAAGTTAGATTTCATGGGCTGGCCATTGAGTCGGGTCCCAGTGGCTGAATGGTATATGAGCCAGCTTGCCTTGTAACCGGAAGGTCCAGGATTCGAGCTATGCCGGTGGGTGCGTACTGCTGGTGATTCCCAAACTAGGCTGACTAGACAACTGGCTGTCCAGTACTCCCTGTGGTTGGTTTTCAATGGTTCTCTAACTGATATCCATTCATGATCAACTCGTAAAGACAAAACTAACCCTTACAAACAAAACTATAGAAGATTTAATTTTGTTTTCTTTATTTTGTTTTAAAGGTTTCCAGTGAAGATTTGCTATGGACTAGTCAACATGCAATTGTACAACCACTACAAACAACGACTATTACCGATGCTAACCGAGAAGAATCGCATAATAATAATGATGATGATGTTGGCGATGAAGACACGCTGATTACAAATGCTACACAATGTGCTATATCTTTTGTATGCAATCAGTTGGATAATACACATAAATCGATAGTTGGCGCTTATTTGACTACAGTACATGAAACACATGGCGATGACAATGATGATGAACAGTGTATGTCTCAACCGAGTGGATTTATTGATGTGAATCCTGAGGAAATGTTTAATATGCCAGTTAGTCAAAATAATAATAATAATAAGGAATCGTCGTCAGTAGCGTATGTAAGTTTCAGGTAAATTGAATTTTGAATATATGTATATATGCTTATTGACTCATTTATTTCGGTAAAACAAACTTGATACATTACAGGCACCGAGAAATGATGCGCCACACAAAATTATCTCATAGTATGTGTGAGAGCAGGGGTACATGCTGCTCGGATGCACTCTCCCGCGCCCTACACCCAAGAAGTTTGACCCTGACACAAGGCAGTGAGTGAGTGATTGAGTGAAGCAGTGTACGGAGCTCCGTTCCCCCATGGTTCCCAGCCACCGAAATAGGCTCATCTGCCATTCGATGCTTCTGGATTGGGAATCAGGCTATTCCAGCTGCACCCCATAGGTGTGTAGACCAGTATGTCCACCAGTTTGGTTCGCGTTCGCTCTTTCAATTTTGTGAGGAACGCTCCCACCGTCGAGTGAAGATAGTGAATAGATCTTACCTGGGAAAGGCTATGAATGTATGTGACCATATCAGAGCATTTCGAGAGAAAGATCGAAATCCACTCACCCACCCGCGTTGACCGCTTCACTTATTTGGGAAGTACCATTATCCCCAACGGGTTGATCTCTGACGAAATCTCTGCACGGATACAGAGGGCTAGTTTCGCATATGCCAGTTCACGCCGTCTCCGGCGTGATATCCGGCTAACTGTCGACCAAAGGGCGTGTGTACTGCTAAACAGTCCGCCCCGTTCTCCTTTATGGCTGTGAGACCTGGCCATTGAAAGCAGAAGACATGAAATATTATCTGTGTTCGATCATAGATGTCTGCGTTCTATCTCCCGCGTGAAGTGGTATAATAAGGTGAGCAATATTGAGGTAAGGCGTCGAGTGCTAGGTAAGGCGGGGAAATCAACCGACGAAACTGTGAAATTACATCGACTGAGATGGTTAGGATATGTGTTACGTATGCCTAGTCATCGCCTTCCTCCACGGACGGGCAATGTTAGCTGACATAGGGTCAGGCTGGAAAAGAGCTAGCGGCGGCCAAACCAAAACACGGCGCCAGTCAATGAAATCCACAACAGTTAGCGTAGGCCACGTAGGAAGGTGTAGACTTCCTGACTGGTTGGGGTCCTCGGGACGGTAAAAACCAATGGTTGGAAACAATCGGTTATATGGCTCAAAATCGTTCTCCGTGATGGCTGGTGCAGATGCATCCACTCCTTGTGACTTATGATTTCCAATGAAACTGTTTTGTTCTTCGTTGTTACTATTCCTTTGTCTCACACCTGTGTTTACTGTCTCTAATATGCATTTCTCCTACTTTCTTCTCTTGCTTTGTGTGCTACATGTGGGGAGTGTGGCGACTTGAACTGCCGCACATATATGCAAAGTTCTTTGTCGAAAACCGACCTACCGACTCACCCACCCACCTATGCATCCTTGACCATACCTTGTCGTTTCATTTTGTGTGTGTGTGTGCGTGATATTCCGTTTTTAATAGACTCATTAGGATTGTCCACAGAGTGCTTTAATTTTCTAAAATTCATTAATTATATTTTCTATAGTTTGGTTTGTAAAGGTTAGTTATGTTTTTACGAGTTGATCACGGATTGATTTCATCAGTTAGAGAACCATTGAAAACCAGCCACAGGGAGTACTGGACAGTCAGCTGTTTCATCAGCCCAGTTTGGAAACCATCGGCAGTACGCCCCAAGTGAGGTCCATCTAGATGTCACGTGTGAGGATGGATGTCCAACCGACGACATTGATTGGGGTCGTGCTAAATCACGAATTGGTAGAAGTTAGAATTCATGGAATGGCTATTGAATCGGGTCCCAGTGGCTGAATTGTATACGAGCTAGCTTGCCTTGTAACCGGGAGGTCCTGGGTTCGACCCCTGGTGGTGTGTGCGTACTGCCGATGATTCCCAAATTAATTATATCACTCATTGGTTTGTGAATAACGTTAAAGTTTAGCAATGGTTGCTGCTTCGCCTCGTTTTGGAACTCGTCAACTGACAGCACTTGCATTATCACTGATGAGGCGTGTATATATATACCAGTCAACCATCACTTAGAAGGAAAACTTTATGGAACTGTTGTCCACCAACTGGCGTGTTTATACATACGAAAAGAAGTCAAGTTTGTTTAGGGATTGAGGAATTTACACGTTAGATCATAAAGAAAACAAACGATGGTTACAGCGTGTATATGTGTGTGTATAGCAACAAAAGGGTGAGAAACACTCAGAACTATCATCAGTCAGATGTCAAAATATATAACAAATGAAACACACTCGAGAACACTATCCAGCCTTGCTAGCAAAAAGAGAATGGAAGTGTGTGAATTCAGGAGATTTAGTTCCACTAGGGAAATTCTCCAAGGTCCTATACAAGTTCTGATCACACCCCTCAAAGGAAGCGAGATCAGTTGGCAGCTGGACATAGCTGTAGCATTAGTGATCCAAAAATATTCAAGGCAATTTTATGTATCCAAAAGAAGTATGTCCAACTTCTGCCCGTACCATGGCCATCATAATTATCCGATTATGTTTTCGATTCAAACTTTGTATTTGTTTTTAGTCCCTATTTGTATTACATACATATCTTCATCTTGTTGTCCATTATATTTTGACCTCTGACCTGAACTTTCTCACCTCTATGTTCTGTATGCATTCATGAATACGCAGTCTAGTTGATAACTTCGTCGAGAAGAAAGAAAAACAGTTTTTCCCTCTCTGTAACTGTTTTCTGTTTACCCTGTGATTTTTTAGGAAGAAAAATTCTTTATACTGTTGAACTTTATATAGACTAGGTGCTTCAGAGAAGGGGAGATGGTTGGCAGTATTCCTGCACAAGATCGGATAGGGCACCTGTTGCCCACTCTCTAGAGGCATGAAACAAACTCAGTCTGCGACTAAAGCAGCGTATAGAATACACGGCTACGTGAAAGCATTTTAAAAGGAAGACTGAAGTCTTTAAACCCTCGGCCGTACCCAGTTGATTTGTGCGGTCTGAAGCAGCTTCGTGTGTGTGTGTGTGTGATTGGAAATAGAATTTTAAGATTATTTATTTTCCTCTTCTGATTTGACTGGTGGTAATACTATCTTCCAAATCCTTGGTATTTGCGTTGAGTCACTTCAGTTGTATGTGTTGGGTGTAGACTCGATGAACCAGGCAGGATTCAGTAATCAATTTCTCTCGCCACCTACATAGATTACTTTTTAGAATATTGACTCTGTTCCACCCATCCTATTGTGTGGTTGTGTGTTAATGCATGCAGTGCAATCTCTGAGCTTTTTTCAAAATTACTTATATTCTCGCGGTTAACCATTCTTACCTTAGCTAAATTCTTATGTTGCGACAATCTGACTACTCCCGACCTACTAGTGTTAATGGTATAACTGTAGATGCCCTATATTCTCTCTTATTTATGTTATCATTATTAGTTTCGCCATTATTTTTACTTTACTTTTGACCTTTTTTGATATTCTCTATGCATGAATTTTATAGGATACTTATTTAACGCCAACCAGCTATTCTTCTATCTGTTTCATTTCATCATTTAGGTCTGTTTTTGTGCTACTTAGTGCTATTGCTCGGTTTGTTAAACACTTAACGTATATAAACTCACTAGTAAAGGGAATACAATTTACATTTGAATCAGAAAATGAACAAGGAGAATTAGCTATGATGTTAGATTGTAAAATAAAACGAACAGAAGAAGGTAAACTGTACACTAGCGTTTATAAAAAGCCAACGCATTCTGATAGATATTTAGACTTTAATTCATCTCATCCGCTGTCTGTAAAGGCTGGCTTAGTTAAGCGTCTAACAAACCAAGCAACAGCACCAAGTAGCACAAAAAAAGACCTGAATGATGACATGAAACAGATAGAAAAGGCGTTGGTGTTGAATAACTTTCCTTGTAAAATTCATTAGGAATTATCAAAAAAGGTCAAAAGCAAAATAAAAATAATGGCTAAACTAATTGTGATAACGTAAATAAGACAGAATATACGACATCCACTGTTATACCATATAAGGAGGGGACATCTGAGACCCTACGTAGGACTTCCTATAAAGCAGGAATTAGGGTGGCATTCAAGCCTAAAAACTCACTCAGGTAAGACAAGCTCTGTAGGCTAAAAAACCCGGTGGACCCAATTAGACAAAATATTATAATTTACAAAATACCCTGCAATGACTGTGAGTTAGGTCAACTACATAGGTCAAACTAGTAGATCGGGGGTAGTTGGATTGTCGGAACATAAGAATTTAGCTAAGGTAGGAATGGTTGACCCCGAGAAGATAAGTAATTTAGAAAAAAGCTCAGCAATTGTACTACATGCATTATCACAAAACCACACAATAGGATGGGAGAGGGTAAAATACTAAGAAGTAATCTATGTAGGTGGAGAGAGAGATTGATTACTGAATCCTGTCTGGTTCATCGAGTGAATCTACACCCAACACATGCAACAGAAATGACGCATTGCAAATACCAGAAATATGGAAGATATTATTACCACCAGCCAGTCAAATCAGAGGAGGATAATAAATAATCTCAAAATTCTATTCCAATTCAAGCACATCACCACGTTCTAACAAGTTACTTATTTATTGTACTATAAAAACACTCGTCTTATTTCCCATCTGACTGTATTTGGTTGATAACATTAATATTATTTCTGAATGTACACTATCCTATGTGGATTTTTATTCAAATATCTGGTCACTTCAACTCATGTAAATAAATGAAGTAAAAAAGTTGTGTGAGTAGCTTGATATGATTATGAGCAGCAATAGTTTGTGCTCGAAACGTGGTCACCAGTTATTATTACTGTATAAATAACACTGTGATTTTATCAAAATAAAATCTTATCTATAATGAATCCTTTCACTTTCTTGTTAATGTTTTTTGTTTATGTTCTTGTTGTTGTTTTTTTCGTTTTTTTTTTCCAGGATTGTTGGGATGAAATGTCTGATGATCTATTCCTCACTTATTTAGATGATTCTTATGATGCTGATTATATTCCATGCCAAGAGTTGAAGTCAATCAATGAAGAAAATGAAGACGTCGATGCTGCTGATGGCGATGTTGATGACGACGACGACGTATTCCACTTACATTCTACTCCTGTACAAGATGATACAGGGAATAAACAGTTGCCACTAATAGAAGGTGATCATAACGATGGTGATGATGATGTTGATGATGGTGGAGGGGGTGGCGGTTGTTCACTGTCTGATTCACTTTTACTTCTGTCATCACCACCACCACCACAACCACTCATCAGATTATCTCATGACGATGACGAGGTGGATGATTACGCTACAAAAGAATCTGTACAACAACACAGACAAGAAGAACAACAACAACCATGTCTTAGTGCTGTTAGCAGTGGTATTGACAAGTCGAAATCAAACTCATCTGAACCTCTTTTAGATATGGATAATATTTCAGAGATACTTTTTGATTCATGGTCTTCTGAAAGTGATACTTCATTGCCAAGGTAATCAGTAGAGTAGAGTGGAGTTAAGAATATTCTTTTCGATGAATTCCTCTTCCAGGTCTACAATTATATCTGTATGTTTATATACATAGAATATTCTAAATTAGTAGTCAATAACAATATGAGTGTTCTTCAAATAATATCGATTTGTAAAGTAAGATCACAATGGAATTACAGTTCATTAAAGATGCTTAAATTGTAATAATAATAATAAAGATATAGTAGCGAATAGAATATCAACTAAAATTAGGAAAATTCCACAAAATTCATGATCATTCAAACCTTGATGACCAAGGTAAGAAAAATATCTGAACTAGCTTCTTTTGGACACACAAATTAGGTTTCTTAATATGGATCCCAACGGCCAGCCTCAGCAATATTTAGTAGACGAACTCAAGGCGAAATTGGGGAGATTCGTAGGTATGCGGTAAATATCCCTGAAAGCATGGTTAACGTCAGTCTTGTGTTCTGTATCCACAAGATGAGATAGAATAGCGCCACGAATAGATTTTGTTTTCATTTTGCTTAAGAGTTTGACTGGTAAATATTGCTGAGGCTGGCTGGCCGTTGGGATTCATATTAACAAGCCTAATTTGTGCATCCAAAAGAAGTTAGTTCAGACATTATCATTACCTTGGCCATCGAGGTTTGAATGATCCTGAATTTTTGTAGAATTTCCCTAATTTTAGTTGATATTCTATTTGCTACTATATCTTTATTATTATTATTATAATTTAAGCATCTTTAATGAACTGTAATTGCATTGCGATCTTACTTTACAAATCGATATTATTTAAAAAACACTAATATTGTTATTGACTACTATTCTAGAATATTCTATGTATATAAACATATGTATGTGTAATTGTAGAGCAAGAAGAGGAATTTATCAAAAAGGATATTCTTCGTTCGATTATTTTGTGTTTTATAGATATGCCTGAATGAATATTTTTGCTATATAGAGTGGAGTTGTTTTAAACAATAATTATTATTGCATGCATACTTTGTGTAAACTTTTGATGTAGATGATTGTCTTATGCGATGATCAGTGAGTTACAGGTTGACCTATAAAGTCGTGAATTCCATTTTTGAAAGATACATATGGACAGCTAAACGTGTCGTCCTTTTTTGGGACTCTTCATCAGCGCACATCCTTCGGAGATCGAATCCGAGCTCTTCAGTTTCACGACATGATTAATTAGTCCCATAATTTGAATATCGATCTCCAGTTCATTGATAGCCACTGGGTGTATGGATGTCCTGAAGGTATCTGTACTGAAAAGTGGTGACCAACGAACTTCGTCGACTACGTCAACGAAAAGTGGATGCAGATCGAAGGCATTGGTTGAGGCTTAGCGTTATATCGCGAGTTGACTAAGTTACAAGTTATGGGTCAATAAAATGCTGGCCCAGGTCGCTGAATGGTCTTAATCCTCGTTGGTTGGGGGGATGTCGTGCGTATGCACTACTGAAGACTGTCAAACAAGGACGAAACGGCTATCCAGTACTCCCTTTTTTTCTCAATATTTCTCTATCTGAAGCTAATTTGCGATCAGAATTCAAACCAATGAAATCTTTGCTAATCAGCAGTTGTAATCATTTAAGTTTATTTTGTTACTCAGTCATTTAGGATCTTAGCGCCCTGTGGTGCACTATTAGTTTGCACTGTGTTTCAACCAATTAGATAATAAAGAGTAAACATTCTAATTTGCTGTGTCTTTTATCTAAACATCCACATCGGTGTGAACATGTAGATTAGGACTCCTAAGGTGTAGTAGCGCGCCTAGAGCGTTTCGAGATGGAAATTGGTATTCAATCATTATTCGATTATCTATGTGTCTGCAGGTATTATTAATCACGCATGTAGTCTGGGTTCGACTTCCTGCCGACACATTCATAAACCTCTCTTAGCTGGTATTGTTATTAATCCTTTGGGTTACGAATGGAACATAGGGCTTCAACAACACATCTCCATTTTCTTCTGTTTTCTGCCGTCCTCTTCATCTGGGTTCACGATTGACCAAACTCTCTCATCTCTTCGTCACACGATCTCCTCCATGTCATTCTCGCACTGACGACCCACTCGAGCAATGGCTTGCATTGCGCGCGATGTCATACGACGGCCTCCTCAGTGGCGTATGCCCGATCCATCTCCATTTTCTTCTACATATTTATTGAGCGATCGGCTCTCACCTGTTGGTTTTGTTCTCAGCCAGAATGTTGTGTTACTAATTCTTTCTGACCATTTGATCTTCAGTATGGAGCTAGCGAAGGGGGCAACTGTTGATGAAAGTCTGCAACAGGCTGTTGGGAATCGTCTCCGTGACGCGCACACCAATTTTCTGACCCGTATAGAAGAACTGACTTGACATTGGTGTTGAAAATGCGAATCTTGTTCCTTATGCTAAGCGCAGAAGATCTCCAAACTTGTTTCAGGTTTCTCATCACGGATACAGAATGCTCGTTTGGCATATGCCCATCAACTTACGCCATCTCTTGCTTTGTAGACGTGATATCCGGCTATCGACCAAAGGGCGTGTGTACTGCGCAGTAGCAGTTCTCTCTGTCCTCCTTTATGTCTGTGAGTGAGACATGGCCATTGAGAATGGAAGATATGAGAAAGTCGGTTAGCTGTTTTTGATCATAGGTGTCTGCGTTCTATCTCCCGTGTCAGGTGGTGGCACAATAGGGTGAGCAATATTGAGATGAAGAAAGAAATTAGTCGATGAGGTTGTAAAGCGGCTGCATCGATTGTGATGGTTAAGACATGTGTTATGCGCATGCCTATCCTAACCATCGCCTTCCTCGACGGTCAATGTTAACTGAAATAGGATGGATCAGGTTGGAAAAGAGCTAGCACGTGGTGGTCAAACCAAAACATGGCTTCATCAGTCAATGAAATCCATACCAGTTAGTTTAAGCCAGCCAGTCAGCCATTCACGTAGAGAGGTGTAGACTTCCTGCCTATCTCGTTCGATCCTCAGGATGGCAAAAACCAATCAAGGCTGGAGACAATTGGTGACATGGCTGAAAATCGTTCTCAGTGACGACGTAGATGCATTCACTTTTTGTGATTTGTCATATCCAATATAATTCTATTGTTCCTCTATATTACTATTCTTTTTCCCTCACTCACACTTCTGTTTATTATCTCTCTTTTGTTGAATATCTCTTTACTCTATTCTCTTACTTTGTGTGTTAATGGAGGGAGTGTGGCTGTCTATTTGTCTGTTTTCGACATAGAACTTTGCACATATGTGCGGCAGTTCAAGTCGCCACACTCCATGTAGCACACAAAGCAAGAGAAGAGAGTAGGAGAAATGCATAATAGAGACAGTAAACAGAGGTGTGAGACAAAGGAAGAGTAATAACGGAGAACAAAATAGTTTCATTGGAAATCATAAGTCACAAGGAGTGGATGCATCTGAGCCATTGAGAACTATGAGTTTGAGCAATATCACCAATTGTTTCCAGCCATTGGTGTTTACCGTCCCGAGGACCCCAACCAGTCAGGAAATGTACACCTTCCTACGTGGCTTAGACTAACTGTTGTAGATTTCATTGACTGGTGCCATGTTTTCGTTTGACCACCTCCAGCTCTTTTCCAGCCTGACCCAATGTCAGCTAACATTGCCCGTCGAGGAAGGCGATGACTAGGCATGCATACGTAACACATGTCCTAACCATCTCAGTCGATGTAATTTCACAGTCTCGTCGATTGATTTTTTCTCTTTACCTAGCACTCGACGCCTAACCTCAACATTGCTCACCTTATTATACCATTTCACACGGGAGATAGAACGCAGACACCTATGATCGAAGACAGCTAGCCGGTCTTTTCATGTCTTCCACTCTCAGTGGCCAGGTCTCACAGCTAGCCATAAAGGAGGACGGAGCGGACTGCTGAGCAGTACACACCTCCTTTGTTCGATAGCCAGCAGGATATCACGTCTACGCCAGAGACGGCGTAAACGGAGTGTGGCAACTTGAAGTGGTGCACATCTGTGCAAAGTTCTACTTTGAAACCCGTCAGTCAGTTTTCACCGGGTTGTGTTGCTAGCTGCTCGTCTCACCTTCCCCCTTTATTTTATTTTTTTATTATTTTGATTTACAGCTTGATTCCACACCGTATTTTCAGTACAAGTGTGGAATTTTCATCATGGATATCGGTAGCCCAAATTCAGGCCGACCAAAGATATCGGGTGTGCGCCGGCAGGGGATCGAACCCCGGACCATGTGCATGGTCGGCGAGAGTCCTAACCACTGTGCCACCGACGCACAGGATTTACTGCTATCTACCCCAGACTTTATACTGTTTGGTTGTCGAGTATTCTGGCACTAAACCACCGATGCACTGGATATTAGGTTTATTATACAGCTAACCTTCATTCTCTGCTTATTTACAGGTATTCTGTGTTTGTTAGCCCTTCTTAACAGAGACATTTTATCGTTGATTTTGTTGTGTGTTATTCACCTAGTTGTGATTTGTCTATCATCTTCAAAAAGTGCACTAATTAGTGTGGCTGAGAATTTGAGCTACACATCCTAACCCACTGTGTTCCACTTCAGGATAATACGAGCTCGTTTTATTTCGTGGATTCTCGTCGACTGTAAGAGGAACTTGCAGTCATCGAAAGGAATCTTATCGAAAATGCATACCGTCGGAAGTTCATATCAAAATGAGATGCTCGATGAGATGCTCACTAGCGACTTACCCTATTCAGGCAGGTAGTTACCTGGGGTTCTAGTGAGAAGTCGTGACCAGTAGGATGCAGCAGGCCGGGTGTGAGGACAAATACTCGCCGAAGACATTGGCTAGCGGTCGCGCTATGTCGTGAATTCGCAGAAGTTAGAATTCATGCACTGGCCAATAGATCGGGTCCAAGTGGCTCAATGGTCTACGAGCTCGCTAGCCTTGTAACCAGAAGGTCGTGGGTTCGAACCCTGGCGGTGGGTGCGTACTTCTGAAGAGTCTCAAACTAAGACGAAACAACTGTCCAGTTACTCCCAGGTTTTCCAATGGTTCTCTGACCAATGTCAGCTCATGATGAAATCCTGTAACCAATCGAATCCCTACAAACCAACACTTGCATATCAAAATATTGGGAGAAAAAGCCACCAAGACCGAAACCTGAAATGGTTGAAAAAAAAAATCAGTTTTCTATCTGTCTAGCGTACACTGGCGAAGAAGTATCCATAAGAACGGTAAACAGAATTAAAGGTGCATTGAAAAGAATACTTCCCGGCCACCAGACTCACTGCATTTTGCAACACAGTATGCTCATTGACCCAGTCAAAAGTAGATAAGTATCCTGCTCTACATGTCAACTCCAACTTCGCTTACCAATTCATTTGTACTTGCGGCAGCAAGTACATAGGAAGGACTGAGAAGAGAGCACCTACTAGATTCTCCGAGCATATCCGTAAAAGTCTCCGTTTTTTCAAGTCAGTAAAGTGTTCTCAAGCACAGGACATACGGTGGAAATTATGCAGGCCTTCAAAATAATCAATCAATACACAAAGAAAAGCATGGTCACTTCGGTTCTCAGAAGTCATCGCTATCATCAAAAGACTTCGACCCAACCTCTGTATACAGAAAGAGAGGGTGACTAATCTCTCACTATTCCACCTGGTAACCATCACTGATTTGTCCGTGTGTTTTTGTGTTTTGTTCTGTTGCATAACATTCCACATAATTGTGATTTTGATTTTCACTGACTGAGTTGAACTCACTATTACCCTTCCAAATCTACTAAATTAAATTATGTTATCTATTTTTACAATTTTACTTCACTATTCACCTCCACCCACCCTTCTGAACTCTCTATCATACTATTTATAAATTTACTCTGTGTTGTTCTGCCTTGTAATCTGTCTGTAATTCATCCTTGTTTCCAAGAGAAATTTGAATTCCACCTGCTTATCTAATTAATAATATAAACAGTTGCTCTCTTTTAACTCTAAATTATTGTCTACTTACATCATCTTTGAAATTATGTTGCCTATACTTTCTATTTATGTAGCATATAATTGATTTTAATTAGTGGATGGTGACTAGCAGTGGAATCCAGGATAACGCGCATTTCGTCCTGTTTGGAACTGTCTCGTCATCTGGATGCACCTACATTCTGCAGTGAGTGAGGCTCGAACCCACTGCCCATAGTCTCAAACGCCAAAGCGTTATCCACTAGACCACTTGGACGAAATGCACTTTATCCTGGATTCCATCCATTACTAGTCACCATCCACCAATTAACTTCTAATTACTTGCCCAGATATCGTCAAAGCCTTTGCACAAGAAGCCGACATGTCAACCTGAGACCTGATTTATTCAGGATGTAGGCAGTTGAAGAGAATCCACGAAATGAGACGAGCTCGTATTTGTTCAAATTAGTAAAGGGAACCGGTTGTATGAAATTTCTTTTTCTTTCTTTCTTTCATTCAGTAATCGTGTACCACAAGTTGATGGTAATATGGATTCAAGTTGTACAGATGGTGACAATGAGAAGAAGGATACATCTTCAAATACTGTTGGTTAGTGTTGTTTCTATGTCAGATTGAATTACATGTAATTTTTTTTTTACTTCGGCGATCTCCTACGGGAGGATGAGCCGGCTTCATGAACATCTCGAATCATCGCTGCCCAGGAGCGGCGATCTGATGAAGAGAGTTCATGAAGTTTCATGGGAATCTGGTACGAGTGATGTCCCCAGAATCGCTCGGCCTTTTGTTTGAGAGTGCAGTGCAGTAAAATCGCATTTATATGTATATGATTTGTCTTGTGTGTGCACATTATGATTATCAAATAAAAATAAAAAATAAATAAATAAAGACCGATGGGACTCTGAAGAAATCAATATATATGGAAAGCCTACATGGATCGGCCAGCTGACAAATTTTTACATTTGGCTGCCCATCAATCGCAAGCGGAACCTGATGCTATCTATCTCTTGCGATTAGAATCCGTAAATTATGCAGTCCCGAATCAGTGTAGAAGAAGACATCATTGTTCTGAAGAAAACATTACTTGAGGATGGCTGCTATCCACCACCCACGCTTTATAGATAAACACATAAAGACACGAAAATCAACAAAGAACAATCCATCTCTGTGCCGAAGAAGATGCTATACATGAATGTGGCGTTTAAAGGCCACATTCTGGCCGACATTCTAAAGCGAAGAATATCTAACGCCGTGTAAAGAACATTGTCTGCTGTTATATTACGATTGGTATTCTCGAGCCACCCATTGTTTTTCGACAACTCTAAAGATAATCTACGGCATTGAACCACTTCTATGTGTGTATCGTCGAATTTACTTGCTCATTTGAAGCGAGATATTTGAAGGTCGTGTAATATCTAAGAGAGTCAAAGAACATTATTCCACTTGTCTAAGGAAAGATAACAGTGGATCAATAAAGAGTGACATAATTGAACATATACTCAACACTAGTCACTCAGTATGTGTAAGGAGAATTCATTCATTCATTGTGTGTGTGTGTGTTTGTACATTAGGATTGCCAAACAAAAATAAAAATTAGTTAGGGTTACTGTTTACGTTATCAAAATGTTTCAAAAATGTGATGAATAATCAGGGAGGGGGGGGGTTGAAGATTGGCAAGCATTAACAAGGGTTGCGTAACATGAAAGACACCCAGAAAAATACGATGTTAATGAAAGAGCATGGAGACAAGTATCCAAAGTAAATTACGTAATAGGTAGAAAGGGTAAATAAAGGGTTATATAAGATGTTACTAAAAAGTCATAGAAAAATTCAAAAAAAGCATTATACCCATAGTAGAAAGAAGAAGGGGGTGGGGAAGATTTCTCCGTGTACATAAATCAGGGTTTTCTATCCGGATCTCTAAGGTCTCGTCAATGCCTAATCCCACAGAAACATACTGTTTTCGGGAGGCTTCTTTTGACTTTGTAGATAACTTTGAATGAATTCTCCTTGCATATTGTGTGACCAGTGCGGAATATACATTCAATTATAGCACTCCTTATTGATCCACCGTTATCTTTTCGTAGCCAAGCAGGATAATGTTCTTTGACTCTTTTAAGTAAAACATACACCGAACAACCAGGATACTTATTTCATCTTATTTGAGGCTCGTCAGCTGGTGTCTTATATTAAATCTCGAACCTAGCACCCCTTGTTTCAAAAAGCAAAGCATTATCCACTGGACTTCTGGGGCCATGGAAACATCACCATCCATCGGGGAGTGCAGATACCCATCCAGCTCATGAGTCCCAAATAGGATGAAATATTCACCCTGAATTTCATCATACATAGTCGTCTTTATTGTCGCACTGTGAACTTTGAGAGAACTTCATTACTAATATTCAAGTGTTGGTTTGCAGGGATTTTGTTTGAGTGGTTTCAGGATTTCATCACTAACTGACATCGGTTAGAGGACCATCAGGAAATGTGGGAGTACTGAACAGCTGTTTCGCCGGCCTAGTTTGGGACTCTTCATCAGTGCGCACCAACCGTCAGGGTTCGAACCCAGGACGTTGTGTTCACAAGGCGAGCTCGTAGGCTAATAAGCCACTGGCTCATGAATTCCAACTTCTTCCAACTGATGTCAGTTCATGATGGAATCCTGAAGTCATTCCTAATACTTCAATTTCCCATGATACCAAGACACAATTATGAAATGCTTTCGTAATAAGGACTCAAACTAGAGAAGTAAGAAAGCTTACCAAAAGGTGTATACATGGTAAATTTATATTTTGTGTGCTTCTTGTAATGTCTGTAGATTTCCTCTAAGAAATCCAGAATGAAGTTGTCCCATTGGATTTTCGACTGTGTAAAGGGAAACTCGAGTTACGCTTAAAATTCAGAGAAGATTGTTCTAAGACACGGCAATATGCCAATATATGTTAGTAGTGTATAACTATTTGAAAACCTCAAAATTATGACGTGTTTGAGTTAATCGCCATCTAAAGCACTTTTAAGGTATAACAGCAGAGCTGAAAAACGCGCAAATATAGTTGTGTTAAAATAAACATGTAGAATTAAACTACTTCCCTTTAATAAGTAGTATAAATTTGAAAACAAAATAAATGTTGGCCACAGATTTATGTAAACATTGGATAGGCGAAGAACTAAGATATGAATTTCGCATGCGTACTTCTTACTACCAGAGATTTTGTCAACGGTATGTACTTGTATTCCAGTCAGAAGTGGTGTTCATATTGAGACGCAAGACTAGTAGTCCTCGTTTCAAATTGACTGACTGACAGACTGGTTTCAACGTAGAACTTTGCACAGATGTGCACCACTTCGAGTTACCACACTCCCATCATGTACCACACAAAGCAAGAGAAGAGATTACGTAAAGAGAGATTCAAAAGAGAGATGTGAGGGGAAAAGAATAGTAATAGAGAAGAAAAATAGAATTTTATTGGATATTATAAATCACAAGGAGTGAATGCATCCACCCCAGTCATCACCGAGAACGATTTTGAGTCATATTACCGATTGCCATCTCCAGCCTTCATTGGTTCTTACCATCCTGAAGATACCAACTAGGTGGGCAGGAAGTCTACACCTCCCTACGTGGCTGACTGACTGGCTTAAACTAACTGTTGTGGATTTCATTGACTGATGAAGCCATGTTTTCGTTTGACCACCACCACCACTAGCTCTTTTCCAACCTGATCCATCCTATGTCAGTCAGCTGACATTGTCCATTATCGAGGAAGGCGATGGATAGGGATACATATGTAACACATGTCCCAGTCATCTCAATCGGTGTAATTTCACAACCTCGTCGACTGATTTCCCCTTCCACCTACCTAGCACTCGACCGACGCCCAACCTCAATATTGCTCACTTTATTATGCCACTACCTAACAAGAGAGATAGAATACGGACACCTATGATCAAAGACAGCTAGCCAGCCTCTTCATGTCTTCCACTTTCAGTGACCATGTTTCACTCACAGGCATAAAAGAGGACGGAGCGAACTGATACTGCGCAGTACACATGCCCTTTAGTCGATAGTCAGTCTGCAGGATATCACATCTACTAAGTTGGCGGGCGTATCTGAAACGAGCCTTCAGAGAAAGCAAATAGTACACCATTGTAGAGATACATGGGAGACGTCAAAGGAACACAAAGAAACAATATTAAGGCCGGAAGTAGTAGTGGGCACAACACGGAAAATCTGTGCAGATGGTGTTTTGCAGATAAGATGTACGTAATTTGGCTATATATCGATATCGAATTCCAAATAGACACTCCTATAACAAGTCCCTCGCCTTCTACCGGGAAAAAACTTTACCGGGCCTGAAGTTGCATCAGGAGAGACTTCTGACGGTTGTTGCGGGTAACGAAAACAGGCTCATTCATGACTTTTCGATCCTTACGGATTCTGGAACCCTTGTGAATCATGGTTTTTTGAATCAATGTTTTCTAGCTCTCGTAGGTGTAGACTAGTTTGTCTATCAGTCCTATTTTGAAGCTTCACACTTTCAGATTTACCCTTTCACTATTATGTCACAAATCTCCAAATCATCACGTGAAGGCAGTGGATAGTATTTACCTGGCAGAGATTTTTAGTGTGTATGACCACATGAAAGAATTTCGAGGGGAAGACTGAAGTCTACCCAGCCTTGCTAGTAGCAGACCGTTTATGGGAACCGTCTAATCACATTTGATGTCATATTAATTAGAGTCGATGTGCTTTTTTAATGACGATTTAAAATTCCCCCAGCTAATTAGTGTCCTTTCAGTCATAAGGACATATTGTACTCGTCGGTGACTTTGGTTGCCCTATATATCGCTATTCGACAGAAGTTAGAATCTGTGGAGCTCTAGGTTTTGTTCCAGTGGATAAAAATGGTCAAGAGGCTTTAAGGGTCGTGGGCTCGATCCCTGGTCGAGCATAAGTGCTGAAGAGTCCCAATGTAGGGCGAAACAGCTGTCAGGTACTGCCTCCTCTTAGCTTTCAATGCTTCTCTAGCTGATGTCAGTTTGTTATCTATAATTTGAAATCAAATAAATGGTCACAGACCAACATTTGATGGGTGCTACATCGACTACTAGAGCGAATGTATTGATCAGGGATTTAATTTTAAATTTTGGTCACTTTCCTGAAGTCAACTAATTTCTTTAAAGTATACCCGCTTTATATTGCAGTTTCATTTTTATTAAAAATCGATTTTAAATATTTTAGATGGTGTTAAACCGGCGAGAAAACGTCGTAGACTTGGTTTACGTTTGCCTAGACGAGAATCTGGCACAAGTCAGACAGGAACAACACAAAATACAGAAAATATGACTCTTTCATCTCCTACCAGCCGCTTGTCTACCTCTATATCAGCATCAATGAATCTTTTTCCAGTTGATATATCAACTCCAATCTGTGGAAGAAGAAGAGACCAATGTCTGTCGGATAATAATAATTCTACGATAGGAGATTTTTCACCGTCAGTCAGTGTAAACTCTACACCAAAGCCTGGAATTTCAGTATCTGAGTGTTTGGTATGTCTACTTACCTTGATTGTCTTTTGATTGTTTTTTTTTGAGATTTCAACATTTCAACAAAAATATTCATTCAGACATATTTATAAAACACAAAATAATTGAGCAAAGAAGAGTATCTCCCTTTCGATAATTTCCTCTTCTGGCTCTACAGTTACATATATCTGTATGTTTATATACATAGAATATTCTAGATTAGTAGTCAATAACAATATTAGTGTTTTTTAAATAGTAATATCGATTTGTAAAATATGATCACAATGGAATTACAGTTCATTAAAGATGCATAAATTATAATAATAATAATAAAGATATAATAGCAAATAGAATATCAAATAAAATTAAGAAAATTCCACAAAAATTGAGGATCATTCGAACCTAGATGGCCACTGGGGTAAGGATAATTTCTGAACCAACTTCTTTTCGACACATAAATTAGACTTCTTAATGTAGATCCCAATAGCCAGTCTCAGCGATATTTAGTAGTCGAACTCTTGAGGCAAAATTGAGATTCGTAGGTATCCGGTAAATGACACTGAAAGTATGGTTAACATCAATCTTGTATTCTGTATCCACAAGATGAGTGAGATAGAATAGCGCGGCGAATAGATTTAGTCTGTCGTTTGCTTAACCAACCACTATGCATGGTGATGTTCGGAAATCCGATGAGAAACACGCCTAATTGTACGGCCTATGCAACTAACTGGCTCCACAGGAGCACTCAGATTGATAGATACACGCACATAGAAGAGGCGAAATTAGACAGTTTATCTTCTACTCTCGAACGCAAGAGAGGAGTGGTTTTGAAGATACATCACAATTTGACAGCAGGGAATGCTCTTTTTACCGCATTTTTATGTATATAAACATACAGATATCTAATTGTACAGCCAGAAGAGGAAATTATCGAAAGGGGGATATTCTTCTTTGCTCAATTATTTTGTGTTTTTGAGATTTTGTCAATATTTGCTATTTTCCTCAAGAGATGGTATCAGTTACAGAATTATTATATAAAAACCAAAGCAGATTCCAGGGTAGAATTTGGTCATTATGGAATAATATGTACCAACCACTACCAACAGGGGGAGTCTAAACGAAGTTCTCTCTTTCGTATACCTAACTGGGTAGCTTCGTTTCAACTACAGGTGGCACAGTTGAGGATGTCAAGGCAGTGGAGGATGGCAAGAGTAAGACATGTCTTCATTATTGTGAAATCACTGTAGAGACGTGCTGGAATTAGTAGGATTTTCAACATTTATGTTGAATGGGTGATTCTATATGGTGCAGAGACGTAGCGTGTAATCAAAAGCATTCAAAATAGGCTACTGCAGGCCTTCATCAATACCTTCCTTCGTTGCTGTTTATGCTGAGTGCAGAATATTTCAAAACTGACTTCAGAGTGATGAAGGTATGCCTTGCCTTTTCGATTCTGACTTTGACATTCTCATCCATAGGACCGCCTGTGGCTGAAACGATGCTGGCTGTCTAGATAAGTGAAAGAAGTGTTGTCTTTCAAATTTCGCCTGTTGATAGTGACTGGTACTTGTTGTTGTTATCGCTGGTCTTCGAGTATGTGTGACATTAAAAGCATGAATCATCCGCGAAATTCAGATCTTCTAGAGTTTTATTACTGATTTAACATATTCTACCTCCCATGAACAGTCTTTCGCATAATCCAGTCCACTACACTCACGAATATCATTGATGATAATAGACTGACAGTCTTGTATTACTCCTGTATTCAATTCGTTGTGAATCACCTGACATGTGGAATCGTCATATAGAGCTGCTGTTAGCATGCAGTACATCTTTTATTCTCTCCAGGATAAAGCGACTTAGTATTTTACTTGGTGTGGACAAGACCATGATTCCGCGCCAGTTCCTACAGAGGCCTGAGTTGTCCTTCTTTGGTAGCTTGACCAGGTAGCCTTTCTTCCAACCAGTGGGGGTACCTTTCCTCCCTTCCAAACCTTTTGCAATAGTGACGATATCCGATAGATGATGGAAAAAGATCCTTCAATACTTATTGACTTTATGATCTATTTGGGCCAGGTGATCTGATATCAAACTGTAACGACAGAAGACAAGGGCCAGACAACAGATCGTTTATTGAGAAAATCAAGAGATATTTATAGATTTTCATTTACATTACTATATGTTATTGTTAGCAGAGAAAGAACGTCTTCCGATTGTTTGTTTTCCTACTAAAGGTTATTCTGTCATCTTGTGGCCGTTTCTTAGACGGTCCAGTCTTCGAATCGTATCTGCCCACGCTTAGTCTGCTGTGATTGGTTGTTGAGTTCCTCAAGGTTAGGCTTTGTTCTTGTTTTCGCTCCTGACACCGATTCGGGACGTAAGCATTGACGTAAATCGTTGCTTACAATTTTGGTTTGCAGACAGCTTTCACCTTTATTTAACTATACACTGATAGGTTTTGTCCCCGTGGACAAATTTATAAAGTATCTAGCTTTCAGTGGCTTAGATTAGCCTTCCATTAAATCAGATCTTTGGGAAATCTGACTACCCACCTGATAATTTGAATGCTGTAATATTGTAAATTATATTGATACCGAGTTTTTAGTGTAAAGCATTGACTGAACGGTTAAGCCGCTCTATTCCCAAACATAAGGTCACAAGTTCGAACCCCGGTACACTCACTATTTGGATATTTCCAAGTGCCTCACCGGGGGAGGGGAGAGCTGATCTTGCAAGAGGCTGGGATGAGTGTGTTTGGTTCTCCTGAAAACTAATATTCAATCACCTAGTAAATGGGTGTATCATGATGTGAACGCGTTGGCGGTTCTCTGGTAGAATGTTGGCCAACCACGCTGGAGGTATGGGGTTCGACTACCGCTCGATGCACTCGTGATTGAGGCTAGCAACCTCACGCCGTCTACAAAATACACCATTACTACTGAAACTTCAAAGCTCAAACTTGGAGCCCTCCATGTTCCACTCGGGACTCAAAGGAATGGGAAAAGAAATCCGTATTTTTACATTTCATCGGTACAATCATAGTTCCATTATGGATAAAATTTTATTTTGATAAATCACACCTTCTTCTATTCGTTTTATTTTACAGTCTAACATCATAGCTAATTCTCCTTGTTCATTTTCCGATTCAAGTGTGAATTTTATTCCCTCTACTAGTGAGTTTATATATGTGTGTGGAGAAGCTAGAGAGAGATATGTTCTGTTTTTAACACTGTGAGTGAAAGTGTCATCCACATATCTCCACCGCTTTTTTTGAGTAGGATTACGAAATACAAAATACCTTGCAAGGACTGTGAGGTCAACTATATAGGTCAAACTAGTAGATCGGGGGGTAATCCGATTGTCGGAACATAAGAATTTAGTGGCTAAGGTAAGAATGTTCGACCCCGAGAAGATAAGTAATTTAGAAAAAAGCTCAGCAATCGCACTTCACGCATTAACACACAACCACACAATAGGATGGGAGAGGGTTAAGATTCTAAGAAGTAATCTATGTAGATGGAGAGAGAGAGACTAGTTGATTACTGAGTCCTGCCTGGTTCATCGAGTGAATCTACACCCAACACATGCAACAGAAATGATCCAATGCAAATACCAGAGATATGTATGGAAGATATTATTACCACCAGTCAGTCAAATCAGAGGAGGATAATAAATAATCTTAAAATTCTATTCCGATTCACGTACATTATGACATTCTAAGAAGTTACTTATTATGATTATAAAAACACTCGTCTTATTTCCCATCTGATTGTAATTGATCAATAACACTCATATTATTATTTCTGACTGTAAATTATGTTATATTGATTTTTACTCAAATATATCTGGTCAATTCCACACATGTATATAAATGAAGCAAGAAGGTTGTGTGAGTAACTTGATATGATTATGAGCAGCAATAGTTTGTGCTCTAAACGTGGTCATCAGTTAATGTTATAGTATAACAATACTGTGTGATTTTATCAAAATAAAATCTTATCCATAATGGAGTTGTACTCTATCGCCACAGTGCCCAAGTTCTATACTTATAGCAGTCATATTTTTTTTGAATCCATAAAGTTACTTAATTTTAATTCTGCTATTTTTTTTTAGCCAAGCACTAGTTATTCAAATCCTGTTGTCATCCTTGAACGTATACCGTCTCCGTCGACATCACCTCTGACAAATACTGAACCATTACCTTATCAATCTAAAAAACGTTCAACACCAAGAGAAGAATTCAATGATCTTGAAGAGACAATCTTAACCTGTATACATACTGAGACTTCACAGATGGCGACGATGACAATGATAGATTCAGTGGTACCCACGGCTGAAGAACCAGTCTTCTCATCATTTCATTATGATTTTTCAGATCTAACCTATTGTTCACCAAATACTTCGAGCAGCAGTCAATATCCAGGTCGGTTAAGTTTGTATTCACAGACTCAATTATCCTTGGCAGTCGATACTAGCCCAACAGCGACAACAACTGCTAATACTGGTAATATTCCTGATGCTATTGATGATAATCAGTCAGCCGAATTGCTGTCACCATTGCCGTCGCCGTCGCCACCACCACCACCACGGAGGCCGCCAGTTAGACGTCCTCCATGCGCTCCGTCATTTTGGCGTCCAGTACATTCACCGCCTCGACTGAAAGTTGTAAATGATTGGCTTGAAAAGTTCAAGGCATTAAAGGAGGATAATAAACTGTCAACTATATTGGATAATAACGAAGAAGAGGGTGATGAAGAAGAAGAAGAGGAGGATGAGGAAGAGGGGGGAGATAATTCCTCTAATAATAACCAATCAGAATTAAGTGCAGAGAGAGATAAGTCAGCCTCATTGTCGAATGAATTATTTCAGCAGGTGACTACTTTTTCTTCCTTCTTTTCACTTTATTGTGTTGAAATCCCTTGCTGATTGACAGTTAATTTTCAAGTATTGGTTTTTGTAGGGATTTTTGTTTGATTGTATGGAGGATTTCATCATGAGCTGACATCAGTTAGAGAACCATTGGAAAACCCGGGGGTACTGGACAGCTGTTTCGTACTAGTTTGGGACTCTTCATCAGTACGCACTCGCCCAGGTATGCCAATGGATCTCTAACCAATGTCAGCTCATGATGAAATCCTGTAACCAATCAATCAAATCCTTACAAAAGAATACTTGAATACATTGAATATGCCTTACTTGGGAGAGGCTCTACACGTGTTTGGTCACATGAGACGGCATTTGGAGAGAAAGAGTTAAGTTTAACGGGGGGGGGGTAGTGGTGGCATCCATCACTTCAGAAATATGTGATCGTTATTCTTCAAAATTATTGTATCTCATCCATTTGATATCTGCTAGTCCAATTCAAACGTGGTGGTCTTTTTATTCTTCATTCTTGCTGCTTGAGTAAAGCTTCTCACACCAGGTGTCCAGGTGTCATCTTTAGTGCTACAGCAGCAGCTATAATTTGGAGAAACAGTATTGTAGTATATGTATTCATTCAGTTACCATCTGTCTAATCGTGACCTGACACACTGCTACTTACTTGACCGTGATGTTAGTTCATTCAGAATCCTAGTGATGAATACATCCATAAAACTTACGTTCCTTATTCGTATTGTTTGTCTTCCGTAAGTGCTGTGATCTGTTTTAGTCGGCGTTATTCTGTTTTTCCGGTTGGGGTTGCTAGCCAGCCTCATGGTAGCACAATCTTCGCTCTTTACCGAGCTTTACTACCAGCCAAGCAAGGCTCAGCAGTGTGTCGGCCGGGGATTGACCCCTGGATCACGTGTGTGTGCTTGGCAAGTGTTCTATCACCGAACAAACTATCGATGCAACGAAATTACTATTTTATTTTATTATTTTTATTGATTACAGCTTGATTCCACACCGTATATTTTGGTACAGGTATTGAATTTTCAGCATGTGATATCGGTAGCTCAAATTTTGCAGACCGGCTATAGATATCAGGTGTGCATCGGCAGGGTATCGAACCCCGGACCATATGCATGTTCGGCGAGAGTCCTAACCACTGTGCCACTGACGCACAGTTGGTAGGTGAAGCTAGAAGTTTTACTTAGTATACCTCTATATTATTAGTCTCATTGTGAATTTATTCTCGACGAGTATTCTGTTATAAAAGTGTAATTTTACCATGAGATTTGTAGCTTTGAATGAAGATTCAACAGTGAGAATTGTCTGTCGCACTCATAATTCTGAACATTTTGTTGTCTTTCTTCTACTGTGTCTCTCATCTTACTACTGTTCAGTGTGAATACGTATATCAAAACACTTTTGTATCGTTGATTGGTTATAATTTCTCATTGGTAATGAGCTCGGATCGTAGAATTGCCAACCACATGGTTAAAGATAATGTTACTAGCTCAAATAATAGTAATCAGATGTACAATTAAAATTATATTTACTGATTTCGGAGATTAATAAACGTCTATCTCGTTTTTCAAATCTACTGTTGATTAGTCGAGTTGTAGTAGTGCATCTAGGATTGACTTGTTACCATCAGGGAATAATCTCGTTGATTTAGAATATGTAGATGATATATATTTCTTCTAGGTGAAGACGTTGACAAAATCCAGCTGAGTCTTCTGAACACCTTGAGGAGCAGCAATCTTCGAATGTTTGGCATGCGATTCGTTCCTGCTGTGAAATGTAAGATGATGCTAAGGGACTGGACTACATTGACTCTCAGTAAAGAAAGAGGGGAGTGAGTGAAGTGGTTGGTGGAGCGTGTTCACCACTTCCTTATTTAGGAAGTTGTGTCAGCCAATGCGAGTGAGTTGATCGCTGACGGAATCTCACCACGTATACAGAAGGCTCGCTCTGTATATGCCCACCAACTTACGCCATCTCTAGCTTAGTAGACGTGATATTCAGTTGCCTATCGACCAAAAGACGTCTGTACTGCTCTGCAGTCACTTCGCTCTATCATCTTTTATGCCTGTGAATGAGATATAGCCATTGAAAGTGGGAGATATTAAAAGGCTGGCTAGCTGTCTTTGGTCATAGGTGCCTGCGTTCTACCTCCGGTGTCAGGTGGTGGCACAAAAGGGTGGGAAATATTGAGGTTAGGCATCGGTCGAGTGCTAGGTAAGGAGGAGAAATCTACCGATGATGTTGTGAAGTTACATATATTGAGATGGTTAGGACATATTTTACGCATGCGTACCTAGTTATCGATCGCTGACAGGATGTATCAAGTTGGAAAACAGCTAGTGGTGGTCAAACCATAGCATAGCTTCATCGGTCAGTGAGATTCATAACAGTTCGCTTAAGTCAGCCATTCACTTAGGGAGGTGTAGAGTTCGTGACTGGTTGAGTTCCTCGGGGTGATAAGAACCAATGGTAACTAGAAACATTTGGTGAAATGTCTCAAAATCGTTCTCGGTGATGGCTGGCGCAGATGCATTCAGTCTTTGTGATTTCTAATATCCAATAAAACTCCGTTGTTCTTTCATATTTCTATTCTTTTTCCCTCACTTACACTTGTTCATTATCTCTCCTAACCTAATCTCTTCTCTTGCTTTGTGTGCTACACAGGTGGAGTGTGACAACTGGAGCTGGTCCACATCTGTGCAAAGTACTACGTTGAAACCAGTCAGTTAGTCAGTCATTTTTCTGCCGTCAATAGTGATTGGTGCTTGTTGTTGGTCATTTGATATCTTCATCACCTCTGCATTCTCAATCTTCACCTGTGATCCGTTCTTCTCTGCTTGCTTTATCTACCAGCTTTTTAGTGTTTTCCACGTGTACACCTTCGAGTTTCTGTAACATTAGACATAAAGTCTGAATCTTTCAGTATATTCTCATCTTTCCAACGTATATGTTTTTTCTTGCCTCTTATGGTGGTGTGCGACAAGGGTGCTTATTATCACCAATGATACTCCTAATTGTGGTGGACTGGATTATGCGTCAGACAGTGGGAAACGAGAAGACAGGGATATCCTGGACCTACATGAAGAACCCAGAAGACCTGGATTTCGCGCGTGGATGATTTATGTTTGATGTCACACAAGATCGAAGACTTACAAGCGAAAACCGACAAACTGGTCGAAGAAGCAGCCAGAGAAGACAGGATTGCAGGTGAACATAGACAAGACGGAGGTTATGAAAATAAACAACCAACAACACCAGCAGCAACATCCACCGCCAATCATCATCAACGGGAGGGATTTGAAAGAGGTTACTTCATTCACTTATCTAGGGAGCATTGTTTCAACTACAGGAGGAACGGACGAGGATGTCAAATCGAGCGAGAATCGGGAAGACGAGAAACACATTCATCAACCTGAAACCAATCTGTATATCTTCGTCACTCAGCCTGCATCAACAACAAAATGATTCGGATTTTCAATACAAACGTCAAGTCAGTCAGTTCTTCTATACGGATGGATCAGAAACTTGGCGGGTCACCAAGAATATTTCCAACAGCCTGTTGCAGACCTTTATCAACAGCTATCTTCGTTCTATACTACTGAAGATCAGATGGCCGGAAAGAATCACCAACAAGAAACTATGGGAACAAACAAAACAAGAACCAATCGCCCAACAAATATGCAGGAGAAAGTGGAGATGGATTGGACACTCACTCGCTGAGGAGGCCTCTGGGTGACATCGTGCGTCAGGCCATTGTTCGAGTGGAACCCGAAAGGGAAGCAGCGAGTTGGTCGTCAGTGCAAGGGTAACATGGAAGAGATCGTGTGAATAGGAGTTGAAACAGTGTGGACTAACATGGATGCAAGTGAAAAGTACAGCACAAGACAGAAAAAGTGGAGGCGTGCAGTTGAAGCCCTATGTTCCACTAGGAACCCAAGGGAACAATAATAATAATATGGGGTTGTTCAGGATTGAGTCTACCAACCATATAGTTAAATATAATCACACTGACTGTAGCTCGCCTAGTCTGATATCATATAACCTTACATGTATATTATTTTAAGTGTATTGAAATAGGCATTTCTCGGTGTTAATCTATTTTTTCTCTCCCCTGTTTCATTTGTCATATAGGAGACATCAGATAAAATACTGAACTCCACTCATCATCATCATCATCATCCTTCTTCAGTTGACAGTATAGTGAAGACACTTTCCAGCGGACAGAATCACTCACAAGGTTGCAGTATGAAAAATGTATCAGCTGATGAATCTTTTTCAAATACTCGACAATCAACCATTGGCTCTGTCAGTCTTTTATATCAGACAGCTAACGATCGTTGTTATTCATCAATTCAGGTATTGTATTTTGTTCTCTGTTATCACACTAATATTTATTTAGTATCCTCTTTAACCATCGATATTTACGTTCTATCCATCGCGTTAAGTGGTATAATAGAGTGAGCAAAGTTGAGGTTTAGGCATTCAGTGTTGGCTAAGGAAGGTAAATTAATCGATTGAGATGTCTAGGACACATGTGTAGGGTATGCCTTCCTCGACTTCCAGTGTTCACTGACATAGGATCAGGTTGGAAGAGAGTTAGAATTGGTTATACACGAACCTGGGATCAACCTATGAAGTCTCTGAGAGCTTGTTTAAGTGTGTCACATAGTGGGGAGGTGTAGACTGCCTGACTGGGGTCGTCAAGATTCCAGAAAGTAATATCTGAAGACTGATGGCAAAGCTGCATTCACTTTTTGAAATCTCCTAGGTTCATTATGTTCTCATGTTCCCCAATGTTACTATTCTTTTTCGCTGTACATTTCTGTTCTTTATGGTTCTTCTGAATTTGTGTGCTATATGAAGTTTAATTATAAATTATTTAAATTAATCCCAGCGTGTTACGAAAATCAAAACAAGATCTGTTTTCTGAACGTTTCGCTGTGTAAGCCACAGCTTCTTCAGCAGCAGATTTATTCGGATTTTTAGTAATCATCAAAATATTATAGTCAAGAATTTCATTGAATTTTTAGATTTTTCCGTCGATTGATTATACCGAAGTGCTCGGTCTCAGGTTGACATGTCGGCTTCTTGAGCAGATGCTTCGACGATATCTGGGCATTTAATTAGTACTTAATTGGTGGATGGTGACTAGCAGTTGAATCCAGAATGCGCATTTTTTCCTATTTGGGACTCGTCATCTGGATGTACCTGCATTTCTCAGTGAGTGATGATGTTCCCACCGAGGCTTGAACCCAGTGCCCATAGTTTTAAACGCCAAAGCGTTATCCACTAGACCACTTGGGCCACGAGAGCCACCTCTTGTGCAACGGGTCATATCAATTATTTAACGCTTTGGCGTTTGAAACTATAGTCACTGAGTTCGAGCCTCGGTTGTGGGAACATCATCACTCACTGAGAAATGCAGGTACATCCAGATGACGAGTCCCAAATAGGACGAAATGCGCATCCTGGATTCCACTGCTAGTCACCATCCACCAATTATATAGTCAAGAATATTTACATAAATTGAAGTCAGTTTATTTGGAGGTCATTTATCCATGGAACTTTTTACCAATAGAAATATGCAAGCAATCATTACATATATTTGTAATGACTGATGTCAAATTGTTGTTGTGTTCACTCTTCTATATTTAAGTTTTGTATGAGTGTATGTGTGTATGTTATTTGTCATATGGGAAATACATGAATTCATATGTGATAAACAAGAAACTACACGTTTTAAAAGGTCATGGAGGCTCATAGAGTGCTTATTGTTTTTTCATCTGTCTTGCTTCATAAGAGTTTGCCATATAGAGGTGATAAGTCTATCCCTTCTTTCCTATTCCCTGCATTCGATGTGGTTAAAATGTGCAAGGCTTCAAAAGTCATTCTTTCTTTATGTGAATGAAATCCTCTTCCAAGAATTTCTACATTGTCGAAATCAATCTTATGTCCGTTGTCTATCGCATGCATTGCTATAGCCGGTCTTTTTTCTAGACTTTTTAGTTCTTCATCATTTCCGGGTGGACGTTTCGTGCATAGTCTATGTTCATTCACTCTGACCTTCATCTGCCTCCTGCTCTCCCCTATATAGCATGCATCACATTCTCAGCACTTTATCTTCTAGACACAATTACTTTGTGACATCTTGGGAACGATATCTTTGACATGCACCAGCGCTTTCTCCAGAGAATTAGAAGGTTTGACATAGATTTTAATATTATTTTTGAGGCAAATAGTCTTTGAAGTTGTTCCGCTGTGTCTTTTCGATATGGGATAGCTATCGACGATAAATCTACTGAAGAAGCTGTGGCTGCTTACACAGCGAAACGTTCAGAAAACAGATCTTGTTTTGATTTTCTTAACACGCTGGGATTAATTTAAATAATTTATAATGAATCAATCTGATTCGTCGCTCAAATTATTCCAGGAAGTTCGTAACACCTACGGCCTGGAAACCTATAATTTTATATGAAGTTTGGCCTATTTGAGGTGCTGCACTGCTGTGCTTAGTTCTATGTTAAAATCCAGTCATTCAGTCATATGAAATGTATGCTTTGACTGTGTTCGATAACTTATTCTTCTCCATCAGATGTAATAGAATGCTGGAGAATCAGTCTGTTATACCAACTCCTAGTTTAAAGACGATATGGTGAAAACAGTTGATGAATGCGTTGACTACTTTACTTGTTAAAGAAAGTACATTGAATCCAATACATTTGTTTTGATGAGTTGATCACGGATTGATATCAGTTAGAGAACCATTGAAAACCAGCCACATGGAGTACTGGACAGCTGTTTCGTCAGCCTAGTTCGGGAATCATCGGCAGTACGCACCCACTACCAGGGTTCGAACCTAGGACTTTCCGGTTATAAGGCAAGCTAGCTGGTAAACTATTTAGCAACTGGGACCCGATTCAATGGCCCGTCGGCCAGTGGCTGAATGGTCTACGAGCTTGCCTTGTAACCAGAAGGTCCTGGGTTCGAACCCTAGCTGTGAGTGCGCACTGCCAATGATTTCCAAAAACAAGGATGAAACAGCTGTCCAGTACTCCCTGGTTTTCAATGATTCTATAACTGATATCAATCCAAAGTCAAACTCGAAAAACATTGAAAATTACTGTCTGCTTTGCTTGGACACTCTTATTTAAAGAACTTTTCCGTATGTGTTCTGAAAGTGTCTGCTGAACATAGAAGTGAAGAAAAAACGGAAACCACAGGAGAATATAGATTCTAAAATTTTTAAAGAGTTCTATTGAATACGAAAGCTTTGTACACTTATGGAAGTGTTTCGGTGATTATTACTTTTTATAAAACCCAAAATAATTGAGCAAAGAATATTCCCCTTTCGACAATTTCCTCTTCTGGCTCTACAATTATTTATATATGTTTATATACATATAATATTCTAAAATAGTAGTCAATCACAACATTAGTCATTTTTAAATAATATCGATTTGTAAAGTAAGACCAATGGAATCACAAATTCAGTTCCTCGTGGACAACATCAGCGAGATACTAACACAAAGCCTTAGAGATGCGCTAAAACCAGCATCTTCTGCTGCTGAATTACGCTGTTCGGAGGCAAAAGAAAAGCTGCCTAATTTCGCCTCTTCCATGTGTATCTACCAACTTAACTGCTCCTGTGGAGCCAGTTAGTTGCATAGGCCGTACAATTAGGCGTGTTTCTCGTCGAATTTCCGAACATCACCCTGCATGGTGGTTGGTTAAGTAAAGGACAGGCAAAATCTATTCGCAGCGCTATTCTATCTCATCTTGTGGATATAGAACACATGATTGATGTTAACCAGGCTTTCAGGGTCATATACCGCATACCTACGAGTCTCAATTTTACCTTAAGAGTTCGACTACTAAATATTGCTGAGGCTGGCTGTTGGGATCCACATTAAGAAGCCTAATTTATGTGTCCAAAAGAAGCTGGTTGGTTCAGACATTATCCTTACTTTGGCCATTTAGGTTTGAATGATCCTGAATTTTTGTAGAAATTTCCTTAATTTTAGTTGATATTCTATATGCTATTATATCTTTATTGTTATTATCATAATTTATGCCTTTTTAATGAACTGTAATTCCATTGCGATCTTACCTTACAAATCGGCTTTACAAAGCATAGTTTCATTGATATAAGTATAAAACTTGGGCACTGTGGTAGAGTATTACTCCATAATGGTTAAGATTTTATTTTGATAAATCACACAGTGTTGTACAGTTATATTAACTGATGACGTTTCGAGCACAAACTATTGCTCATAATCATAACTTGATATGATTATGAGCAATAGTTTGTGCTCGAAACGTCATCAGTTAATATAACTGTACAACACTGTGTGATTTATCAAAATAAAATCGTAACCATTATAAAGCATCGTTTCAACTACAGGCGGAACTGACGAGGATATCAAAGCAAGAATCGGAAAAGCAAGACAAGCTTTCACTACTCTCAAGTCTGTGTGGAGGTCAACAACTCTCAGAATCAAAAATAAGATCCGGATTTTCAACTTCAATGTGAAGTCAGTGCTACTATACGGATCAGAGACTTGCACTGCGCGTCATAAAGAGCATTTCAAACAAACTACAGACCTTCATTAACAGTTGTCTTCGCTGAATACCGCTCAAGATCAGATGGCCAGAAAAGATCAGCAGTAGGGACCTGTGGGAGCAAACCAACCAGGAACCGATTGTGAAACAAATTGGCAGGAAGAAATGGAGATGGATTGGCTGGTCATACTCTGAGGAAACCATCAAGTGACATCACTAGACAAGCCATTGCTCGAGTGGAACCTGAAAGTGAAGCGGCGAGTTTATTTGTCCGAAGGTGACATAGAGGTGGAGGAGGTGATGTGAAGAGGAGTTGAAAGCATGTGGGCAGACCTGGAGCCAGGTGAAAACATTGGCAGAGAACCGAACGTAATGGAGACGCATGGCTGAAGCCCTATGTTCCTCTAGGAATTAAAGGAAACAATAATGATATAATAATTTACAAATTGATATTATTTAAAAAACACTAATATTGTTATTGACTACTAATCTAGAATATTCTATGTACATAAACATACAGATATAATTGTAGAGCCAGAAGAGGAAATTATCGAAAGGGGGATATTCTTTTCTCAATTATTTTAGGTTTTATAGATGTCTGGATGAATATTTTCGCCATATTACTTTTTAGCTACACACACTCTTCGGCTGATACATGTTCGAAGTAGTTCCTGAAGTTGTGTATGCATGAAGATCTTATCACCGGTTACCAACCTCTACATAGTAAGTGTGGATTTGCAATTCTGAAGGTCAAGTCAACCTTCTCTAACCCCTCTCTCTGTCTATCCAGAGCAGAGGAGCAACATAGGGGTGTGGCTGCTGGTTGTCTGAGAGGTCTGCCTCCTCATAGTGTCCTAATATAATGTAGACAGCCTACATTATGATGATCAGGACAGCTTCTAGTCTAACCACAGTCCAAACGATCTTTCTGGTATAGACGGACATTCAGGAATATTTTGTTCCAACTCAGGTCTCAAGGTCATTTAGATATGGCCGGCCCACCACCACGTCAAGGTAGCAGCTATCGATGGAGTTTCATTGAATGCATGCAATTATATGTACACGATTTCGTTAGAATGGAAACTAACCGTTTCTATCTTGACGCTTTCTTTTTTTTAATTGTTGATAAAAGGTTGATCACACCACTGTCGCTAGCTTAGAATTACACTGTCGTAGTCGTCTTACAAAGTCATCAACTGTTGGTGCCCCCACTGCTACAGCAGCAACAACAACGACGAACGATTTCACCATGTCAACATCAAAGTACACAAAGCCATCCAGTAATTATCAATCGAAATGTGGTTTAATCCCAGATCCTAATTTCGACCCGATTCAAGTGGCTTGTTTGAGTTTTTCGCATCCTCAACAAATACCTACTTCAACTGCCACTACTACTACTACTGCTACTGCAACACCAACAGAAACATCTGGTAAACAAATTCGTTACACAAATTTATTTGTACTAATTCTCCTATCAGAATTATCCGGTGTCAATGAAACGACAGTGTCGTCATTTAGGCAATTACCGCCGAAATATTTGCATGGATTAACTAATAATGGTTATGGCAGGAGGCGGAGGAAACGCAACCTGATCCCGTGTATCATTTGGTGTACAACGGAATGGAATCTGATTTCATGGATTGTTTATCTCATTCAAACGTAATTTTTTCAAATTTAATTTTAATTTTTTCACTGTTTTTGCGTTGGTGTTTTTCGTTTTTTCCTACGGTGTCAGGCCACTGGTCTGATCCGGGCTTAACCTTCTTTCTGGGATTACTACTGTCTAGGAGAGGTTTATAAGTTCGTCAGCTGCAAATCGAACCAAGACTCTGGCGTGCGTAGTTTGCTGGTGAATATATTTTACCACTGAAACATCGACGTACAATGATTATATATATATATATATTTCCCTTCTAATACTACCATCATAATCATACCATAAGGCTGTAACCAACACAACTTGGAAACTTGGTTTTTGTAGTTCTCATTCTTCTTTCCTGTTGGTCAATCGGGGAGGGTGTGTGTGGGTGTGTGTAGAATTTTCCAGATATCTAGTACAGGTGTTGAATCATTTTGTATTGTACATTTTCTTATTATTATTATTATTTCCTTTAGTTCCTAGAGGAACATAGGGCTTCAGCCATGCGTCTCCATTGCGTTCGATTCTCTGCTAGAGTTTTCACCTGGCTCCAGGTCTGCCCACATGCTTTCATCTCCTCTTCACATGATCTCCTCCAGGTCACCCTTGGACGACCAACTCGCCGCTTCCCTTTCGGGTTCCACTCGAGGGCTTGTCTAGTGATGTCACTTGCTGGTTTCCTCAGAGTGTGGCCAATCCATCTCCATTTTTTCCTGCCTATTTGTTGCACAATCGGTTCCTGGTTGGTTCGCTCCCAGAGATCTTTGTTGCTGATCCTTTCCGGCCATCTGATCTTGAGTATTGAGCGAAGACATCTGTTAATGAAGGTCTGTAGCTTGTTTGAGGTGCTCTTTGTGACACGCCAAGTCTCTGATCCGTATAGTAGTACTGACTTCACATTGGACATTTTCTTAGTTATTTCGATAAACAAAGACACAGGGATCAGTCTCTCCCCTTCAACCTGTTGTATGAGATTTTAATACCTGTTACCATGCCTCATCCTATTGTTGTATGGTTGTGTTTATAATCGTATGCAGAGCGATAGCTGATCATTTTTCTAAATTTATTTTATTAAGTCTGCGCTGGGTTGGATTTCGCTAGTCTTGTTAACTTCAACATTGCTTATAGTACATGTATTTACTTTGGATGATATGAATGCATTACACTGCTGAGCTTGAAGCAGAAGTTATCGAAAATGAATTTGAATGAACTGTGATTGACACAATGAAGAAGTGATTTGGTTTTACATTCATTGCATTTTAAAAGTTCTTCCAGTGGTGTCGTTCATTATGGTGTGTGCCTGCAGCCTCACACCGATCAGGAAGTCAACACAGGGTTCCTGTGTGGCCAGTGTGTGCTTTAAACCATCATACCACTGAATAACCAAGAAGTGACATGTTACTATTAATAAATTCCGTTAGGTTCTGAATGAGACATGGAACTTCAACAGCACACCTCTATGACATTCTGCTCTCTGCAGTCTCCTTCTTATACGATCTTCTATGTGTGTCACTCTCGAGAGGCGAACTCGTTGCTCGCTTCCAAGTCTCTGAGCCATATAGAAGTACTGATGGCCTGCCCATGGATTCAAAGTTTAGCTTTGAAGTTTCAGTAGCAGTGGTGTGTCTGTTTATGGGGTGGGGTTGCTAGCCTCAACCTGCCCAACTTCCCCTCTTTGTTGCGATTATAACCGCCTAAGGAAGGTAAAGGTGTGCGCTGGTCGGGACTCGAACTCCGGGATACGTCCATGGTTAGCCAAAACTCTACCGCTGAACCGCCGACATACATAATTTGGCTATATAGAGACAATTGGTGATGATATGTCTCAAAATCGTTCTCAGTAGCTGGCGCAAATGCATTCACTCATTGCGGTCTGTCATATCCAATAAAATAACTATAGTTCTCCTGTATTACTACTCTTTTTACCTCACTCAAACTTCTGTGTATTATGGGATGGAAAATAAATAGACGAGACTGTGAAGTTACATCGACTGAGATGGTTGGGACATGTGTTACGTATGCTAAGCTTAGCCATCGCCTTCCTCGATAATGGGTAGTGTTAGCTGACATAGGGTCGGGTTGGAAAAGAGCCGGCCAGTGGTGGTCATACCAAAACATAGCTTCATCAGTCAATCAAATCCACAACAGTTAGTTTAACTTAGTTAAGTAGGGAGATGTAGACTTCCTGGTTGGGGTCCTCGGGACGGTAAAAACCAATGCCAGCTCGTGACAATCGGTGATATGGCTCAAAATCGTTCTCCGTGATGGCTGGAGCACATGCATCCACTCCTTGTGACTTATAATATCTAATAAAACTACGTATATTGTTCTTCGATATTACTATTCTTTTTGCCTCATATTTCTGTTTACTGTCTCTATTTTGCATTTCTTTTTTACTTTTCTCTCTTGCTTTGTGTGCTGAGTGAAGTGTGGCGACTCGTACTGCTGCATACCTGTGCAAAGAACTACGTTGGAACCAGTCAGTCAGACAATCAATGAAATAACAGAAATAAAGGAAACTTATACGTTAGATAGACAGACAGACAGACATTTGCACTAGTCTCTCCCTACAAGCAAACTACAACCATGAAAAAAAAATTCAAATTTCCAAATTTTTCAACGAAACATTAAGATATTTAAAAAAATAGACTAGTTTTTTTAGTTACACATTAGTCAACACAGATAAGGCCTTTTAAGTGACATCTCTTCATCAGATCCTACAAGTTACACGTTCGTAATAATTCAAAAAATTATTGTTATTCAACAGCATTAATGAAGATAACCAACTACCACCAACAGGAACAGCAACAACAACCAACACCAATCACAATCAACGGGAGAGATTTAACAGAGGTTGCCTACTTCACTTATCTGGCCAGGAAGCATCGTTTCAACTACAGGCAATCGGAACGCATGAAGATGCCACAGCAAGTCAGAATCGCAAAGAAAAGATACGCCTTCATCAACCTGAAACCAGTTTGAAAATCTTCCGCACTCAGTATAAGGAACAAGATTCGCATTTTCAACACCAATGTAAAATCGGTCAGTGCTTCTATACGGGTTAGAAACTTGACCAGTGTGTCATGAAAAGGATTTCCAAGAGCCTGTTGCAGACTTTCATCAACAGCTGACCACTTCCCTGACTCCATACTGAATATCAAATGGCCAGAAAGAATAAACAAAAAGAAACTGAGGGAGCAAACCAACAGGCGAGAGAAGATCGCCCAACAAATATGTAAGAGAAAGTGGAGATGGATCGATCAGGCATACATTGAGGAGGAATCCAAATGGGAAGCGATGAGTGGGTTGTCAGTACGAAGTTGACATGGAGGAGATCGTATTAGGAAGAAATGAGAGAGTTTGGGCAATCATGAGGACGGCAGAAAACGGAACAAAGTGGAGATGTGTTGTTGAATCCCTATTTTTCACTCCGAATGCAAGGGAAAAATAATTAGTAATATTGATAGATTATACAGTTTAAAAGCATCTGTAAATTTTCAAATTAATGCTTAAGTGAACAGAGAATGGACTCTGCAAGAACTGGCGAGGAATCATGCTCCTGTCGACGCCAAGTAAAATCCTGAGTCGCATCATCCTAGAGAGAATAAAAGACGCACTGGATACAGAACTCCGACCAGAACAAGCTGGATTCAGGAAAGGCAAATCATGTTCTGACCAAATTGCAACTCTACGCATTATCATCGAACAAAGCATGGAATCGCTGGCAATCAAACATCTACCTCAACTTTAGAGACTTTGAGAAGGCCTTTGATAGACAGCGTTGACCGCGAAGTAATTTGGAAACTACTCAAGTACTACGGCGTAAAGCAAATATTCATCAACCTTATTCAACAGCTGTACGACAACGGCACATGTCAAGTGATCCACAACGGAAAACTCAGCGAAGCGTTTGGAGTAAACACAGGAGTCAGACAAGGGTGCTTATTATCACCAATGATATTCCTAATTGTGGTGCACGACTGGATTATGCGTCAGACAGTGGGAAACGAGAAGACAGGGATATCCTGAACCACCGACGTGAAGAATCTAGAAGACCTGGATTTCGCGCGTGGATGATTCATGTTTGATGTCACACAAAATCGAAGACTTACAAGCGAAAACCGACAAACTGGTCGAAGAAGCAGCCAGAGAAGACAGGACTACAGGTGAATATAGACAAGACGGAGGCTATGAAAATAATCAACCAACAACAGGAGTAGCAACATCCAGCGCCAATCATCATCAACGGGAGGGATTTGAAAGAGGTTACTTCATTCACTTATTTAGGGAGCTTTGTCTCAACTACAGGAGGAACAGACGAGGATGTCAAATCGAGAATCGAGAAGGCGAGAAACACATTCATCAGCCTGAAACCAATCTGGAAATCTTCCTCACTCAGCATCAACAACAAAATGTTTCGGATTTTCAATACAAACGTCAAGTCAGTCAGTTCTTCTATACGGATGGATCAGAAACTTGGCGGGTCACCAAGAATATTTCCACCAGCCTGTTGCAGACCTTTATCAACAGCTGTCTTCGTTGTATACTGAAGATCAGATGGCCGGAAAGAATCACCAACAAGAAACTATGGGAACAAACAAAACAAGAACCAATGAATCAACAAATATACAGGAGAAAGTGGAGATGGATTGGACACTCGTTGAGGAGGCCGTTGGGTGACATCGCGCGTCAGGCCATTGCTGGAGTGGAACCCGAAAGGGAAGCTGTGAGTGGGACGTCAGTGCAAGGGTGATATGGAGGAGATCGTGTGAAGAGGAGCTGAAACAGTATGGACTAACATGGATGCAGGTGAAAAGTACAGCAGAAGACAGAAACAAGTGGAGACGTGCAGTTGAGGCCCCATGTTCCACTAGGAACCCAAGGGAACAATAATAATAATATAATAGAACAGAGAATATTTATAGATATAAGAGAATTAATTTTAAGTCTCATGTTATTTAAATTCATTGTACACACCATTTACATAATTTTTATACAATTACTGAGAAACTGGTGCTTTTTAGTTACTGGAGTTTATTTTTTATTCTCAGTAGTATTTGTGAAATGAAAAATCATTCAATGATGTAATGCTTAGCTTTACTTTGTTCTGTTTTTTTTTCTCCCAGATTTAATCCTGAAATACTGATTGGTTATGATGTAGAGCGTTATTCATGGGGTTATTTAGTTGATCGTGCAAATCACTTTGGACGTCGAACAATAACTCGAGAATTATCACGTTTAGCATCAGGTAAGACCGAGCGAGTGTGTGTGTGAGAGAGAGAGACTGAGAGTTTAAGTTATTTGCATCATTGTGACAGTGAGCGTTTTACTTACTTTACTTTTCTTCGGCTATCTCCTACGGGAGGATGAGCCGGTTTCATGAACAAGAGTTCATGAAGTTTCATGGGAATTTGGTAGGAGTGATGTCCCCAGAATCGCTCGGCCTTTTGTTTGAGAGTGCAGCTCTAGCCTTTACACAACCAAGTGTGACCTACAAGGCAGTAGGAGTGGAGTAGGAAGTCCACTATCCATTGGCAGCCGGTGACCGGAGTTCGGTTCATACGCCTTTTTGAATGGGGCCAGACATCCAGGACATCCAACAAGCCCTTTGTCCATACGTCTGCCGGTGAACTCCAGTGAGCTTCATACGCCAGTCGTTGGAGGTTTGGAATCAGGGTTTAGCCGTCTCCCCTAGACTGTCATCCAATGAACGGTCAACCCGGTGAAGAGCGCCGGGCATCTGCTTCCGCCCTCTTACTGTGGTGAAAAACACCTCCGCCACGTGAAGGCAGTGAGTAGGACGTCCTGAGGAGAGGCTATGTAAGACGCCCGGCCATATGGGAGCATTTTCCTTAGCGTTTTCCTTAGCACTGGTAGTTTACCGCGCAACGAAACATTTAAGATGACTTCATTTTCAGTTATTTCATGTTGAGTTCAAATCCGCTTACACCTACTTCAACCTGGGCGCATAAATTCAATAAGTTGGGTTCATATCCTGGAGTAGGAAAGATCATATCCAGCTGAGCGATTTCAATCATTCGTTGATTTGATCCATGTAGGGAATTATTGACTGTTTGGCTTAATTTCTTCAAAAATCAGAAATTTGTAAGCATTATTAATTCTTAGTAAAACGCTTTAAAATTGTTCATATTGTCTCAGATGTTTCCAATTCTGAACAACACTAATCTTTGTCCAGTTTTTCCTCCTGTTCAATTCGTTTTTTGTGTGTGTTCTGATTTAATGTCTCGTAAATTGGGATGAAGTGCGTCGGTGGCATAGCGGTTAGGATGCTTGCCGACCATGCACATGGTCCGGGGTTCGATCCCCGGCCGACGCACTCCTTTACCTCGTAAAGCCAGAAATAATGCTGGTGAAGAGGAAAGGTTTGGCATGAGGCAAGCAACTACATCCTTTAAAATAAACACTGCTATAGAAACTTCAAGCCACTAGCTTGAAGCCCTATGTTCCACAGGGAACGTAAAGGAAAAAAAAATTGGGATGATGTACACAGACTCGAGGTTCTGTCTAACTGAACTGACAGTGATTTATAGGTCTATATATAGTTGTTAGTTGGTGGATGGTGACTAGTAGTGGAATCCAGGATAAAGCGCATTTCATCCTATTTGGGAATCGTTGGTGGCTGGATGTACCTGCATTCCGCAGTGAGGGATGGTGTTCCCACCACCGAGGCTCGAACTCAGTGACTATAGTTTTTATTTTTATTTATTTTTTCTAAATTTTTTAATTTTTGATTACAGTTTGATGCCACACAGTATTTCCAGTACAAGTATGGAATTTTCAGCATGGATATCGGTAGCCCAAATTTTGCAGGCCGACCATAGATATCGGGTGTGCGTCGGCAGGGGATCGAACCCCGGACCATATGCATGGTCGGCGAGAGTCCTAACCACTGTGCCACCGACGCCAAAGCTTTAAATAATTAATATGAACCGTTGCACAAGAAGCAGTGGCTCTCGTGGCCCAAACGCTTTAGCGTTTGAAACTATGAACACTGGGTTCAAGCCTCGGTGGGGGGAACATCATCACTCAGTGCAGAATGCAGGTACATCCAGCCACCAACGATTCCCAAATAGGATGAAATGAGCTTTATCCTGAATTCCAGTGCTAGTCACCATCCACCAATCAACTTCTAATTAAATGCCCAGACATCGTCGAAGTATCTGCACAATAAGCCGACATGTCAACCTGAGACTGGGCACTTCGGTCCAATCAATCGATGGGAAAATCTAATATTAAATTAAATATATATAGTTGATTCACATCTATTTGAGTCATAATAACTCATGTATTACTCTGCTCAACTCATCAACCACTGATGATTGCCAGGGAAGTACATCTATTCTGTGAAGGCTGGGGATACTACCCAACTGTCTGAATCTGTCTAAGTGGTGTGGGGTTCGAACCTATGACCTACTACTGGGTGAGCCAGTGCTTCACACGTTCACTCCATTAATAATTAATATAATAACTTAAATTTCCATAATTATACTTATGGTATGCGAAATGGCATAAATACGCTTCGTGGATTCCACTGTTAGTCAGTATTCGCTAAAAATGAAGTCATGTTTACCCTACGGCATCATCGACGTTTCAAGTGAGACACTGAGCATTTCTCAACCAAGTGATGAAAATCACTCAACAGGAGATTCTACAACAATGGCGTGTATAGACAATTCTCTTCTCACCAAACAGGATAGGAAGCTTGAGTTAACCTGCGATGTCCTTAAGAAAAGAATTGCAATATCTTTGAGGAAAACACTCCTCTCAGCAACTCCTAAGAGTAGTGCTCTTTAGTCGTCTATTGGTCTGCAGAAACCTGAAGTACAAGATCTTTCTTGTGATTACTTCTATATGCATATGTGTGTCAATTTGCCTGCGCTCCTGTGTTTGCTAGGTATATTTGTCTTTCGACAAGTATCCTGTTTAAAAGGTTCTAAGAACACTATCCCGCATGGTTGCAGAAAGGTATTAGTAGCTTTATAGGTAGTGCGATAATCGAGTAACTTGTGAACGCCGGTCATTCCATCGCAACAAACTCTTCTCCCGCGGTTGTCTACAAAGCCAAGAGAGACCTGTCAAAGATAATACGCTTTCGTTTATTCTGCACATTGCTGAGGCTGTAGCCATTCGGATAGAGATATATAGGATCTCAGCATACAAAAGAGAGTTATATAATCACTTCTACCATCATATTTCTCTGCTAACTTGATTTTTATTCCTTTATTTTTTGACTCTTTCGAACTCCTACGTGATATCCCATTTTCCTTCGTTTCTGTGTGCCTCCTGAATACAACTCATTCATCAAATTATTTATCCTATTACCTGACTCTAGAATACTCACCAACTAAGCTGGTGGTTTAGGTTCAATTCCTGACCGACACACTCCTGAACTTCATCTAACCTGTAGTAAATCTGGTGAAGACGGAGGGTTGGGTTGGCGTGAAGCTTTCGATCTTCCCCTACCCCCTAGCCACTTCGTAAAAAAAACCTACACTACCGCTACAGGGAACCTCAAGGGTCAAGCCTGAAGTCTTATGTTCCATTTGAAATGCAATTGAATGACTAATACAACTAATCTTTTTGTGTGTTCTTATCGTCTTTTGTGCGTATATGAGTGCAGTTGTACCAGGTAAATGAGGAAAATGATTTCGTCAAACACTAGCCCCCTCGTTGAACACTACTTGTTTTGCTTTACTCTTATGCCTTGATGAAGCATTTATTCACATGAAGTGTATTACTCTCTTGTAGATATTATCAACTGTCCACATTGTCACCAGTGTATTAATGAATGTATTAAACTGGTGCATACAATGATTGGAATTATGACCACTAGTGGTCCTACTACTAATACTACTACTACAACTGAACACTGTTCACCAAAACATTTTGATACACAAGAATTTATGAATAGTATACAACATCGTTGCAATTGTCCATGTAATCCGTTGTATTCTTCAACAATGGCAAGTAAATATAACAGTCATTCGACTGCTACCACCAACTCAACTTCTTCTTCTTCTTCTACGCCTACGAATAATCCACGTGTTGTATGGCCATGTGGTCCAGGTGCTGGCCGTACTGGCGGTTTATTTCCTTGTCCTGGACGAGTTGTTCTATGCTTTTGGAGGATACTGATGCATGAAGTGAGTGAGTGAGTGAGTAAGCAATTAAGGTTGTTTTTGAGTAAGTAATGCTTATGAGAGTGTCTATCTTTAGTTTATGTGGTTTTCAAATGGTTCTCTAATCGATATCTGCTCGTGAAAAGAGTCAAATCTCTGTGAACTAACTCAGTTCTACAGAATTAGTCTGAAACTCGCTAGTGACTACTAGCTACAGGACGAAGTTGTGTAGAGTTCTAGTGAGTGAGAAGTCGTGACCACAGCCAGACCGGGCGTGTGAAGAGAAATACTCGCCGATGACACTGGCTGTTGGATGGCGCTGATATCATGAATTAATAGAAGTCGGAATTCATGGCCGATCATTGGATGATATATCTACGAATTTGCCGTGAAACTGGATGGTCCTGCTTCTGAAGAGTCCCAAACTAGGACGAAACACTTGTCCAGTACTCCTTCAATCTCTAACTAATGTCACCTCGTGATCGAAAACTTGAAACAAATAAAATCCCCACTAACTAGCTAGTAAAAGTTTACGTGGATTTGAACAAAGCCAGAACAACGGCTTATGCAGAAAAAGATGGTACCATCGTTTATATTTCCTCGGCTTCTCATCAGCTGCGTAAAGTCTAACCAAAATAACTAGGTTTATGTCCGGAGCAATTTTTAACAATCCCTCCTGGTATCGAACCTGGGACTTTCAGGTTCCATGACCAAGCTCGTTGACTTTTTACACACTTAGACTTGATTTCAGTGTCCTGTGAATTTCAACTCTGTCTATTCCTGACATATAGCGCTTCCTTGGACCACACTGGCCACGATTTCTCACTACTGCTTCAGGATTTCCTTCTAGTAGCCCTCGCAGGAATTCGGTTTAATTTCAGTTTGAATTGTGAAGAGTCCTGGAGGCCGTTTCGTCCTTGTTAGAGACTCTTCATCAATGTGCATTCACTGCTAGTTTATATTTGAGTTAAGGAGCATTTGAACTATTCATCTTATTGTCTTGCTTTTGTCTCTCCTCTTCTCATATGCACTTTTTACTCTTAGATTAGCTTATATGAATATAGTTTGGAGACTGTTGTACGTGAACTGCTAAAGGAGTATATGCCGTGTTATACATTTGGACAATTGAATGAATGGTACAGTAATATTAACGGAACGAATCGGTGAGTTTGTTACTCATATCACTTTTATTTATGATTATAATTTAGATCACGCATTAAGAGAGAACCAGTGAAAACGAAGGCGTACTGGATAGCTGTTTCGTCCTGATTTGAGATTGCTCCATGAGCTCCTATTCACTCGGGGGTCGAAGCCAGGACCTCCATCACTTGAGGCCAACTAAATTCTTGCTAACTAACAGTTGAGAATTCATTTGAGCGGATAGTTTCCCAACCGAAGGCTGTGGGTTTGACCTCTAGTGGGGATCACTGCTGAGGAATTGCAAACTAGGGCGAAAATGGCTTACAGTGTTTTGTTTGAAACCAACCTGGCTTGTTTTGGTTAGCGACACATGACATGCGATACACAGAAACAATAAAGTAGCAATATATTGAAAAGATGAATGAAATAATTCAGGGACAACGTGGTAATAACAACTCAGCATCCTGGTGAACTTCGATTCCTTTGCAATGGCTTTTCAGAAAGGAGTAACGTCTTCATTCACTGAATGGGTATCATCTCTCAGATCCCACATCTTAAAAACTATTGCTTCAAATCAAAAATAATAACGGGAAACCACAAGTATGCATAGATAATTTCAAATCATTCTCTAAGCACAAGGCGTAGCTCTCTTGGTCCACTTGAGTTTGAAGCGATAGATGAGTTGGTTGGTTTGGAGTCTTAACTGAAACACCATGAGTCGTTGTGGGACAAACACATCCATCTTACAATGAAACTCTCGCAGTGGATTCTATTGCTACCCGCTACGAACTGAATTAACCTCCACTTAGTTGTCGATCGATATTTAAATATGATTATGATTATAAATAATTTTCATAGCAGTTAACTACACTACTATTATTACTGTCACCTGTCGTTTAAATACTATCATGGGTGGCTTTATTCTGAAGAATACAGAATTTCCAACATGTTTCATTGCTAAGTAAATTATACCTGTTTTGTAGAATCTTCAAGTAAAGAAATGATGTTAGATAATATTATTAGACAGTTGCAGGCGATCTGCGGGAAGCCCTGTCTAGACCTATGTTTCATGCTAGTTAGCACTCACCAATCAACAAGGCGTGTGTGTATCTTCAATCTTGATGGAACTTATTTTCCCTCTGTGTGGTACAAACGTGGGTCACCCAGCATAGTAATTCATCTCGCATAGTGGTCACATACAGTCTGCACCAAAACTACTAAGGACCAGACTGATGATATTGGTTAATACATAGTGTCCAATGAAAGTATCCATTACAGTCAGCTCAGTGATAATGTCTATAACTGCAGGTAGCATTGGGTGACACGGGTTTCAATCTCAGAGGAGATATGAGTGTCCCTTCAAGATTTTAGATAAACAAGCCTTGCTGTTATTAGATGGTTGGAGCCAATCGGCAGGAAGCCTTGCACCGCCTAGCTTGGTAGCCACACTGCAAACTTGACTAATAGAATTCAGTCTACAGTAAATAAAGGACTAGACACATCACACTAGATACTAGTGACCAATCAAAACAAGCCTTACTGACTGATGAGTGTCCAGAAGTACGAAACACAGGCTAAGCAGGGCCTCTTGTCGATCATCCCCAACCATTTAATAATGACAATTTAGAGTTCAGCGTGATGGCGAGCCAGCCACCTAGCATGGTGACCACATTGTAAACTTGACTGACAGAATTCAGTAGTCCCTTCACCAAAAACGAAGGACTAGACTTATAACATTATCATCTACCTAGCGTCCTTCAAAGTAATAATCTATATCATGTATCATTTGAGGCAATATTTAGTTCTCTCCGGAACACGCTTCAATACTCCCTCAACTGATCAATACTACGAGTTGATCACGGATTGAAATCAGTTAGAGAACCATTGAAAACCAACCAGGGAGTACTGGACAGCTGTTTCTTCAGTCTAGTTTGGGAATCATTGGCAGTACGCATCCACTTCACTGGGGTTCGAACCCAGGACCTTTCGGTTACAAAGCGAGCTAGCTCGTAGACCATTCAGCCACTGGGACCCGATTCAATGGCCATCCCATGAATTCTAACTTCAACCAATTCGTTATTTCTTAGCGCAACTACCAACCAATGTCTTCAGTAGGAAATCCATCCTCACACTTGACTGGATGGACCTCGCTGGTCACGACTTCTCACTAGAACGCCAGAACGTCTATCCAGTTTGGAGTGAGGGTGAATTTCTCACCGATGACAGTGGTTGGTGTTCATTCTAACATATCATGAATTGGTAGAAGTTCGATTTCATGGGTTGGCCATTGAATCGGGTCCCAGTGGCTGAATGGTATACGATCTTGCCGTGTAACCGGAAGGTCCTGGGTTCGAACCCAGTGGACGCATACTGCTGAAGACTCCCGAACTAGGACAACAGAAACAGCTGTTCAGTACTCGAGTGCTGATTTCCAGTGGTTCTCTAACTGATATCAATCTGTGATCAACTCGTAAAAACAGAACTAATCCTTACAAACCAACTATTGAAAATTAATCCATATTAGTCGATTGGAATCAGTTAGAAAATTGTCATGGGTGTACAGGTTACAATTCAAGTACATAACTAGATGACTGGAACAACATTGATGTTTGGTATAAACGTCATACATTTGGATAGATGGCAAATTAGCCAGCCTAGTGATTGAAACAAACCGCACTGTATACACGAATGTTCAGCTTCGTTGATATTAAATTTGTTAAGAGGAGTCTCTGTTCACTGGGTATTGTGTTCCTGATTGCTGTTCAGTTGTACACTTTTTCATTCCTCTACGGTCTGAAACTTCAAGCTTTAAGCTTCTGAAGTTTCAGTAGCCGTGGGCCCTCCAGCGTAGCCTTACACCCAGCCTTCCCCATTTTTCCGAGCTTACTAACGGCGGTTAAATTGGAGACGTCGGGGTGGGGGCGCGGGAATCCAAGGGTGTATCAGGCCGGGCTGGCTGGATTCAACATAGAACTTGGCACCGAAGTGCAGCAGTTCCAGTTGCCGCGTTTCAAATAGCACACAAAGGTAGACAAGAAGATGAGTGATAAAGAGAATCAATAGAGTTTTGACAAGTATAAGAGTAAAACAGAATGAGTAATGGTAGAAAGGAATATGAAAGATTACACAAGAGACTGAATACATCTTCGCCATTGACAACGATTTTGAGCCATGTCACCTATTGTCTCCAGCCATTGATGATTCTTAGAGTCCCGAGGGTCCCAACTCGGAAGTCTGCATCTCCCTCCCTACCTGACTCAGTTTAACTGTCAGGGATTTCATGGATTGATGAGGCCATGTTTTTGTTTGGCCACCACTTACTCTTTTCCTACCTGCACCACCTATATCAGCTAGTAATGCCCATCCGGCGGGGGAGGCGATGTTTAGGCATGCGCAGCACGTGACCTAGCCATCTCAATCTATGTGACTTTATAGCCTCTTCGATTGATTTTCCCTCTTTGCTCAACACTCTACGCCTAACGTCAACATTACTTACCTTATTATACCACCTAACGTGAGAAAGAGATCGTAAACATCTATGATCAAAAACAGTCAACCTTTTCATGTCTTCAACTCGTATTGGCCATGTTTCAGAGCCATAGAGAAGGACGGAGCGAACTGCTGAGCAGTACACATGTCCCTTGGTTGATAGCCGGATGTCATACCTACGCCAGAGATGGTGTAGATTAGCGAAAGCAGCTCGAGCTTTTTGGATCCGTGCTGAGATTTCGTCACTAATCAATCCGTTGGTCAACATGTTCTATCACTTTACTCCCTATCACGAAGCTAGGAGTTGGCGTAGTCCAGTCCTGTAGCAGTATCTTACATTTTACAGGGGCGAATCGCATGCCAAACATACGAAGATTGCTGCTCAATGTGTTCAGAAGACTCTGCATTTTGTCAGCATCCTCCCCTAACAGGACTATGTCGTCTGCATATTCTAAGTCCATAAGAGTATTCCCTGGTAACAAGTCGATTCCTAAGTCGTTAAGTTCATCAGGCCGGGAGATCGAGCTTACACCCACTACCTAAGCCACCGATGTTGGGTGGCATACTGGTCTCAGTAAATGCATTAATCCATTTGCTTATTCTATAGACTTTCTATTTACATTTGTACTTTATTTCATTTTACAATTTTAGTTGGCGTACAGTAGATTATTGGATACATCGATCTATTGTGAACTTGCGATTACTGAATACCTTAGATTTAATTGGTCGTACAAGTGAATTTGCCCGTGTATTTGGTATTGAATTCTATCATGTGTTATCTCGTGGTTCACAGGTTTGTTCACTTTTGCATAGATTCATTTTAAACAAAAATGACTGTTGGTTTGTATTTTTTTTCTATTCCTTCACGTTCCCAGTGGAACATAGCAAGGGCTTCAAGCTAGAGGCTTGAAGTTTCTGTAGCAGTGGTGGTTATTTTTACAGGATGGGGTTGCTAGCCTCATGCCAGCCAGCTCTATTACTGGCTTAGCGAGGTAAAGGAGTGCGTCGGTGGCCGGGGATCGAACCCCGGACCATGTGCATGGTCGGCGAGCGTCCTAACCGCTGTGCCACCGATGCACTGTTTGTATTCCTTCTTAACACTGATAGATTCACACTGCTAAGGTGTGTTTATAGTGTGGAGGTGTGGCTCCATTGGCTTCAGTACTCGACTTTTCAGCCAGTAGGTTAAGGGTTCGTAGCCTGCCATATTTATTTCATCCTGAGCCAGCCACATAATGAGTTTTAATTTTTTTTTGATTTTGATTATAGCTTGATTCCACACAGTATTTTGGTACAAGTATGGAATTTTCAGCATGTGATATCGTAGCCCAAATTTTGCAGGTCGACCATTGATATCAGGTGTGCGTTGGCGGGGGGTCGAATCCCGGACCATGTGCATGGTCGGCGAGCGTCCTAACCGCTTTGCCACCTACGCACGAGTTTAGTTTATTTCCTGTTACATGAAACGTTAGTACTGAGAATCGAAGTTCAAGCATATAATTTATAGTGAGTTGTCTAGCAGTGATTGTGAACAGCCTCAGATTCTCTAGTGTGTTTGGCATTGCGGTTTAACATTTGGTTGTTACAGGATTTCATCATAAGCTGATATTGGGTTTGCACGATTTCCTCAATGTATGCCCGATTTTCATTTCCATTTTTACCCACATATTTATTGAGCAATCGGCTCAAGCCTGTTGGTTTGTTGCCAGGGTTTCTTATTGCTAATTCTTTCTGGTCGGCTGGCTGACCATTTGATCTTCAGAATGGAGCCAGCCAGAGAAGGAGGTAGCCTGTTGGAAATTCTGTTCGTGACTCCCACAGTGCAATTTTTTGATTCATATATAGATAAAATGACTTCACAGTTGTGTTGAACACAATGAAAATCTTGTTCTTTTGCGCTGGCTGAGTGTAGAAGATTTCCAAACTGATTTCAGAGTGATGAAGGCGTATCTCGCCTTTCCGAATCTGGCTGGCTGGCTTTGACATCTTCATCCGTTCCACCTGTAGTTGAAACGATGCTTCCTAGTTAAGTGAAGGCAGTAGCTTCTGCCAAATCTCTCCCATTGATGTTTATTGGTGCTGGTTGTTGTTGTTACTGTTACTGTTGGTTGGTTATCTTCATCACCTCTGTTTTCTCTCTATGTTCACCTGAAGTCCTGTTTTCACTGTCAGCCTCTTTAGCCAGTTTGTTGGTTTTTGCCTGCCTGCCTGTAAGTCTTCGAGTTTGTGTGACATTATACATATATCATCTGCGCGCGAAATCCAGATCTTCTAGAGTCTTCTCATCGATGGTCAGTAAACTCCTGTCTCCTCGCTCCCGACGCACAGTCTGACGCATAATCCAGTCCACCTCCGCTAAGAATATCATCAATGTCAATAGGCAGCCAGCTAGCCAGCCTTGTCTTACTCTTGTATTCACTTCGAACGCCTCTCTGAGTGTCCCGTTATGGATCACCTGACTGGTGGTGGCGTTATCATATAACCAGCCAGCTGTTGAATGAGGTTGATAAAGACTTTGTCACTGCATACTGTAGTGTTGAAGAAGTTTCCCAATTACTTCTCGGTCAGCACTGAGCTATTGGAAGCCTTTTGGAAGTCTATGTCGGTGAAGTAGATGCTTGCATTCTTTGTAATTTCCCAGATCCACTAAGTCCTTGTGTTTTTTCTAATAATTCCTCTTTCTCCTCTATATTTCCACTCATTATTATTATTAGTAGTATTTCCTTGGTTTATGAGTAAAACAGAGCTTCACTAACACTAGACAAAGATCTCCGTCTGACTCCTGTTTTCTGCTGTCTCTTTAATCTGACTCCACAAATGCTCAAAAGCTTTCACCTCCCCCCCTCTTGACAGGATCTCCTTCATGTCACCCTTGAAGTGATGCCTAACTTATCGTTTGCCCCATTTGGGTTCAGGCTCATGGTATCATTCAACAGTCTCTCCTCAGCATATATATCCAGTCCATCTCCATTTTCCTCTGCATATTTGTTCGGCCTTATTCCTTGTTGCCCTATCCTTTTTCTCACCGGCCATCTGATCTTGACCAAGAGGCGAAGCTGGCAGTCCTTTTCTAAATTTTTTTCTTTTTTCCCAAACTTAGTGTATTATATGTGGAGTGTGGTACTGCTACGTACATTTCTGTGCAAACTTTTACATTGAAACTCACTCAGCCAACCATTTTTAGCCTGTTGATATATCGACCTAATTATCTACATATCAGTTTAACTTGTCTGTTTATAATATTTCTCTCAGCCCACTTATTGATTTATGAGCAGACTTTCTCTCACCCTAATTATGACCTTTGAAATCCTATTGGTTGTTCACTATATTGGTGTATCAATGACATTAGCGCTTCTCAAGGTCATTTAAACATATACATATATACTTAATTGAATTTTAGATTTTCCCGCCGATTGATTGGACTGAAGTGCTCCATCTCAGGTTGACATATCGGCTTCTAATGCGGATGCTTCGACGATGTCTAGGCATGTAGTTAGAATTTAACTGGTGGATGGTGACTAGTAGCAGTGGAATCCAGGATAAAGCGTATTTCGTCATATTTGGGACTCGTTAATGGCTGGGTGTGACTGCATTCCCCAGTGGGTGATGATGTTCCCACAACCCAGTGTCCATAGTTTCAAACGTCAAAGCGTTATCCACTAGACCACTTGGGCCATGAGAACCACCTCTTGTGCAGTTAAATTCTAACTACATGCCCAGACGTTGTTGAAGCATCTGCACAAGAAGCCGGCATGTTAACCTAAGACTGAGCACTTCGGTCCAATCGATCGACGGAAAAATCTAAAATTGAATTAAATAATTCATATGACCCGTTGCACAAGAGGCAGTGACTCTCGTGGCCCAAGTGGTCTAGTGGATAACGCTTTGGCGTTTGAAACTATGAGCTTTGGTGATGGGCGCATCATCACCCACTGGAGAATGCAGGCACTTCCAGATGACGAGTCCCGAATAGGACGAATTGCGCTTCATCCTGGATTCCACTGCTAGTCACCATCCACCAGTTAAATTCTTATAGCCATATATATGCAAGCGCTGTCAACCTTTTTCTGGACTGTTGTTGTAAGACAGTGAAAAGCTCTCTTACAAACGTCCAGTCTTCTCCCCTTTATCTTTGCGTGTGGGCGGTATTATTATTATTGTTGTTTTTGTTGACGTGCGATTAGGACTGTAGTTCTGGTCATAACACCTATTTACAATAAATTACTACATGCATATATACAATGTACACAAATGTTACATTTTTCTTAATCATCTTCTTACAGTATCGTGTGGAGTCTCTCCTGTGTCGAATAGCCAAACAATTCAATTTTCTCCTGCCAAGTCCAACTGTAACACAACGTGCACATCAACGTGCTCCTGAAGCTATCCCGTTAAATCTAGAACCGGAAAGTGTACTATTCATCGATGGTCCTGTTGCAGTGCTAGACTTTCAATCTTTATATCCATCTATTATCATTGCATATAATTATTGTTATTCTACAATACTTGGGCATATATCTTGTCTCCTACAAGGGTAAGTTTTCCTGCTCCTCCTGTTATTATTAGTAGTAGTATTTCTATTATTTTAATGGTAGTGTGGTGAGTACTACTGACAAGATATGTCAGTAGTATATAAAGACACGTTCATCGGCATAAAAAACATTAAATATCAAGGAATTACTTTTGATGTCAGAAAAGGCAATTGGTACAGAGTTATGGAGATACATGGGAGACGTGCGAGGGACACAAAGGAACACACAATATGAAGGAAGACCAGAAGTAGCAAGCACAAGACGGAAGATCTGTGCAAAAGGTGCGTTAAAGATAAGTGGTGTACATAATTCTGGTATATAGAGATACTGATTTCCTACTGAATATTCCTTCACCAAGTCTTCTGTCTTCTACCGTTGCAGTAGGACACTTACCAGCCACGGGCCAAATGGTCCAGGGTTCAACCCTTAATCGACACACTCTTAAACCTCCTTTAACCTAGCCTGTACTAGTCGGACTATTAAAGAGGGGGAAGGTTGGATTAGCGTGAGGCTAACAATCCAACCTCATGAGAGAAGAAGAACACCACTGCTGATGAAACTTCAAAACTGTAGTTTGAAGCCATATGTTCCACTGGGTATGCAGAAGACTGTAGTAAGAAAAAATAGCAAAATTATTTCATAATTCTCTAGCAGTTGGTGAACTCAAGCCCTGCAGCTCCACCGGAGTCGTCTTTCAAGATTGTCTACACTGTGAGACCAAATGGTACAAAGCGGGTTAGGTTTCGGCATCTGTGTATGGCGGAGGCGTTGGCAATTCGTCAATACAACTCCGAACTCAATATGCGGAAAACGTTTGTCCAGTGTCGTATTCTACCGTGGTCTTAACCTCTTCACTAGTCGTTCCTGGCAGAATGCACCTGCCACCGCTGATAACCTTTTCTTCAGACAGTCGTAACGGCTGTCCTCCTATTTAGATCACGTCAGCTCATTCCTACACACCAATACTTGATAATTGATCTGATGCTCACTAGCGACTGGCCCTATTCGGGCAGTGACCTGAAGTTCTAGTGGGAAGCCGTGATAAGTAGGGTACAGCAGGTTGAAGATGAGGCAGTAACTCATCGAAGAAGACACTGCGAAATGGTCGCGCTATGTCGTGAATTGGCAGAAGTTGGAATTCATGGGCTGATTATTGGATCGGGTCCCAGTGGCTCAATGGTCTACGAGCTCGCCTTGTAACCAGAATGTTGTGGATTGGAACCCCGTTGATGGGTGTGTACTGCTGAAGTGTCCCAAACTGGGCTGACGAAACAGCTGTTGAGTACTCCCAGGTGGTTTTCCAAGGGTTCTCTAACTGATGTCAGCTCATGATGAAATCCTCCAACCAATCAAACTAATTCCCTACAAATCCAATACTTGAAAAAGTAATAATAATAATAATCGTAGTAATGAGGGAAAGGTACATAGATTAACTGAATAAACAAAATAAATAACAATAAATGTCTATCTCTCTACGGCCAAGGCAGAAGTAGGTATTGTACATACTTCTTTTGTACAAAAAGGTCTGCTCGGCCTAAATTCATGAATGGCCAAGCCCTCCTCTATCTCTAAAAGTCTGTAACGAAGAAAACTCGGCAAGTTAGCATGGCTTCAGTAGATGATCTTAAAATCGTTGTCAAGGTTGGTAGAGTGAGCAGAGCCTATCAGGTGTTCTAGAATATTGAGCTTCGCACACACTTCCTTTCTCCCTTGTAAAACCATGCAGTTGGAATATGTTCTCGTATCCGTGTGGAAAGTGTCCTCTGGCTACGGCCAATATACCATTGCTCCATAAGAGCAGGTGAACTGATAGATGCACATGGAGGCGGGCAGACGGGGGAGCTTATCTTTTATAGAGGTAGAGAACAACTTTCGGCTAGTGAATGTCATATGTAATTTTGCTGCAAAGAACATCTTACTGACTGATTTAGAGAGATGGTTTTTGAGCATATCTGAAGCTTGATCACCTTTGAATTCCAAGTTTTCATGAATAAGATTTTCTTTGGAATTGATTGAGTCAGTGACCAGTTTAGACTGCTTATCTTTCGTGTTTCTTTACAATATTGAATTCTGTCTTATTAAATTTCACACCATGTTATGTAACGACCTTTTATATTCGCCTACTAATCCTATAATTATCCACCCCTTCCCAAAATCTATACACCCTATGAATTATTCTATATATATATATATATATATATATATATATATATATAACACAAATTATCCACTAATTCACAACGTGTAGAAACAATAAATTTGGACCACTATACAGTATATCATTAAATTGCAATATTACGTAATATAAAGGATTTTTTTTATTTTAATAGTCGCTAACATATAACTTCCTTGGTGGTGTCAATAAATATGCTACTTGTTGTGCTTATTTTATTAGATATACTGCTGTAAAGTAATTCAAATATTTATTCAGCTCATGATGAAATCCTGTAACTTTCTCTATTGTCTTTTGTTTTCTTAAGTGATAACTCAGTATTCAATCTTGGTTGTCTAACACATTCTCTTCCATCTGGTCTAATACAGGTGAGTTATTATAAAGAGTTAATTTTATTTACTTCAATGGATTGAATGGTAGTCATAGATACACTTTATTGGTTGATATAGTTCACCTTTGATCCTATATACTACTTATTGATCGATTGATTGATATGAGAGGTTGAACATCACTCATATCAACCAGTGCCGTTTGCTAGTCAAATTGGTGTGTGATCTAAACACATTGGACTTCCACTATGCTGTGTTCGGGATCGAGCTTATCAACGGTGCATGTGTTACGCATGCCTTGGCATCGCCTTTCTCGACACGAAATCTTAGCTGAAATAGGATGGATCAGGTTGGAACAGAGCCAGCACGTGGTGGTCATACCAAAACTTGGCTTCATCAGTCAATCAAATCCACAACAGTTTGTTTAAGCCAGTCAACCAGTCACGTATGGAGGTGTAGACTTCTTCCCTATCTGGTTACGGTCCTCGAGATGGTAAGAACCAATGAAGGCTGGAGACAATAGGTGATATGGCTCGAAATCGTTGTCGCTGATGGCTGGCGCAGACGCATTCACTCTTTATGATTTATAATATCCAATAAAACTCTATTATTTTCCCATATTACTATTCTTTTTACCTCATATTTCTGTTTTTTATTTGTCTCTCTTTTGAATCTGCCTTTACTCTCTTCTCTTCTTTTGACTGGTGAATAGAGAGTGGCAAATGGAACTGGTGCACATCTGTGCTTAGTTCTAGGTTTGAACCAGTCACTCAGACCTGGATTGGGAATAAATCAGCTATCCTCTGCTTCCTTATTTTCAATGATCTCTCTCTATCTGACTGTTGTTAGTGCGTGAAAAAGCCTAACAAGTTAAATTATTCCATCAACCAGCTGGTTGTGATGGTGAAAGGTCGTGACCAGTAGGGTTCAATATATCAAGGGTGAAGTGGACACTACTCACCAATGACACTGTTGGTTGGTGGTAGTGCTACATCGCATGAATTTCACTTAGTGTTATAATTCATGGTTATTAAAATCCAACCCATTTGCTGAATTTTTTATGGGCTGGTCTCGTAAGCTGAAAATTCTGGATTGAGTTTCCGGTTGAGTCCTGGGTGTATTGAGTGAGTTTATATGTGTTAAGAAGCTAGAGATATGTTCTGTGTGACTTATTAAAATAAAATCTTATCTGTAATGGAGTTATACTCTACCACCACAGTGCCCAATTTTTGTACTTATATCAATAATCTCAGTCTTTTTTTCGGATTTCTTTTCTGTGTGTATACATTTAGAAAATTGGTCAAGAAGTCAATATCTCCCCAAGTGGTATTGTATTTGTTAAAAAATCAATCAGAGAAGGCATTCTACCACGGTGAGTGTTATGTAATAATTGTTTGTTGTATAACAGCTATAGTCAGGCTTCCTCAGTGTTCGTTATTTGTTGTGATAACCACTCAGTTATCTGGAATACGTCTTTCGTGTACCAACTAAGTTTATTTTGTTAGGGTTTATTATTATTATTATAGTTTTCTTTAGTTCCTAGAGGAACATAGGGCTTCAGCTGCACGTCTCCATTACGTCCGGTTCTATGCCAATTTTTTCACCTGTCTCTACGTCTGCTCACATGCGTTCATTTCCTCTTCACATGAGCTCATCCAGGTCACCCTTGGACGACCAACTCGCCGCTTCCTGTTTGGGTTCCACTCGACGGCGTCTTGTGATGCCACTTGATGGCCAGCCAATCCATCTCTATTTCTTCCTGCTTATTAGTCGCACAGTCGGTTCCTGGTTGGTTCGCTCATTGTCAGAGATCCCTCCATGTTGCTGATTTTTCCAGTCAGCCATCTGATCTTGAGTAGTATTGAGCCGAGACAGCTGTTGATGAAAGTTTGTAGTTTGTTCGAAGTGTCCTTCGTGACACAGCGCCAAGTTTCTGATATGTATAGTAGCACTGACTGCACATTGGAGTTGAAAATCCGTATCTTATTTTTCATGCTGAGTGCTGAGTGATGTTGATCTCCACATAGACTTGAGAGTAATAAAAGCTTGTCTTGCTTTTCCGATTCTTGCTTTGATATCCTCATCAGTTCTGTTCGTCTTTAGATGAGACGATGCTTCCCAGGTAGCTAGGTAGGTAAAGGAGGTTGTTTCTTTCAGATTTCTCCCATTTATGCTGATTGTTGTCTGTCATTGATACTGTTTAGTTACTCAAACTGGGGTGGACAGATAGGGACATGAACCCTGAAAGTACTGTCTGAAGTTCGAGTGATGCAATCACTTTCAGCTGATTCCACTAAGACAACGGGCACGTACACACCAAGATCCTATGATCTACCTTGAGTACATTAACCGGAAGTACCGTTAAGATCAGTACTTGATATTCAAAATTCACCCTACCATGCTATAGCCATATGGTTAGTAAATATTCTCAAACCTTTGCATGCGAAGATAGTGAAATATAGCGCCGAAGATGTATTTGAATTCGTAGACAAAATCAAAGATATCAATATCAAGGACAAAGCCATAATATTTCTGGACATAACATCTGTATTCACAAATGTACCTCTAGTAGAAACAGTTAACTACATATGTGAACAAGTGTATAACCAGTCGATAAACATTGGCACCCCAACAGGAATCCTAAAAGAATTGTTATTAAGGTGTACCATGAATGTAAATTTCAAATTTGATGGCACACTTCAGAGACAAGCTGACGGGGGGCGATGGGCTCCCCGTTGGGTCCCATTTTGGCAAATTTCTTTCTAAGTAAACTAGAAAATGGACCTTTGAATAATCTTATCAGAAAGTTCTCATTTTATTGCCGGTGTATGGATGACATCCTTATTCTCTGTGGTAATGATTCGAATTGGGAACATAATAATAACTGAATTCAATGAAGTACATTCTGCTATGAAATCCACGTGCAAAGAAGAATCCCAAAGTAGAATTGCCTTCCTAGATATCTTCCTTACAAGAAAACAAGATGGTTGTATAAAGAGAAATTTGCATAGGAAAAGCACATGGACAGGACAATATACACATTTCCATAGCTTTGTTACTCTCCAGTACAAAAGAAATTTAGTAAGGACCCTCAGGCACACAGTTGGAGCAATATGTTTAGAAGAGGTAATTGAAGATTAACTAAGGGAATCCTAATCGAAAATAGATATCCAGAAAAGGACTACTCACTATCTGTAAACAAGAAGCCTTTATATATATATGACTGCAATTCACTGTCGATATACCTAGCGAAATAATTACGAAGAAAGTTAAGAAAATCAGTTCAAAGAACTTTTAATGCTGGCAAACTATGAGTCTTATTTTCTACACGACCAGTGGTGATTCCTCAATTGAAACATGAAGTACCTAGATTAGCTATCCACTTCAAGTTGTATCTACCAATTCAACTGCGCTGCCTGTGGTGGGGAGACTCATATTAGCCATTGCTCTAGGAACTTGATTTTTCGTGCTCTCTCGGGAACATCTATCAGTGTGGTTAAATAAAGGTGTAGTTAAAGGTATCAGTAGCTCGATATTAGATCACTTGGTCCAAACCGGGAACGAAGCCGCCAGTATTGAAGAGTTCTTCTCCGTTATCTATCAGATGCCAAAAATAAATTACCAAAAACATCGAGATACTGCATACTCCAAACAGCAGAGAGTATCCCGATTCGCCTGAAATAGCCGGTGCTCTATGTGTGGAGAAGAAGCAGGTCCAGCCACTCACTACTGCTGTCCTGGGTCGCCTTCTGTGGAGACTATGAATCCATGAATTTGTATTATTATCTCTCCTAATTTTTCTGATATTCGGTGTATTGTTATGTTATGTTGATCCTGTTGAGCTGTAATCCACTGATATTGTTGTTATTATTATTGATTCGATGTTATTTAAACAACAATAATGTTGTTAATAACACTAATTCATTCACTATTATGTATGTATATATAACTGTAGGACCTGATGATAAAGTTATTGAAAGTGTGAATATTCTTTGTTCAGTAACCATTCTTTTGAAAAGATTCCATAAGTGCCTGCAAACCTTGATTCCCTCTTCATATGATCTTAGTCATGTCATCCTTGTACACCTTGGGATCCACTCGATGGCTTGGCTTGTCTTAGCTTGGTCTCCTCAGCTACCGATGTCCATTCCCTCTTTATAATTTGTTGACTAATTCGTTGCTGGCTGCCAGAAGAGGTATATTCCTTGTTACTTATCTTATCTGGTTAACTAACTTTCATTTTGATGCTATTTCATATATTTTCCAGTATGTTGAAACAACTTCTTACAACACGTCTAATGGTAAAAGATTCAATTAAACTCTACAAGTCAGATAAGGTAAGTGTGGTCATTTTTATCGTATACGTTGAATGTGTGTGTTTGTGAGAGGGCAACGTTATTATTACTGTATATTTATTTATTGTTCCGACAGGTTCCGAGTGGAACATATAGAGCCTCAGTGGCACATCTCCACTTTATTCTGTTCTCTACAGTTCATGATTACTCAGAATCTTTCACTTTTCCGTTACTTTATCTCCTTCATGACTGACTGGTTTCAACGTAGAACGTTGCATCGATATGCAGCAGTTCAAGTTGCCGCACTTCCTGCATGTAGCATACAAAGCCAAAGAAGAAAGTAAAAAGAAATGCAAAACAGAGACAGTAAACAGAGATATGAGGTAAAAAGAATAGTAATATGGAAGAACAACATAGTTTTATTGGAAACTATAAGTCACGAGGAGTGAATGCATCTGGGCCAGCCATTGAAAACGATCACTTTGAGTCATATCACCGATTGTCTTCAGCCTTCATTGCTTTTTACCATCCCGAGGACGCCAACTAGTCAGGAAGTATACACCTTCCTACATGCTTAAACTAACTTTTGTGGATTTCACTGACTGATGAGGCCATGTTTTCGTTTGACCACCACTAAGTTTTGTGTTTAAACAATGATATTAATAATAATAATAACAGTATTCAAGCCAGTCGCCAGTGAGCATCTCATTGATATTCAAGTATTCAGACATTGGCTAGCGGTTGCACCATATCGTGAATTGGCAGAAGTTAGAATTCATGGGCCATTGGATCAGGACCCAGTGGCCTAATGGTCTACGAGCTCGCCTTATAACCAGATGGTCCTGGGCTCGAGCCCCTGTGGTGGGTGCGTACTGATGAAGAGTCCCAAACTAGGGCAAAACGGCTGTCCAATACTCTCAAGTTTTCCAATGGTTCTTTAACCAATGTCAGCTCATGACGAAATCCTGTGATAATAACAGTAATTGGGCGATCACTAACTCAGTATTGTATATAACTCTCTCTCTCTCTCTCTGTCTAACTTTTATCACTTATGTGTTTATTTATAGTGTTTGAACCGACTATTGGATGCACGTCAATTGGGTTTAAAATTAATGGCCAACGTGACCTTTGGTTATACAGCTGCCAGTTTCTCTGGTCGTATGCCGTGTGTAGACGTGAGTTATTTGCAGAAATAATTTTGTGAAAAGTAATTTATATTACATATTATTCGTCTCCTTTTTGGTGTACGTGTTTAATAGGCAACCAAAACTTCATCGATTGACAGAGGGAACTCAACTACAAACATATATATTGTAATGTACATTTAAATAGCTTAGTTTCGCATGTCTTATATTCCTATATTCAACAGATCTTATCAATTCTTTGTTAATGCGGTTTAGTGAGTCAGTGGTTCACTGGTAGAATACTCGCCAACCACTCATGTGGTCCGGGGTTTGATTCTTCACAAACTCACTCTTAAGCCTCTCCTAATAAATAATAATAAATAAATAATAATAATACATAAAATAAATAATGATAGTAGTGATAGTGATGATAATAATGATAATAATAATGACGACATGCATGTCGAATATACGCAACACAACACCAACAATAAGGAATCTAAATCCTCAGTAGTAATTCCATACAAGGAAGGAACCTCGAAAACCTTACGCAAAATTCTTAACAATGCTGGCAGGAATAAACGTGACTGGCATTCAAACCCACAAACTCAATTAAAAACAAACTTTGTCAGTTAGATGGTGGATCCTGTGGAGCCGTTAAACAAAACAATTTAGTTTATCTAATACCCTGTCTGCAATGATTGTCAGGTCAAATACATAGGTCAAAGTAGTAGAACAGGTGCAGTCAGACTAGCCGAACATAAAAACCTAGCAAAATCTAGATTGGTTGACCCAAATAAGATGAGAAATCTGGATAATAGGTCAGCTATAGCACTCACTGCATACAATTAATGGATGGGATAAGATGACAGTTTCAAAATCTAATGTAACAGGGTGAATGGAGGAAGAGATTGATAACAGCGGAAACTTTGTTTATTGAATCCACTGCGAACCAGTACCTGTAATAGGGATGATTCAACACCTGTCCACCCAGACATCTGGAAAATTCTACTACCCCAACGACGACAAACAGGAGAGAAGACAGGAAACTAGAAAACTGAAGTTTCGAAGTTGTGTGATTATAATTGATGATATGATTATGAACAATAATGAATTGTGTTCGAAACTGTATCATCCAGTAAATAATAATACTGTTTCACTCACTGTGAGTGATATATCTAATAAACAAACTAATATGGAATAAGCCTCTCCTAGTTTACTAGGAGACGTGGCACTGGCAACACCTCTTACTGCAGAATAAGAAGACACCAATTGTCTACTGAAATTTCGAAGCTTGAATCTCTGTGTTCCGTAAATCGATGAAATAGTGTGTGCGCAAATCTGCGTGCGTGTCTGTGTGTATAGACATCTTTTAGTTGACAATGTTTACTATTGATTGATTGAGATGGACAGGTGTATACCACTTAAATTGACCAGTAAAGCTTGCTAGCCAGATATTGAATCAGTCTATACACCGGACTGTCGTTTCGCTCGTTTGTGGCCTAGTTCATCAGTGGTGTACTCGGTTTGATTCAAGTCAGACAGCTGACGAAGTTCAAATCACCCGATTTCTAGCTAGCCATTTGAGTGAACTAGTAATACGTTGACAAAATCAAATTTATTCACAGGTATACATAGTTGAATTGAGTGTTATTCATATATGCTTAGTTCCCAGATTACTATTTATGGTACTTAGCGGATCACATACATTGTGATCTGAATAACTTCAGTGCTCAAATGAAAAAACTGTGGTGAGATTTCCCCTCGAAATGTGTGTAAAATTGCGAATTGGGTGTTTAAGTCTATTGGTTGATTTCATCACTGACAGTAATCCAGTTTTAGTACCTCTCAGAGTCACATTGTTCTAAAACTATTCCTCATTCAGGTTCCCTGATTAGATAGAATGTCGATTGATTTCGTAAGTCCGTGAATACGAAGACTCGAGTTTAGTGAGCTGTTCAAAACCAAAGAACCCTAGATATTTGTTCCGTCTTAGTATAGGACTCCACATTAACTCCCGAAGCACTATGCTACAACAGATCTAGTCATTGACCGTCAGGTTACGAAGTGAGTAGATTGACATTCAACTTTTGAGTTAGTCGGAATCTAATGATCCATGATTTCCAGCTCACCAACACTACCCATCTAATGGCATCGGTGACATTCTCACACTGAATCTGTTGGTCTCCAGAGGTTCGTTGTTACTATCCTTTACAACTGTTGTAATCCGTCTAAAGCTAGTTGATGATGAGTAGTGCATTGATACAGTGGGTAGATTGTTTGAATAAATTCACAGCTTGTACTTTGATGTGGTAGACGACCTTTGTGTATATCGTAATGGCCAAATGAGTTTAACTGGTGAGAACAAATACTCCTATATATTCCACCATGCCAGCAAGGTCGGTTGGATAGCAACTTTCGCTCATCGTCATGTTTGGAGTTTTATTCTTGCACTTAGGATGAAACGACGGAAACTCATTGGCATCTACTAATTCTTGGTTTCAGGTTATCAACAGCCTTTACCACTAATTATATGCCTGACATCCTCAGGATGCTTTTTACTGTCGATTTGTCTCTACCCGAAATTAAGACATTCTGTTGTTGTCAAGTTGGTGTGGTGTAGTGGCTTCGTAGCTGCCTGCCTCTCATATCCCTTCAGTCGAAGGTATATACGTGGACAGACTATTAAATTATCGCAGCGGTTTCAGGAGGATCTCTCTAAGTCCGTTGTTGATTTATTGATGGAGGTCGCATGATTAAGCAATGTCTCTGCTTCTACTCTGATTGGTCACTAGATAGTTAGCAATCGAAGTATCCACTATAGTCCTACTGAAGGTTAGTAAATAATCGTGAACCCGAATATCTCATTGGTGATATCCCTAACTGCAGCATTCGGTTTCACGAGTTTAAACCTCAGAAGCTACATGATTCCGTTCAAGATTGCAGATACGCCTTGCTGACGAGTGCCAAGAAGCACAAAACCGAAGTCAAGCAGAGCTTCCCACCGATTGCCTCCAATCACTGCTAGGTAACATGTCTCTTCTTATGTTTGAAGTTGGTGCTGACGTGGTACAAATGAATAAAATTATAGAAGATGAATACCGTTCTCTGTGAAACTCCTTAGTTACCGCCAGTATACTTCTGTGACTGGTACAACTTCCTTCCTTTAGCATTGAAGTCACCCACAAACATTGACTATATCTGGGCGTCTTTTATTTAGCGGCGAACTAGACAGTTTTTGACAGAATTCATCCTTAACTTTGTCTAAACCCAGGCGAAAAATGTTTGAATTGGTTAATGGTGTCGTGTACCTAAAAAGATCTTACCACCGAGTGCAGATTGCTTCAAGTTAACTCTGGATGTACAACTTTCGGGGTTGATATTTCTCTAACCCCTACACCTTCCCAGAGAAGTGAAGGAGTATAGCTGTCTTGCTGGTTGTCGGAGAGAGAGTGAAGCGCCTCAATGATGTTTCACATCTCTATTCACCATCAGTACAACTTCTCCTTTAGATCCGCCCACCCCGTAACATAGCGTGAATAGCTTACACTACGACCTTTTTGATATGGTAGCACTTGCATTTAACGTTCATTTCAACCAGTGTATCTGTCTGGGTCATTGTAAAATGCAAACCCGACTATTACATCAATTCAGCAACTATCGGTCGGGAGATGATTTTATGTCGTATGTTTCGTATAACATGTCACTTTGTCGGTGAGTGTTCATTCCTTATTTCTTAAATGGTTTCTCCTTCCCCCCACCCCACCTCATTTTCTTGAAATTTCTTTTCAGCTTGGTGATAGTATTGTACACAAAGCAAGAGAAACATTGGAACAGGCTATTGAACTGGTTAACAGTGGACAAATCGCTTTACCGGAGAGTTGTAACGGCCTTCCAACCCCCCGTGTTGTCTATGGGGATACAGATAGTTTATTTATCCATTTGAAAGGTTATGGTAAATTGGAAGCGTTTGAAGCTTCATATAGAATAGCTGAAGTGATCACATCGAAGAATCCTGTACCGATTAAGCTGAAATTTGAAAAGGTTTGTTAAATTCGTTCTTTCCTTCTTTCTTTCTAATACTTTTATTTTGTTTGTTTGTTTACCCGACACAAAGTTTTGCTAGTACACCATGCTTCGAGTCGTATTCATTGTATTGAGTAGACAGTAAACAGAGGTGTGAGACAAAGTAATAGTAATAACCAAGAACAATACAGTTTCATTGGAAATCATAAGTCACAAGGAGTGGATGCATCTGCACCAACCATTGAAAACGATTTTGAGCCATGTCACCAATTGTTTCCAACCATTGGTGTTTACCGTCCCGAGGACCCCAACCAGTCAGGAAGTCTACACCTTCCTACGTGGCTGGCTTAAACTAACTGTTGTAGATTTCATTGACTGGTGCCATGTTTTCGTTTGACCGCCGCTGGCTCTTTTCCAGCCTGACCCTATATCAGCTAGCATTGCGCATTGTCGAGGAAGGCGATGACTAGGCATACGTAGCACATATCCTAACCATCTCAGTCGATGTAATTTCACAACCTCGTCTATTGATTTCCCCACCTTACCTAGCACTCGACGCCTAATCTCAATATTGCTCACCCTATTATTCCACCACCTGACACGGGAGATAGAGCGCAGACACCTATGATCGAAGACAGCTAATCTTTTCATGTCTTCTACTCTCAATGTCCAGGTCTCACAGCCATAAAGGAGGACAGAGCGGACTGTTGAGCAGTACACACACCCTTTGGTCGATAGTCGGATATCACGTCTACTAAGCCAGAGACGGCGTAAACTAGCATATGCGAACCTAGCCCTCTGTATTCGTACTGAAATTTCGTCAGCGATCAACCCGTTGGCGTTGGCTGATGGTACTTCCCAAGTAAGTGAAGCGGTAACCGTGCTCTACCACTTCACTTCCTATTTCTAATCTAGGGGTCGGTGAATTCCAATCTTGCAGCATCATCTTGCATTTTACAGGGGCGAATCGCATGTCAGTAAAAGGTGGGTAGTGATTACCAATACAGTTGTTGCCATGACAATGCAACCAAGATGAAAATCGATTCGAAGAAATTTCAATTCTGGTAGGCTGTAGCTTATGTTTTCGGCACGAAGGGTTGTGAGCTGAAAGATGAAGTAATTAGGCTAGTCAGGTCTTCTTCGTGTATCTGTGTTAATTCAAGTGCTTCCTTGTGAAGTCAGATATATTAGCCGTTGCTCTAGGAACTTAGTTTTTTCATTATCGGGAATATCCATCAGTGTGTGTGGCTAAATAAAGTTGCAGTTGCAATTGGTGGTGTTCTATGAGCTGGTTGATGATTTAATTGCGAAGCTTTCGTAGCTAACCCTTCTAGACAACATCTTCAGTGGGAGTTTTAGCATAAAATGAACTGGTTTTAATTCTCCGTGAATGTTAGAATTGCGTCTTCTGGCAACCATCTTCGTGACTGGTAGTCAATTTACATCCTTTACTTCCTTTGTCTCACACCTCTGTTTACTGTCTATATTATGCATTTCTCCTACTTTCTTCTCTTGCTTTGTGTGCTACATGGAGTGTGGCGACTTGGATTGCCGCACATATGTGCAAAGTTCTATGTCGAAAACAGACAGACAGACAATTTACATCCGTATTGATAATTTTTTATTGATTTTAAACTCGAACTTTCTTGTCATGTGATTTACTTTTTATTAGTTGGTAAATTTGGTCTATATTAACATGTTTGTTAATCGCATATTCGCTTGAGTACCAGGCTTCTAAGAATTCTCTGGCACTTTTGCTGTTTCCTCTGTCTAAGATTTTGACATTATCCCAATCATCAAATTGGTGTCCATAATTATCTACATGCATCGGTATGAAAGACTATATATCATGTCTTTTCACAGCTAATTTGTGTTCTTCGCTTCTGATTCAAAAGGGACGCCCACTTTGACCGATCTAATGTTTATTACAGTTTATACAATTTATTTTGTAAATGGTATTAATTTTATCTTCTGTGATGATCGAAAAATGATAAACAAAAGTTGGTTACAGTATTTGGAGTATGGGACTTCATGTAATCAGATCATCATTGATCCTTGTTTTAGTTGATGATGACTAACAGTGGGATCGAAGGTGTTCGTTTCCGCTTATTTTGGGTTTCATCAGCTGAATGTTTGCTGCGTTCCCAGTGAGTGATGATGTTCCTACTGAGACTCGAACCGTGCACCTATCGTTCGAAATGCCAAAACATTATCTTTTAAGCCACAAGAGCCATGATAGTCACCTTGGTGTTCGGAACGGTGGGTGGAAGGTTTGAGTCTCGCAGGGAACATCACTACTGACTGGCAACACAGGTACACGCAGATGACGAGACCCAAATAGGACGAAATACGAATCGTAGATTCCACTGGTAGTTTACTGTCAACCAAAATAAATTCATCTTAGATATGATGGCGGAGATTCGCAGCTCAGGTGGATGATTTTGATGTAGTTGTGTTCTCTGCGCAGCTGGATGGTTGGTTTATTTGCGAAGCTTTCATTGCTCTCTACTAGGCAACACCTTTAGCTCATACTTAAATTTTAATTGAAGTAAACTTTTTATTTCTCCACGAGTTCATTATTAGTCATCTCTCCTAGAGGGTGACCTTGAACATGATTGGTTGTTTCAGTGTTTTCACACCATCTAGTCTACTTTATATATATATATATATATATATATATAACAATTAGTTCCCTTTATGAATTTAGACAAAGCAATAAGAAGACGTAATTTGTCTGTCTGAATCGTGTGTAATCTTTTATTTGCGTAACACATTTCGAACAATCTGATCACACTCCACGGATTTGTCATAGGAATATATATGAAATTAATAAAGAGGTAAGAGGTGAGAAAATAGACAAGTTAGGCCAAGTGAAAATGAAATATTGAAGGTGAAAATAACAATGAAGATCACTAAACCAAATAACAGAGGTAATAGTACATCTACCCTGGCTGGCATCAAAACGAAGTTTACCAAAGAAGGTTTAGTGTGATGACGAATTGTTGCTTCGATCGCATAAAGGTGGTTTAAACTTCCTGACTGCCAGCCAGGGCTTCCACAAACTTTAAGATATGCCCTCCCCCAAACACGTTTTATAGATAGCTTTAAAAGATGTGTTAAAGTCAATTTTATGTGCTGTCTCTATAATATATTTCGCAATAGCGAAGCTAGATCTCCTATTCTCACAATTAATGGGTTCTGAAGATTCTATTTGCTTCCGGAGCCATTAAGGAATATGCTCTGAAGCCAGGCCTTACTTGCGGATATCAATGAGTCCTCCCTATGTATGTGTGTCCAAACGTATATATATATATAAAGTAGACAAGATGGTGTGAAAACACACAAAAACAGCCAATCGCGTTCAAGGTCACTCACCAGAAGAGATGACTAATAATAAACTCGTGGAGAAATCTAAAAGCTCACTTCATCAAATTAAAGTATGCGCTGAAGATGTTTCCTAGTGGTGTGGCAATGAAAGCTTCGCAAATAATCCAACCAACCATCCAGCTGCTCAGATAACACAACTAGATCAAAAACTTCGTCATAACTTTCAGACACCATCGGAGCGTCGACTTTTCAACAGAAACTGAGTATGATATTAGATAGTTGAAGGCAATCGGCAGGAAACCTTGCCTGACCTAGGTTTCGTGCTATTTGGCACTTGTCAGCAAGGCGTATCTGCAACTTCGAAGGAACTCATGTCCCACCCCTCTAAGATTCGAACCCGTGTCACTCAGTGTTACGTGCATTCAGAGACATTACCACTGAGCTAGCTTTTCCGGCTCGCGATTGACCTCCTGTAGGACTGTAGCTGCAGATACGCCACCTAGAATGGGTGCCACATTGCAAACCTGACTGACTGATAGAATTCAGTCTGCATCATAGATACGACTAGACACGTCACACTAGTTACTAGTGCCCAGTGGAAGAAACTGAGTATATGTGTCCAATATATGTCATCAATCGATGGAAATGTGTAAATTAACCTTCACTTTATTGCATAACTCATTTTGTGTTTGTTTGTTTGTGTGTGTGTTTCCTGTTTAAATCGGTTAATTCATGTCGTAATTATTTTTTCTTGCATTTTTGTTTGTTTTACTTTTTCTCCTCTGTACAGATTTATTACCCTTGTCTTCTAGAGGCTAAAAAACGTTATGTTGGTTATGCTTATGAAAGCCTTAATCAAACAGAGCCTGTATTTGATGCTAAAGGGATAGAAACGGTGCGGAAAGATAGTTGTCCGTTTGTAGGAAGAGTAAGTGATTCAGACAATCATTTTTTCTCGCCTTTTTTTAAATTATCACTTAAGTTTCTCTTGACAAGGAATTTGTATTGACCTGATACACCAACTTTCGATCATTGGGATTATTTGTGTGTGTGTGTGTGTGGGAGTACATTAGGATTGTCAAATAAAAGTACAAATTTTCAAGTATTGGTTTTGTAGGGATTTTGTTTGTTTGATTGGTTGGAGGATTTCATCATGAGCAGCTGACATCAGTTAGAGAACCATTGGAAAACTTGTAGGGAGTACTGGAAAGCTGTTTCGTCGGCCCAGTTCTGAACTCTTCAGCACTACGCAACGGCCACATCGGGGTTTGAACCCAGGACCTTCCGACTACAAGGCCAGCCAGCTCGTTGACGACTAAACCACTGGGACCCGCCAATTTAATGGCCAGCCCATGAATTCTAACTTGCCTTGTAACCAGAAGGTCCTGGGTTCAAACCCCGTGGTGTGGGTACGTACTGCATACTAGGCTGACGAAACAGCTGACCAGTACCCCCTGCAGGTTTTCCAGTGGTTCTCTAACTGAAATCAGCTGCTCATTATAAAATCCTCCAGCCAATAAAACAAAAACTCTTCAAAACCAATAATTGAAAATTGATCTGATGCTCACTGCCCCATTTAGGCAGGCAGTTAACATGGGGTTCTAGTGGGAAACCGTCACCAGTAGGGTGCAGCACGTTGAAGGTGACGCAATTACTCATCGACGGAGACATTGCGAAGTGGTCATGCTACTTCATGAATTGGTAGAAGTTAGAATTTATGCACTGGCCTTTGGATCGGGTCACAGTGTCTTAGTGGTCTACGAGCTCGCTGGCGTTGTAGGCAGATGGTCCTGGGTTCGAACCCTGATGGCGGGTGCATACTGATGAAGAGTGCAAATCTTGTCTGACGAAACAGCTGTCCAGTACTCCCTGGTGGTTTTTCAATGGTTCTCTAACTGATGTCAGCTCATGTTTATGAAATCTCCCAAACAAAAAAGTTGGTTACGGTTATTGTTTACATCATCAAAATGTTTCAAGTGTATGTGTGTGTGTGAAGATTGGTAAGTATCGGCAAGTGTTGTGTAATAATGAAAGACACCCAGAAAATAGGGTGTTAATGGAAGAGCTTGTAGATAAGTGTTTAAAACAAATTACGTAATAGGTAGGAAGAGTAAATATAGGTTGATTATTGAACAAAGAATACTCTTTCTCACACAATCTCCTCCATGTCACCCTCACACCGACGACCCACTCGTCGCTTCCCACTGGGATTCCACTCCAACAATGGCATGCATTGCGCTCGATGTTATTCGATGGTCTCCTCAATGTATGTCTGATCAATCCATCTCTACTTTCTCCTACATATTTGTTGAGCGATCGACTCTCGCTTATTGGTTCGCTCGCAGCCAGAGTTTCTTGTTTCTTATCTTTCTGGCCATTTGATCTTCAGTATGGAGCGAAGTCAGATGTTGATGAAAGTCTGCAACAGGCTGTTAGAAATCCTTTTCGTGACACGCTGGCCAAGTTTCTGACCTGTATAGGAGCACTGACTGACTTCACATTGGTGTTGAAAATGCGAATCTTGTTCGTTATGCTGAGTGAGAGAGGAAGATTTCCAAACTGGTTTCAAGTTAATGAAGGCGTATCTTGCCTTTCCGACTCTGACTGGCTTTGAAATCTTCGTCCGTTCCGACGGCTTGTAGTTAAAACGATGCTTCCCAGATAAGTGAAGGAGGCAACCTCTGTTGAATCTCTCCCGTTGATGGTGATTGATGCTGGTTGTTGTTGCTGTTGATTGGTTATCTTCATCACCTCCGTTTTCTCTATGTTCACCTGGAGTCCTGTCTTCTCTGTCTGGCACTGCAGCCAGTTAGTTGGTTTTCGCCAGCCTGCAAGTCTTCGAGTTTGTGTGACATTAGACACATATCATCTGTGTGCGAAATCCAGGTCTTCTAGAGTCTTCTTATCGGTTGTCCAGCGTATTCTTGACTCCACTCCCGACTGTCTGATTTCAGTCAAAAGCGACACTGAACGAATATAACCAATCGGCTTTGCGTCAGTGATTGTGTACTACTCATATCAATCAATCAATCAATGAATCAGTTAGTAGTATATACTGTCATTCAATAAAATCTTATTTAGTGTTTTAATATGAAAATCTTCTTTATTATTAATTTACATTAAATTTACAGATACTTGAAGAATGTTTCAAACTTTTATTCAATCATTTCACTATTCCACAATGTGTGAAAAACAATGATGATGGTGCTGATGACGATGAGTTCAAGGATTCGTTAAATGCGCCTACAGGTATGTTGTACAGGTTATATGTGAAAATTTTATTTCCTATTCATTCACATTCGCCTTTTGGGTAGAATATGGCAGTGGGCCCATAAGCTTTAGAGTTGAGGTCGTGGGGGTGGGGTGGGGCGATGTTGCTAGCCGTATGCTCCCCCAACTTTCTCTCTTCTCCGGGCTAACTATTAGCTATTAGTGAACTAGGCAAGGTTTAAGAGTTTGTTGGTATGGGGAATCGAATCCAGTTCTCCAAATCGGCTAGCGAGTATTCCTACCATTTTTACCACTGACAATTGACCTCGTATTCGTTGAACTTATCTCATTATAAGCATTATTAAGAGTTTACTTGTCTTTCTTAAGAACTAGAGTGATTCTACTGCCCTTATACACTTTAGTCTGCGCTAATTAACACAGTTGGTTATTCAAGTATTGGTTTGTAGGGATTTTGATTGACTGGTTACAGGATTTCATCAGGGGCTGACATTGGTTAGAGAACCATTGGGAAACCACCACTGGAATACTGGACAGCTGTTTCGTCAGACTAGTTTGGGACTCTTCATCAGTACACACCCGTATTGCGGGGTTCGAACCTAAGAGCTTCTGCTTACAAGGCCAGCGAGCCAATGTCTTCGGCGAGTATTTGTCCTCACACCCGACCTGCTGCACCCTACTGGTCACGACTGCTCACTAGCGACTGGCCCTATTCAGGTAGGTAGTTACCTGAGGTTCTAGTGAGAAGTCGTGACCAGTAGGGTACAGCAGGTCGGGTGTGAGGACAAATACTCGCCGAAGACATTGGCTAGCGGTTGAGGTATATCATGAATCGGCAGAAGTTAGAATTCATGGGCCATTAGATCGGGTCCCAGTGGTCTAATGGTTCTACGAGCTCACTGGCCTTGTAACCAGAAGGTCATAGGTTCGAAACACGGTGGGTGGGTACTGCCGAAGAGTCCCAAACTAGGCTGGCGAAACAGTTGTCCAGTACTCCAGTGGTGGCTTTCCAACGGTTCTCTAACTAATGTCAGCTCATGATGAAATCCTGTAACACAGTTAGTTAATTTGATTTGTAAGTGAAGGGAGAGCCAATGCTGAAACTTATGCATACAAAACTGAATCTTTTTTATTACGAATATGTAGAGGAATGACTGACTGACTGATTAACTGAATTTTCAGTGTCGGACTTTTTGCGCACACACACACGTGCAGCAGTCTAACAGTGACCACACCTATACTAAGCATAAATGTACAGTAGAAGTACTAACTACATGAGAGAGAGGTGATTATAAAGAATGAGTTGAATGCGTGTGTGTGTTGTCGTTGAGAACAACTTTAAACTGTATCATCAAAAATCTCCGGAGATTGTTTCTTCAACAATTCACGGACTCTACAAAGCTGACTCTAACCAACTATCAAAGATTTTAGGGATTGATACCAAGTTTCGGTTTGTGACTACTCCCTCTAGCAGTGAGTGTATATGAAATATAAAGAAGTATTGTTGCCATATATATAAAAGATATTCTATGAAGTCAATTAGTGGAATCCAGGATGAATCGCATTTCGTCCTATTTTAGACTCGACAGTCTTGGCGGGGACACCACCACTCACCACTGGGGTATGCAGATACATCCAGACACCAACGAGGACGAAATGCGCTTCATCCTGGATTCCACTGCTGCTAGTCACCATCCAACACCAAATGAATTCAAGTTACATGCGCAGACATCATCGAAACGTATCTGCACATGGTGACGACGATATGTCAACCTGAGATTGAGCACTTAGTTCGAATCAATCGATGGGGAAATCTAAATTGAATTAATTAAGGATGTTCTTGTTTAAATATTCATGCTGTCTATAGATACGAAAATGTTAGATCAATAGATATGAGACTACACAACCGGTTATAAACATCAGTGATAGATTAGGTTGGAAAAGTGATTGGCAATCATTCAATAAAAACCTAGCAATAATGCATGAACTCTTCAACTGCTTGTTAGAGCCAGCCAGCCACGTAGAGAAGTATAGACTACCTGGCTGCGGTTGTCGAGATACTAAGAACCAATGGCTGGAGTCTGTTGCTGATATAATAGCCCACAGACATTCTCAATGATGCAGATGCATTCGGTGTTTTCAAATCTCCTAGATATGTGAAATGCTCATATTTATTTACGTGCGTCGGTGGCACAGCGGTTGGGACTCTCGCCGACCATGCACATAGTCCGGGGTCCGATCTCCTGTCGACGCACACCTGAAATATATGGTCGACCTGCAAAATCTGGGCTACCGATATCACATGTTGAGAATTCCATACCTGTACCGAAAATACTGTGTGGAATCAAGCTATAATAAAAAAAATGTGATCATACTTTCTGCTATACATTCCCGTTCATAATAGTTCCTGTGAACGCTACTTGTGTGTGGGGGGCTGATGAGCGAGCATTTTGTCATCAAACCACTGACGTACAAAAATTATGTGAACTGAATATTGATTTTATTTTTATTTCCGGGTTAATTATTATCATGAAATGAAATCAGCTATAGTGACACCAGCATTCGGCAGCTTTTGATTGGTTGGTAGACTGTTGAGGTATCCAGTCGGGCAAGCTACACTGTGCCTGAAATCAACTGATAGCTGCTACCCCTTGACGTGGTGGTCGGGCTTGCACATCCCGATGACCTAACAAGCTACACTGGCTGGAACCAATGTCCCTGCAGGTCCTACCCTGCCAGGAAGGTTGTTAGGATAGCGATTAGACTAAAAGCAGTTACCGGCATTGTGTAAGAATATTTCTTACACAGGGATGTAACAGCAGTAAAGTGTTTCCCTCAGATGACCAGCATGCCAGCTATGCTGTCTCTCCACTGTGCTGGTGAGAGAGGGGGTTAGAAAAGGTCGACCCCAAAAATTGTACATCCCGACTTACCACACCTACGGTGGTCCGTAACCGGCGGTAAGTTACTAATACGGAACCAAACCAAGAAACCCGTTCAGACAGTCCGTGTCCGAACGGCCTCAAGCAGTTGTCCCTTGGGCTGTGTGGTCACGCAACACTAACCCTCTCTCTGTTTCAGGTACTTGAAGAATCATTCAACTTCCACGGTGTGGGTAGCCTGGAAGTAACAACCGCCCACATACCTCGAAAAGCACACGAAGTCCCCCTGAGCATCATTGTCCTCTACCCACATCACCTTGATCATCTCTTTCCCCCTACTACAGTCAGTACTATTCTTTAAGTAAGTGAGGCATCTTCACTTCACTCTGTGACCACAAATAACGATGAGAGCCATAGAAACACTCCAGATAGCCTTTTAAAGCCACGTTGTCAACTTCATATAGGAGCATTTAACGCATTTTAGAAAAAAGCCTTCTTAGACTGAGATGCTAAATTTCGATTTGACCTACTCCCCTTTAACTCTTTTCCAATCCAGAAAGAAACTTTTGTCTGCTCAGGAAAATGTGCAGGAGGTTATTACCTCCTGCTACTACTCACATTGTGGAGGTTAATTTCTACTTGAAACAGAAGAATCATTAGTGTCGTTGCATGAGCACAGAGCCTAAAAGTGGACATTTGCTTCAGGCTGATCATACACACACACACTGTATATTTGTATCCTTTTCCGGGGTTGTGTTTTGAATCGAAATCTTATCAGTGGCTGTGGACCACTGTAAGATAAGTCAAAGATGGACAATTTTCTAAGGTGACATTTTCTAATCCGTCTCCACTGAGTGATTGGCGAGGCAGCATAGATAGATTTCTAGTCATCCAAGGAGAAGACTACAAGAGGAACGGACGAGGATGTCAAATCGGTAATGCAAGAAACACATTCATCAACCTGAAACCAATCTGGAAATCTTCGTCACTCAGCCTGCATCAACAACAAAATTCGGATTTTCAGTACAAACGTCAAGTCAGTCAGTTCTTCTATACGGATCAGAAACTTGGCGAGTCACAAAGAATATTTCCAACAGCCTGTTGCAGACCTTTATCAACAACTGTCTTCGCTCTTTACTGAAGATCAGATGGCCGGCCGGAAAGAATCACCAACAAGAAACTATGGGAAAAAACAAAACAAGAGCCAATCGCTCAACAAATATACAGGAGAAAGTGGAGATGGATTGGACACTCGCTCAGGAGGCCGTTGGGTGACATCGCGCATCAGGCCATAGCTCGAGTGGAACCCGAAAGGGAAGCGGCGAGTTGTTCGTCAATGCAAGGGTGACATGGAGGAGATCGTGTGAAGAGGAGTTGAAACAGTATGGACTAACATAGATGCAAGTGAAAAGTACAGCAGAAGACAGAAGCAAGTGGAGGCGTGCAGTTGAAGCCCAGTGTTCCACTAGGAACCCAAGGGAACAATAATAATAATAAGGAGAAGACATCTTACTGCTATTTCATTCTTTTATGTCAGCAGTAGGACTTTACCATTAGACATCTAAAACAATTTAAACAACTAATACTATGATGGAAGTCTAATCGCTATTTAAATCGTCTTTCTGACATGTTACAACCTTCAGGAAGATCTATTTCAGTATGTGTATCTAAGTGAGCCATCGCGATATGAAAGCCTGATTATCGCATCAAGTTTTTAAACCATATCACTGTGCGTCGGTGACACAGTGGTTAGGACTGTCGCCGACCATGCACATGTTCCAGGGTTCGATCCCCGGCAGACGCACTCCTGATATCAATGGGCGATCGATATCACATGCTGAAAATTCCATACTTGTACCAAAAATACTGTGTGGAATCAAGCTATTATAAAAATAAAAATAAAATAAATAGTTTCGTGCCATTGATTCTTAGCACCTTGGGGACCCCAATCGTCAGGCAGTTTACACTTTCCTATGTGGCTGGCTTAAAACAACAGTCCATCTTTTTTATCATGGATTCATGCCACGTTTTTGACGGGACCACCTATCATTTCTTTCTAACCGCAATCCTAAATATCAGTGCTTATCTAGGAATGCAATGGGTTCGCTATACGTAACACATATATCCTAGTCATCTCAACGGATTTATCTCATTCAGGATCTCATTGGTTGATATTCCCTGCTTACCGAACACTCCACGCATAACCTCAGTACTACTCACCGTATATTGCCAGCTTGCTTGAGAAATAGATTTCAGACACCTGTAGTTACACAAGTTTGATCACCGGCTGACATTAGTTGAAGAATCACTGGAAAGTTATTCGCGGGGGGGGGCAGAGTACTGGACAGCTGTTTCGTCTCAGTTTAGGAGTCTTCGGAAGTACACGCCTACCGGTGTTCGAGCCCATGACTTTACGGTTACAAGACGAGCTCACAGACCAATCAGCCATTGGGAACCTAACTAATGTCTTAGGATTTTAATTAATGCTTTGAATTATTGAACAAAGAATATTCTTTTCGATAACCTGCTCTTCATCAGGTTCTACAGCTATATATCCATCCATAATAGTGAATGAATTAGTGTTATTAACAGCATTAATGTCGTTTAAATAAGATCGAACATCAGTGGATTACAGTTCAATAGCATCAACATAACAATACACGCTGAATATCAGACTGGCAAATTAAGAAAGATAATAATACGGAATTCATGGATTTATAGTCTCTACAGAAGGCCGCCCAGGACAGCAGTAGTGACTGGCTGGATCTGCTTCATCTCGGCACATAGAGCACCGGTTGTTTCAGGCGAATTGGGATAGTCTCTGCTGTTTGGAGTATGCAGTATCTCGATGTTTTTGGCATCTGATAGATAACGGAGAACTCTTCAATGCTGGCTGACTTTGTGGCTGGTTTGGACCAAGTGATCTAATATCGAGCTACTGATGCCTTTAACTACACCTTTATTTAACCATACTGGTAGATTTTCCCGAGAGAGCACGAAAAATCAAGTTACTAGAGCAATGGCTAATATAAGTCGCTGCACCAAAAGCAGCCCAGATGAATTGGTAGATACAATTAGAAGTGGCTAGCCAGTCTAGCTACTTCATCTTTCAAATTGGGGAATCATCGCCGGCCGTGTTGAAAATAAGTCTTGTAGTTTGGCGGCATTAAAAGTTCTTTGAACTGATTTTCTTATCTTTAATTATTTCGCTAGGTATATCGCTTTTGAATTGCAGTCGTATGTATAAAGGCTTCTTGTTTACGGATAGTGAGTAGTCCTTTTTCGCTTTCTTGATAAATTTGTCGGTAAAGCTATTTCCAGTCAAGGCGTCACATACAATCCTTAGTTCATCTTAAATTACCTCTTCTGAGCATATAGCTGTAACCCTATGGCTCAGAGTCCTTCCTAAATTTCTTTTGTACTTGAGAGGAACGAAGCTATGGAAATGTGTATATATTGTCCTGTTGTCCATGTGCTTTTTCTATACAAATTTCTCTTGATCCTACCATCTGGTTATCTTGTTTACAGCCCCATTATCATTAATATATTTACTTTCTGTTACTATTCTGTTTTATTTTTCCCCTAAAAAACCAACCCTGCTGACTAACTGCTCGTCAATATTCTGCATCAATTTTGAAAATCATTTCTTTTCTCAACACAACAGGATATCAGTCGATAGATAAAAGTTTAAAATTAGCCGAATATAATCTCAGGAGTAAAATTCAACAATTCGCTTATCGTTTAATCCACGGGAGAATACCATTCCATGAGTGTATTATAACCAGGCCGTATTGGGGACTAACAGCCTATAAAGCAGGAACATTCTCTCCGGCATTACAAGTGGCTAGGTTAGTTTATTTCTATAATTCTTGTTATTATTATTGTTGATATTATTACTTATTCAGGCAGTATCATCTCTCATTATATCGGTCCACCAACCACACCAAAACTGGTCCCTGTTCGATACCTTGGTGACGCCCTCTTACATGCCTCGCTTAATCGGTAGTAGGTCAGGTACATAGGGATGGTTGAACATGAGGCTAGCAGCGGCTCAGTGGCACATCTTCATTTCAGTTGATTCTCTGCTACCACTCCACAATTGCTTTCCTCTTAACATGGTATTCTCTATGTCACAATCTTAGACATCAAACTCATTGCTTCCCATCAGGATTCTACTTATAGATCTGGTGGTGAACTGTAATTTCACTTGAATTTCCTAATCTATCTGCATTTACTTCTGCATAGCTGTTAGTAATTAGGTTTTTGGCTAGTTTGTTGCATAGTCAGCCATTTGATTCCCAGATCCTTATTTTGATTTTACATTTTCCCTTCATCTGGGCACAACCTGTGATGTTTAATACAACGAGTTATAAGGTATAGCTGTAGCACACTTTTGTTTCTCAGTATGAACCAGTAAAGTGTATTGCCTCAAGACTATAATGAGCTGAAGTTATGTTAAAGTATTGCATAATATCTTTAGGAGTTACTTGTCTCAAGTTTTATAATGAATATGTATGCTCTTGGTGTTTCCCTCGTGAATTTGTGAACAATCTTTGTTAGTGTGGACTTTCTCCTCCTGTGTATCAGGCGGAAACTTTTTAGTAAGAACTTGAGACACCAAGGCTGCCTACTATCTCCAATGATTTTCCTGATTATGGGCGGTAGACTGGATAATGCGACTGACAGAGGCGGGCAGCGAGGAAACAAGCATAAAATGGGCCAACACAAAAAACTTGGAGGATCTGGAATTCGCCAATGATATATATATCTGATTTCCCACAAAATGGAAGATATGCAGGTGAAAAGCAACTAGTTGGTGGAAGAAACATCAAAGGCCTTCAGGTGAACATAGAGAAAACAGACGTATGTGATGAAGATTCCCGACCAACAGCGACAGCAGCAACAACAGACAACAATCAGCCAGCAAAAATGGGAGAAATCCGAAAGTAGCCACCTCCTTTACCTATCTGCCTACGTGGGAAGCATCGTTTCAATTAAAGGCGGACGGAAGTGATGAGGATATCGAAGCGGCGATTGGGAAAGCAAGACAAGCTTTCATTACTCTCAAGTTTGTGTGGAGATCAACAGCACTTAACGGGAGAAATAAGATCCAGATTTTCGAATCCAAAATTAACTCAGTGCTACAATACGCATGAGAGACTTGGTGCCTCACGAAGGTCATTTCAAACAAACTACAGACCTTCATCAACAGTTGTCTTCGCTCAGTACTCAAGATCGGATGGCTGGCCAGAAAAGATCGGCAACAGGGAGGGATTTCTGGCAATGAGTGAACCAACCAGGAACCAATTGTGCAACAAATATGTAGGAACAATTGGAGGTAGATTGGCCATACTCTGAGAAAACTATCAAATGACATCACACGTCAGGCTCTCGAGTGGAACCGGAATGGGAGGCGGCGAGTTGGTATTCATTGTGAGGATGACATGGAGGAGGTGATGTGAAGAGGAGATGAAAGCATGTGGGCAGATATGGAGCCAGGGGATAAAAACGTTAGCATAGAACCGAACGTGATGGAGAAGTGCGGTTGACGCTGTATTTTCCTATAGGAATTAAAGGAAACAGTAATAATAGTAACGATATAATTAACAGATTATTGTATGCATATACTTTATATATATGAGAAACTACTACTGAGACTACTGATAAACGAATTCAGTAGTATACTTAAATGTACGAAAAAGCACTAGGAGTCAAATAATTAGAATTACAGACTGTTGAAATCTTGAAGATAAACTGCTGTGTGTACATAAATATTTAATTTTCTAGTAATGTGGATTTCAGCTCTTTAAAGGTCGGAGATATTCCTTGCAAAAGATCTCCAACGAGCACAAAACCTAGACCAGGTGAATCTTGCTGACGATTGCCTCTAAATCACCTGGCCCACCAATTACTGCTCATTGTAATACACTTCTTCAAAGTGTAAGAAGACAGGAAGTAAGTTTTCATTTGATCGAGTATGGATAGCGGCGGAATTCAGGACATAATTTTCATCTTATTTCGAACTCGTTAGCTGGATATACCTACATCCCTATCGGATGATGGTGTTACTACTGAGACTCTAGCCCAACATCCATTGTTTGCAACGCCAAGTCACTATCCCCCAGTCCATTGAACCTTCTGTGAAGTAGGTAACAGTTGTTACTTGTTTGAAATGATTGTTTTGTAAATTGACTTTATTGAGCTCAAATGTTCGGTTGGTTTTATTGTTTACTATATCTACGCTTGGATACTTGAACGATGACAAAATGTATGTTTTTGTATCGCAACATTTTCAAGTTGTCTATATTTTTGATAACATCGTAGCCTTTCTCCTCATTTTGTTAGCGGTAAAACTACAGATTGATATCAGTTAGACAACCATTGAAAGAAAGCAAGCAGGGACTATACTGAACAGTTGTTTCGCCCTAGCTTGGGACTCATCATCAGTATGCACCCACCGGGTTTCGAACCCAGGACCTTCCAGTTACAAGGAAAGCTTGTAGTCCATTCAGTCACTGGGACGTGAATCAGTGGTCCTTGACACCAGCCTGTGTCATCTGTGACGAGTATTTGTCCATACTTCCGATTGGATGGACCACATTGGTCACGACCTGTCACTAGAATTCCGAAGAATTTCGTCATGTAGCCGGGAGCAACAGTTTAATTTTCAAGAGATTTTGATTTGTTTCCAGTTTAACAGTGGTTTGTTTGTATTTGTATTCTATTTGTCTTTTTCTGCATAGACGTCTCCTGTCTCTGGATCCACGCAGTGAACCATTACGTGGTGAACGTGTTGTCTATTTCATTGCAGCTGGTCGTTCAGATCAAGCCTTATTATCTTGTGTTCGAAGTTTACACGAAATCCATCCATCGATATGGATTACAGGAAAGTCGAGTGCATCACGTCGTTTGTTGGCACCACGTCTCAATTATGGTTATTATCTGGATAAACAATTTATACCGCCTATTGAAAGGATGACACAAGTGATTGGATGGAGAGTTCGTAATTGGTGAGTTATTATTATTATTCCCTTGAGTTCCGACTTAAACCCCTAGAGCCTCAGCAGCACTTTGTTCTCTAAAGTGATTCTTTACTGGATCTGCGATTGTCATTAACCTCATTTCATCGTTTGTTACAAAACCACTTAGCATGACTTCAATCTCTCTGACAAAATGCAGATAATCTGCTAGATTTTCATCAAAGTACCCTGACTCGAACTTCGGTAACTTGAAACTCCTACTCTCACAGTCTTGTTGACTTACAATATGCAGAGGATATAGTCCTTCTCGTAGGTGAAGATTTTATTTTATTTTTATTATAGCTTGACTCCATATAGTATTTTTGATACAAGTATGAAATTTTCAGCATGTGATATCGGTAGCCCAAATTTTGCAGGCCAACCACTAATATCAGGTGTGCGTCGGCCGGGGATCGAACCCCAGACTATGTGCATGGTTGGCGAGCGTCCTAACCGCTGTGCCACCGACGCACATAAAATGAAGAGTCTTCTGAAAACCTTAATCAGACATAAATCTTCGAATGTTTGGCTAGCGATTTAATCCCATCGAATGGTAAAATGAAGCTGCGGGACTGAAATACCCCCACTCCTAGCTTAAAGATAGCGAATAAATGAAATGGTAGGGCGTGTTGACCGTTTAACTTGTTTGGGAATTGGCATCAGCCCCAATGGACTGTGATTGCTGACGAAATCTCAGTAGGCGTACAAACGCTTGTGTGGCATTTGCCAACCTGCATCATCTCTGGCTTTGTAGACATGATATCCGGGTGGCTACGGATCAAAGGACGTGTGTACTATACAGCAGCAGTTCTCTTTGTCCTTCCCTATGGTCTGTCTGTCTCTCTGTCTGGATTCAACATAGAACTTGGCACCGAAGTGCACCAGTTCGAGTTGCCACGTTCCAAATAGCACACAAAGGTAGACAAGAAAATGAGTGAAGAGAATCAATAGAGTTTTGACAAGTATAAGAGTGAAACAGAATGAGTAATGGCAGAAAGGAATATGAAGGATTACACAAGAGACTGAATACATCTGCGTAAGCCATTGACAACGATTTTGAGCCATGTCACCTATTGTCTCCAGCCATTGATTCTTAGAGTCCCGAGGGCGGGCCTCAACCCGGAAGTCTGCATCTCTCTACCAGACTCAGTTTAACTGTCAAGGATTTCATGGATTGATGAGGCCATGTTTTTGTTTGGCCACCACTTACTCTTTTCCAACCTGCACTTATATCAGCTGGTAATGCCCGTCGGGGGAGGCGATGGTTAGGCATGCGCAGCACGTGACCTAGCCATCTCAATCTATGTAGCTTTATAGCCTCTTCTATTGATTTTCCTTCTTTGCCCAACACTCTACGCCTAACGTCAACATTACTTACCTTATTATACCACGTAACGTGAGGAAGAGATCGTAGACATCTATGATCAAAAACAGTCAACCTTTTCATGTCTTCAACTCGTATTGGCCATGTTTCAGAGCCATGGAGAGAAGGACGGAGCGAACTGCTGAGCAGTACACACGTCCCTTGGTTGATAGTTGGATGTCACGCCTACGCCAGAGATGGTGTAAGTTAGCGAAAGCAGCCCGAGCTTTCTGGATCCGTGCTGTGATTTCGTCACCAATCAATCCGTTGGTGCTGAAACAACTTCCCAAATAGGTGAAGTGGTCAACACGTTCTATCACTTCACTCCCTATCACTAAGCTAGGAGTTGACGTAGTCCAGTCCTGTCGCAGCATCTTACATTTTACAGGGGCTAATTGCATGCCAGACATACGAAGATTGCTGCTCAAGGTGTTCAGAAGACTCTGCATTTTGTCAGCATTCTCCCCTAACAGGACTATGTCGTCTGCATATTCCAATTCCATAAGACTATTCTCTGGTAACAAGTCGATTCCTAAGTCGTTAATTTCAGTTAAGGTTACTTCCATTAGCATATCTATTATGAAGTTAAACAGAAAAGGGGAAAGTGGACATCCTTCACGGACACCTTACTTACTTTTACTTTACTTCGGCTATCTCCTACGGGAGGATGAGCCGGCTTCATGAACATCTCGAATCATCGCTGCCCGGGCGCGGCGATCTGATGCAAGATTTTGCGACAGGGTTATCCAATTCTAGTTCCACAGACGGAGTCCGTAGACGGTTTGTAGTCACAGGCACTCCATATCAGCCTTGATTGTACCAAGCCACGTTTTCAGCTGTCCACCCCTGCGACATCGCCAAGATGGTAATGGCGAGGGATTTAGAACTGATTTGACCAGATCGTCATCTAGTCGGCGCAGAACATGGCCAAACCACCGAAGGCGACGTTGTTGGACCAGTACTGGAATTTGGTTGATGTTTTAGCAACGAGAGAGTTCATGAAGTTTCATGGGAATTTGGTACGAGTGATGTCCCCAGAATCGCTCGGCCTTTTGTTTGAGAGTGCAGCTCTAGCCTCTACACAACCAAGTGTGACCTACAAGGCAGTAGGAGTGGAGTAGGGAGTCCACTATCCATTGGCAGCCGGTGACCGGAGATCGGTTCATACGCCTTTTTGAATGGGGCCAGACATCCAAGACATCCAACAAGCCCTTTGACCATACGTCTGCCGGTGAGCTCCAGTGAGCTTCATACGCCAGTCGTTGGAGGTTTGGAATCAGGGTTCAGCCATCTCCCCCAGACTGTCATCCAATGGACAGTCAACTCGGTGAAGAGCGCCGGGCATCCGCTTTCGCCCTCTCACTTTGGTGAAAAACACCTCCGCCACGTGAAGGCAGTGAGTAGGACTTCCTCAGGAGAGGCTATGTAAGACGCCTGGTCATATGGGAGCATTTCAAGAGGTGTGCGGAGGGGTGGCCAACCCGCAGCGCAAGGCACCCACCCCCGACCATCCTGAGACTTTGGAGGCACTACTGGTTGTTATCAATTCAGATGACGATTCCCCATAAACCCCTACACGGCTACGTGAGTTTCAGTAGAGTGCCTTGATTAGTGAAATGTACTTTCTTGGCACTCCCTTCACAGTCAAACATTGCCATAGTACCTTTCGATCCACAGAGTCGAAGGCCGCCTCCAAGTAAAGAAATATGGCAATTGTTGGACTCCTAAAAGTGTGTCTATGGCTGTGGGAAGTGGCCACTAATTGTCGACCATACGGAAAGGCTTGCTGTTTTTTTCACGGTGTATGTTTCAGTTTCATCTCTAATAATAATAATAATATCTTTATTCTGGACTATATTAATGAAATGTACAGAATTTTCAGAGGAGTTTATCGTACAATATCTTCAAGTAAAATATTAATTAATTGACAGTATCGCCTTCCTGATGGTGGTATAGCGGTTAGGACACTCGGCGACCATGCACATGGTCCGGGGTTCGATTCCCGGCCGACGCACTCCTTTACCTCGTTGAGCCAGAAATAGTGCTGGTAAAGAGGAAAGGTTGAGCATGGGGCTAGCAAACTTATCCTGTAAAAATAAACACTGTTACAGAAACTTCAAGCCTGTGGCTTGGAGCCCTATGTTCCACTAGGGAACGTGAAGGAAAAAAGAATAATCTCCTTCCTGTGACACAATGATCTCTGAGCTGAAGCACAAATCATCCCATTATGTGACATATATCTGCTTTGTCTCCTTCCTTCAAAAAACCCATCCATGATATCTAGCTGGAAACCAATTGTAAAATGTTCAGAAGTACATTTTGTTACCCAAAGGCATATCTGGAGAACAGTGATCTCATGTATGGGAAAACGTTGCCACCCACAATCACAGACCATTCCTCAAGTTTAGTAGAAACTTGTGTAGAGGAAGCTTGTAAACATTTTAAATACTCACAAGAGTAGATAATACCACTAGAGGTCATAGTTTAATCTATTAAAATAAACCGAATGAGAGAAAATATATGCAATAGAGAGAAAGGGAGATGGAAGTTTTAGGTAGCCCAAGTTTTAAGCAAGCCGCCACCGCCTCCCGTGTTAAATGGTATAGTAGTGTCAATGATATTCAGACAAGGCGTCGATTGTTAGGTAAGAATGGAAAGTCAATCGACCAGGTTGTGAAGTTAAATTGATTAAGGTGGTTAAAACTCGTTTCGCGCACTCCCAGCCTTCCTCGCCTTCCTCAATGGACAATGATAGCCGACACTAGATTAGGTTCAAGAAGAGTTAATGGTGGTCAAACCAAACTGTGGTTTCATCAGTCCATGAAATATTTGACAGGCAGTCTTCTACGTGTAAGGAGGTGTAGTTATCCTTGTAGAGGTTCTCGGGGTGCTGAGAACCATTGAGGGCTGGAGAATATTAGTGGTGATATGGCTTAAAATCGTTCTCAATGCCGCATATGTATTTTTACCACTCATTGTAATCTCCCTGTTCCTTACCCCTCGGATTTCTACTCAGTATAGTTCTCATGAATTCCTGTTTTTCTCTTTTAGCTACCTTTGTTTGCTACATGGAAGGAGTGTCGCAACTTAAACTGCTGCACTTCTGTGTGAAGACTTATGTTAAACTTCAGCAGTGTGTTTTTAACTACTCTAAAATTAGTCAGTAGTAAGTGAAGAGTAAATAAAAAAGTTTGATTTCAAAAACCTTCAATTCATTCATTCATTATTATTTTTTTGATTCTAGGTTATCAGATCTTCCGCGTTCTTCAGCATTTAAACATCATCGTTATGTTTTAAACTCAGGACCATCTTCTGCCTCTCAGCGTCGTTTCACAAATCTTGGCTCTCCATCATCATCAACATTCAGTCTGTCTCCATCTTCATCGCAGATGAATTTCACTACAGGCCTACAGCATAAACGTTGTCGCCGACCGTCAGCGCTTATGCGTGCTTTTGTTGCACAAATACCACAAATTTGTCCCAGCTGTGAATCATTGGTGCCAAATACTAGTTCAACTGACCAGCTGGGACATTGTAGAACTTGTATTCATGGGAATAGTAAATTAATGAATATTGGAGTGATAAAACTCGGTTGTGCAGTATGTGTTCTTACTTTATCTGTTTTTATTATTGTTATTTTTATGAATTATTTGGGTATATTATTTCATGGGTGGTGGTGGCAGTGGTCGTGGTGATGGTTCATTCGTATGAAATGCTCTTCAGCCATACATGGAGGGAGGTCCTCTGAGTTTGGATTCCTGGCTGACACACTCCTAAATTCCGCCTAACCTCTATAAAGTGAGGTGGTTTGACCAGTACGAGCAGAACCCATCCTGGTGACTCATTCACGAAGTTCTACGGCAGACCTTGCTGTGTGACCAGACAAAGTAAGATGGAGCCTTTGACCAACAACCCGCGTTGATATATATGGGTAAACAGGCTGGCAGGCACTCACCCATGGGCATGCTTTGTTGAGTTGTTAGTCTCATCAACTAGATTATCAACCTTTCCTCTTTTCCTGACTTTCTGCTACCGGCTAGGTTAGGTTTCTGAGTAATTCGGTTGGGAATCGAACCCCTCCCCACCTTGCATTTACGTGGTTGGCGAGCATTCTACGTCTGAACTCACCAACGTACTCTTTTCAAACATAATGGTGGCAACAGTAAAACAGAACAGACACCATGGTCAAATGACCTTGAGTCAACCAATCAGATTCTGGGTGAGAAGTGGCATTTATTGTATAAAAAAGTATATTGATATAAGTATAAAATTTGGGCACTCTGATGGTAGAGTATATAACTCCATTATGGTTAAGATTTTATTTTGATAAGTCACACAGTGTTACACAGTGACATTAACTGATGACCACGTTTCGAGCACAAATTATTGCTGCTCATATTCATATCAAGTTACTCACACAACTTTTTACTTCATTTATATACATGTGTAGAATTGATGATTATATATATATATATATATATATATATACATGTATATACACCTCGCTAAGCCAGTAATAAGGCTAGTAAAGAGCGAAGGTTGGGCATCAGGCCAGCAGTAACCCTATTCCGTAAAAATAATAAACACCATTGCTATCAAAACTTCAAACCTCTAGCTTGAAGCCCTCGCTTTGTTCCACTGGGAACGTAAAAGGAACAAAGAAAAAACTATCAATCATAGGGTTGAATTCTTCACTATTTAATAAATGACCTCATAGAATTTATTGTCTTGGAAAATCAAACTCGCCTGATCCACAGAAGATAATTACCCATTGCTCACGCTTTTGTTGAGATGACCTGGTCGAAAGGGCCGGTTTGATTAAGTTCCCACATGCCATATAAGCAGATTTGGCATTGATGAAGACTGACACGAGTTACAACACACTGTCATACCCCTCCGCTTTATAATTCTGCATTATGCAGAAAGGAATGCAGTATAAGAGACCTTAGAATATCATAAGTTTAATGGATTTCCCATTGGTGTATTTGACCTAATGGATTCACTGCTAGTCAAATAGGCATATTTATTGATTGAATCACTAACTTGATATGTTATGGACACCAAGTGATGGGCCATACAAAATTTCATAGTTTATGTGAGGTCTGGAATATTGCCCGGATGCTCAGATTGAATTAGTTGGTTGTCTTAAGGAACCACACCTCGAGAATTTTGACTCTTGATGTCGGATCCGTAAAGCAGCGAAGCAACGACTGATTGACTGGCTGACTGGTTTCAACGTAAAACTTTGCACCGATGTGCAATGGTTCGAGTCACGACACTTCACTTAGCACACAAAGCAAGAGAAGAAGAAAGTAAAAAGAAATGCAAAATAGAGATAGTAAACAGAGATATGAGGCAAAAAGAATAGTAATAAGTCACAAGGAGTGGGTGCATCTGCATCAGCCGTCACGGAGGACGATTTGAGCCATATCACGAATTGTCTCCAGCCTTCATTGGTTTCTACCACCCTGAGGACCCCAACCAATCAGGCAGTCTACACCTCCCCACGTGGCTGGCTGGCTGGCTTAAACTCATTGTTGTGGATTTGATTGACTGATGAAGCCATGTTTTGGTTTGACCACCACTAGCTAGCTAACTCTTTTCCAACCTGATCCATCCTATTTCAGTCAGCTAACGTTGCCCACTGTCGAGGAAGACGGTAGCCAGGCATGTTTAACACATGTCCTGACCATCTCAGTTGATGTAACTTCACAACCTCGTCTATTGATTTCCCCTCCTTACCTATCACTCGACCGACGCCTAACCTCAATATTGCTCACCCTACTCCATTCTATCTGCTCAGCTTCTGGAGCTAACGTACACCAAATAGGTTTGGAATCAAGGATTTCCAGCCATCCCCCAATTAGACCCACCTGCATGTCCACCAGCACCACACGATCTCACTCTCCTTCTCACTTTTGTAAGGAATACTCTTTTGGCACATAAAGGCAGTGAGTGGGACTTACCTGTCAAGGGCTATGAACACGTGGTTGGCCAAATGAGAGCATTTCACTGATGAAGATCCGCCCTCGGTCGTACCTTGTCGTTTATTATTAATAAATGAATTCGTATATCTTATTTTGAAGACGGTCTTCACCATACATAGATCGATGCGCTTGCGATTATCTTATCTCCTCCTAGTTCACAATGCATATAAATTGATAATGACTTCAACTGTTAATTATGATATTAATGGTTTGATGGTAACTAGCAGGATGGATTATTTCGTCGTATTTGTAACTTGTTAGCTGATGGTACTGGTCAGTCCCCGGTAAATGATCATCTAATACATTATAGGCACCAAAAGATGCTCCATGTAAAGCCGCATAGTTTGTGAGACGGCTGGGATACTTAGTGCCTGGACGCAGAGATCAAAGCAGATGGTTCCTTTAAGTGACCAACCCTCTCCCGAACCTTTGACTTTAATATAAGCATAAAACTTGGGCACTGTGGTAGAGTATAACTCCATTATAGATAAGATTTTATTTTGATAAATCACACAGTGTTGTTATACAGTAATATTAACTGATGACCACCTTTCGAGCACAAACTATTGCTGCTCATAATCATATCAAGGCACTACTCACACAACTTTCTTGCTTCATTTATATACATGAGTGGAATTGATGATTAGACATTTGAATAAAATTCAATATGAGATAATGTACATTCAGAAATAATAATATGAGTGTTATTGATCAAATACAATCAGATGGGAAATAAGACGAGTGTTTTTATAGTCATAATAAGTAACTTGTTAGAATGTTGTGATGTACGTGAATTGAAATAGAATTTTAAGATTATTTATTATCCTCCTCTGATTTGACTGACTGGTGGTAATAATATCTTCCATATCTCTGGTATTTGTATTGAGTCATTTCTGTTGCATGTGTTGGGTGTAGATTCACTCGATGAACCGGACAGGATTCAGTAATCAATCTCTCTCTCCACCTACATAGATTACTTCTTAGAATCTTAACCCTCTCCCACCCTATTGTGTGGTTTTGTGTTAATGCATGTAGTGCAATTGCTGAGCTTTTTTCTAAATTACTCATCTTCTTGGGGTCAACCATTCTTACCTTAGCCAAATTCTTATGTTCTGACAATCTGACTACCCCCGATCTACTAGTTTGACTTATGTAGTTGATTTAACTCACAGTCATTGCAAGGTATTTTGTAAATTATATTATTTTGTCTAATTGGGTCAACCTACAGGGTCGTTTAACCTAGAGAGCGTGTCTCTGAGTGAGTTTGTAGGTTTGAATGCCACTCTAATTCCTGCTTTATTAAGAATCCTACATAGGGTCTCAGATGTCCCCTCCTTATATGGTATAACAGTGGATGACTTATATTCTCTCTTATTTATGTTATCATTACTAGTTTCACAATTATTTTTATTTTGCTTTTGGCCTTTTTCGATCTTCCCAATGAATTTTATATGATAGAACTTTAACTCTGATCCGAAAAGGAGCCATACAGCGCTAGGAGCTGAGTTTCCATGGTCAATGTTGACGCAAACATGTTCATACACACCATTGGGTCTGTTCTGATTCCAGGATTAGAGTTTCCCGACCCTCCTAGGTAGAACTGCAAGTCCACCAGTCTGGTTGTAAGCGCCAGACGTTCCCATTAGTCCTTTCACTTCGTGAGGAACACCCCTGTCGCCTTATAAAATCAATGAATAGGACTTATCTGAATAAGGCTATGAACATGTGGCCACATGAGCGAGAATATTCCGGAAGAAAGACCGACAGCGTGGGCTATCAAAATAACCTACACTGCAACAATAAGTATTCTCTCAATATGATACATTTTCATTACGTAATAACTGTCCAATGCTCGTCTCCTTTTCTTTTCCAATCTAGATAAATCATATCCAGTCTCAACTGAATCGGCTGGAAACAATTTGTACATATTGTACAGTGAATCGTGGCATCCTCTGTGATACTATTTGGTTGTGTAATAATTTCAACTGCCCAGTGAACAGTAAACGCTTGCTGGCATCAGCTGATGTAGCCATGTTGTGGACACGTTACAGTAAATGTTTGAATTCTCAAATAGACACTGTAAATTCATGGTAGATGGACATGTAGATATTTATAAATGAAGCTAAATAATGATATTATGTGTATATATGAGTGAATGAATGAACGAATGTAAGAGATGATGTCCTATCTTCCTTATTTTTATACTTTCAGGTATATGATACTACTCTATGATACCTTTTTTCAAAAATGTATTTTTCTATGCTGTGATTACTATTATTATTATTGTTTTCTTTTCAATTGACTTATAATATATGTTGTGAAGGTGGGTTGATTGTAGCGTGTATATATGAAGTCAGTGCTTCTTGCTGTACGGATCAGAGACTTAGCGCCACGCCACTCCACGCTGCGTCACCAAGGGCACTTCGAACAAACTACAGACCTCCATCAACAGTCAGAAAAGATCAACAACAGAGACCTCCGGGAGCAAACCGACCAGGAACCGATTGTGCCACAAATATGCAAGAGGAAATGGAGGTGGACTGGATTGGCCATAGTCTGAGAAAACCATCAAGTTGGCAGAGAACCGAACGCAATGGAGACGTGCGTCTGAAGCCCTATATTCCTATGGGAACTAAAGGAAACAATAATAATAATGATAAGATCTACCGACGGAGGCGCGAATCTCACTCCTCACTTACTACTTCAAAACCTCACCATTTGGATGAGATGATCATCAATCCTAACACGAATGAAATATGGCTTATAGGTTGGCTTTACATAACCCATTTCTAACTAACTAACCGCCTCATCGTTTATAAAGAATCAAAAGAATCAACCTGTTGTGTGTTGATTCGCATGCAGGAAACCGTGCTTTCTTTCCTACTGTATAGCTAAGCGAAACTTTCTTGAGTAAGACATAGTTACAAAATGCTTCAACGATGGCAAAAAGGTGGTTATTTACCGTAAACTCTGTGGTTCTATTCGACGACGACAACAATGATAAGAACATCATCAGAAACTAAAAATTACCTCAACAGTGACGTTAGGCAGCTAACTATACAGATAAGAGATTTCTTACCTAAAAGAATAAGTACCTTAGGACAAAGTGAGTTCAGCGAAATCTAATTGTAAGAGGTTCCTGAGAGTCAAGTAGAATACTCCCAACAGAATGGAAGCGAAACTCCTTGAGAAAGAATCACACACCCACACACACACCAGCAATTCCCTCAGACAATCCAAGCGCAGAATCACCTTGATTCACCCAAACAAAATCATACAACTACAAAGCGACAGTATAGATGTTACACTCCTATATATGCTAGCAGTATGACTTCGTCTTCAGAATCCCGACATAGTATAAACGACCTATAATAGGAATGGTGAGTGTTTTCACTCTAAACGCTATCCAGTAGAGCCATCTAGTATAGTAAAACTTAGATATGATAGAGAAGATTTGTAGCTCAAGTGGATGATTTTGATGTGGTTGTGTTCTCTGAGCTGGATAGTTAATTTGCGAAGCTTTCATCGCCCTACTAGGCGACATCTTCAGTGCATACTTCAATTTGAAGTGAGCTTTCAGGTCAAGTCAAAGGAACACCTATGTGATCGCCTATATCAGGTTTAATTACAGAGGCAGTGATGCAAAGGCTTGAAAACATAATTCTACCAAAGATCAAACCCAAGATTTGGATACGCTACGTAGACGACACATTTGTAATAATCAAAAGAAACGAGGAAGATAAAGCTCACAACCTGACAAACAACGTCTTCAATGACATCAAATTCACAAGAGAAGAGGAATCAGAGGACCAAATTCCATTTTTAGACATCTTGGTCCAGCCAACAACCACAGGGGAATTAGAAACTCAAGTCTATAGAAAATCAACGCACAGAGACCAAATCCTGAATTACAACAGCAACAATCCAATAGCACACAAGAGGAATTGTAAACAAACACTATTCAAGAGAGCCAGGACTCATTGCAGCAATCCTACCTACCTCAAGGAAAATTGAGGAAAGATATCTCATGGACGTCTTCCAAAAGAATGGATATCCAAGGAATTTCATCAAAAGACATATACTCCCAAGCCAACCTATCAAATCAAAAGCCCCTGGAAGGCAAGCACAAAGAAAATCGCCTTACCATATATAAAGGACATCTCAGAAATCACTACAAGACTCTTCAAACCTTTAGGAATTGACGTCGTACACAAACCAACAAAGTCACTTCACTCAATTCTATGTCAACCAAAAGACTCAACAGCGAAGGAAGATAAAACCAACATCATCTACAAAATAGATTGTATCAACTGCGAAAAACACTACATTGGCCAAAGTGGACGTCCCCTTCGTCTTCGTATCCACGAACATAAGCTAGTTGTCAAAAGACATGATATCCACTCCCTCATATCACTACATACAGACAACCACGGACACCAATTTGACTGGGACAACGTTCAAATATTAGACAGAGGAAACACTGAGAATGCTAGAGAATTTTTAGAAGCTTGGCATTCCAGTGAATCATCGATCAATAGACACATCGAGATAGACGAAATTTATCAACCGATAAGAAAGAAACGTCACACACAAAGGGTCAAAGTTCAAGTCAAAGAAACAATGAGTGACAATACAAGCAACCTAGAAGGTGTGAAAACAAACAAAAACAACCAATCACGTCCAAGGTCGCCAGGAGAGGTGATTAATAAACTCGTGGAGAAATCTAAAAGCTCACTTCAAATTGAAGTATGCGCTGAAGATGTCACCTAGTAGGCTGATGAAAGCTTCGCAAATCAACTATCCAGCTCAGAGAAGACAACCATATCAAAATAGTAAGACTTGCAGGAACAATTATTCCAACCAGTCAGTGTAGATCTCTGAATCATTGTGATATACAAGCCTAATCATAGTGTCAAGGTGTATCATCTATTGATAGAGAGGTTAAAGTTAAGCGTTGGGGTTAAGAATTAGTAATTAGGGCATAAAAGCTTTATTACTGATGTAAACAATGACGCAGTAGGTAGCTTTAAAGTCATATACGAAGGAAATAGTGATTCGAACATGTTGATAGAAATGAGGCAGCCAGGATATATATATATATATATATATATAAATTCATGACAGAATGATTGTAGATTGAACGTTTTCATTGATATGATTACTGTTCTATAATTGTGTTATATGCCTGAGAATTTTAGTATTTGAATCGTTGTGTAAAATAAAAGATGTCAGCTCTTAATCAAACCTGTGGTCGGTTGGTCTGTCGGTTTTCGACATAGAACTTTGCACATATGTGCGCCAGTTCAAGTCGCCACACTCCATGTAGCACACAAAGAAAGAGAAGAAAGTAGAAGAAATGCATAATATAGTCAGTAAACAGAGGTGTGAGACAAAGGAATAGTAATAACGAAGAACAAAACAGTTTCATTGGAAATCATAAGTCACAAGGAGTGGATGCATCTGCGCCAGCCATCACGGAGAACGATGAGTTTGAGCCATGTCACCAATTGTTTCCAACCATTGGTTTTTACCGTCCCGAGGACCCCAACCAGGAAGTCTACATATTCCTACGTGGCTTAGACTAACTGTTGTAGGTTTCATTGACTGGTGCCATGTTTTCGTTTGACCGCCACTAGCTCTTTTCCAGCCTGACCCTATATCAGCTAACATTGCCCGTCTGTCGAGGAAGGCGATGACTAGGCATACGTAACACATGTCCTAACCACCTCAGTCGATGTAATTTCACAGTCTCGTCTATTGATTTCCCCTCCTTACCTAGCACTCAACCGATGCCTAACCTCAATATTGCTCACCTTATTATACCACTTCACCCGGGAGATAGAACGCAGACACCTATGATCGAAGACAGCTAATCTTTTCATGTCCTCTGCCCTCAATGGCCAGGTCTCACAGCCATAAAGGAGGATGGAGCGGACCTGCAACCAATCCAGATCCTTCAAACCAATACTTGGAAATTAATTTGATGCTTCAATGAACTGTCGTCAAGATTTGACAGAATAGTTTTAAAATATTTGGGCGCCGAGTGAATGAGAAGTAGACATTTTTAAAATAATTATATTTTTAAAATCTCAGCGATATTGAAATGAGTAATTCCAACGTTCCGTTCGGCAAACTGGTGGTCCGAACTTCTTCAGGGAAATTAATCGAAATTAACATAACAGAGGTTTATAATATAAAAGGAACATCACTTGTTTTTAAAAATTTGTCCAATCATGAGTCATTCAACAAGTATAATGATAAGAATAATAAATCCATAGCTATGGAGTCGCCTGACATCTTCAGTAGGTCGAATAAAGCAGCTCAATCTTCAGAAAGAAGACAAAGCAATAAGTCCGACAGGGTGTTTCTACTAAACTCTAATCCTAAACACCATAATTTTGAAAATACGTCTAATCATAAAATTCTAGATACTAACAGTTTGAACAGACATGAAGGCGTGATATTAGCTGACGCATAAGAAATCCTTATTAATAAATAAAAAATATGGATATGTATCACTAATTATTAATACTTGGTCGAAATTCTCGACTGTCCATATCTTCTTATGGAGACGTTAAGGAATGCTTTACAATTGTTTACCCACACACACATGCACACTCTGTTTAAAGTGTTTAACAAAGGTAGACCAATATTTGTAAGTCCGAGGTCAAATTTTGATCACAGCTCATAAAAATTTTGTTTATTATACTTGTTGAATGACTCATGATTGGACAAATTTTTAAAAACAAGTGATGTTCCTTTTATATTATAAACCTCTGTTATGTTAATTTCGATTAATTTCCCTGAAGAAGTTCGGACCACCAGTTTGCCGAACGGAACGTTGGAATTACTCATTTCAATCTCGCTGAGATTTTACAAATATAATTTTTTACAAATGTCTAATTTGATGCTCACTAGTGACTGGCTGTATACAGGAAGTTACCTGAAGTTCGAGTGAAAAAATCTTAACCTACACGAGATCCACCAAATCTGTCAAGACGGGGGGACAGTAACTCACCCATGACATTCATTGTCTTGTGGTTGTCGCGAACTGGCAAAAGTCAGAATTCATGAACCACTGGATCAATCAGGTC